CTACATCTCCACCACTGTCCCCAAATCCATGGCTGCTTCATTGACAAGTAACAGACAAATTTTCTTCAATGAATGCATTGCCCAAGTTTTCTTGGTGATCACCTTTGCAGGTGCTGAGCTCTCTTTTCTCACTGTAATGGCCTACGACCGCTATGTGGCAATCTGCCATCCTTTGCAATATCGGCTGATCATGAACTGGAGCACCTGCTTCCAAATGGCAGCTGCTTCCTGGATTGGCAGCATTATCAATGCAATGGTGCACACTGTGAGCACATTCAGGCTACAATTTTGTGAGTCCAATATTGAGCAATTCTTTTGTGACATCCCACAATTATGGTTGATTTCCTGCACAGATACATTCACCAATGAGTGGCTTGCTTTAGTTGAAACCTTTAGTATTGGTTTGTTTTGCCTTCTGTTTATATTAGTTTCTTATGGGTTCATCTTTTCAGCCGTACTTAAGATCCAATCATCTCAAGGAAGGCATAGAGTCTTCTCCACCTGCACTCCACACTTGACTGTCTTTTCCTTGTTTCTGTCCACTGCTGCATTTTCTTACTTGAGACCAAAAGCTTTGTCCTCACCTCTTGTCAATCTATCAGCTGCTGTCCTCTACACAGTGCTGCCACCACTACTGAATCCCCTGATTTATAGCCTGAGAAACAAAGAAATCCACAAGTCTATGACAAAACTGTCAACCAAGTGGTTTGGATTTCATAGCATGATTTCATGCTCCTTTCCCAACAATACTACATTTTCATTGAAGGAAATGAATTGCATCAGAGATGACCAGCGGGGTGGACCATCATGAAGGAATGTATTATTTTACATGTGCAGAATATATAGGTTGAATCTAAAATAGTTTATGTTTTAATGTATCCCCAGACTTTTCAATGATGCAACCCTGTTTTTAGCTCAGGAGATACTACATTCTGAATTGATGCCTGATTGAGTAATTTCCGCACAGATTTTTGTCAAAGGAGAAGATGTAATACTTGGAAGATATGGTAAAGAATGATTACTGTGATACCAGAAAAGGTGGAAAGAATTACTGAGATTCTATTCTCTCCAAAAGGTAGTAGTCATATTGAGAAAGGGTTGGGCACTGGTCAAGTCTATGCCAACATGTCTCTGGTGGATCAGACAAAATGTTGTTGATTCATTGAGATGCAGGAGACTCCTGCTGAATGCTCAGGCTCTCTCTTTGTGATTCAAATGTTCAAGTTCTCATTTCTGTTTGCAAGTTGTGCTTATTTTCACCAACCCAAATGCAATTAGGAGTGCCCTGCTCCCAGATTGCAAATACCTGAATTTGAATTTTTAAAATTGTTATATATATGTAATGCCTGTTTTAGGAGAATACATTCTTTTGTACAAATACATACATTGTTTACTCAGGTGAGGAAAATGTATATTTTTGGGGGATGGGGGCATAGTAATGCACAGTTTTCTCATTCTGAATGTTAATCTTTCCTGTTCAAATGAACCAAAACTCAGGCTGTAAACTTTTGCTATTCAAATGAGCCAAAAATCCAGAACAGAAATACTGCCTCAAAAGTATGCCATTACATTTCCAATCCCTAACAGAAGTTGACTGTTTCCATGATGGGGAGGGTGGAGCCAGCAAAGATGTCCCTCAGTGACCTTATCAGCATCTGAGCCTTATCATATTGTTAGAGAAATCTTGCACCTCTTCCAAGCCATTTCTTGGGTGTGCTGTAATAGAAAATAATGTTCTCCAAATTTCATTGGAAATACACTCAGCATCTTATGTAAGCATGCAATTAATAACACTTCTTGGTTCTAATGCACACTGTTAAGGTGTGTCCATGTTTGGTAAAGTTTCACAATGCTGCAAAACTGCAACAACACCCTTCCCATGGCAGCAAATTCCATGTGTTAACTATATGCCTTGTGAAAATCATTTCACAGCCCCCTGATCATTGGTGCTTCCCTCTCCATACTTTTTCCAATTCAAGAATTTCCCTTTTCAGGTAAGATAGTCACAAATGAACACAAATTTCCAAGTGCAGTAGCACCAAAGATTTCTATATGAGAAGTAAGATTTTTAGCAGGGCTATTTCTTATTCTGTTCCTAACGATGCCTAGCATGGAGTTTGCCTTCTTCACAGCAGCTGAGCCCTGAGCCAACATTTGCATCGAGGTGTCCACCACTCCCCCAAATCCCTTTCTTGCTCAGTCACTACTTCAGGTTCCATCAGTGGATACTTGAAGTTGAACTGTTTTGCACCAGCATTCATTATTCTACATTCTTTAAACTGAACTGCATTTGCCATTTCAATGCCCATTCTCCCAGAATGCCCATTCTCTCTCTCCAAGAGAGATTTCTTTGGAGATACTCACAATCCTTTTTGAATTTTAACTAGCCTTAATGTTTAATGCCATCAGCAGATTTGACCACTTCACTACTTCCTCCTAATTCCAGATCACTTATTAATAGGTTGAAAAGCATTGGTTTTAATACAGAACACTGTGGGGCTACACAGGTGATCCTCCCCTTTTTAGTTCATGACTGCTCAGTTTTCTCAGGAATCTTTGGTGAAGGACTTGTGCAGATCCAAATAAATAATTTCTACTGAATCACCCCTGTCTGCAAGCTTATTGACACTCTCAAGGAACTCCAATAGAGACAAGACTTCCCCTTCCAAAGCCAGGCTGATTTTTTAAAGCAGGAGTTGTTCCTCTATACACTTAAGTAGTAATGGCTGAATCAGCAAGACTTATCATCTTCAGGGTTCCCCAATTTCCATGCTGAAGCTCAGTTTGCCATGTTCCATTCCAAATGCTGAATATTCTATTCAATGGAATATTGTTAAATTCCATTTCCTCCACTGAGTACAGTGTCAATATATTTCTTCTTATGAACATTCTTATGAACGCTTTCTGGTGAATACATTATTCAGATACAATCACAAGCTCTAGAATATGCAAGCTTTGGCTGGGAAAAGTGCTCCTATTCATGTTTGAGGGTGTAAATGTGGCATATTATGACACTACCGAATAAGACAAAATTCTTACATATCTGTATGTTTAAGAATGTACTCTGGAATATCTCCGAAGAGACCATTTCTGCTAAGGCAAAACCACTGCTTAGAAAGGAGTTTACACTAAATTGTCTCCCTTTGGATTGCCACTATGGGGCTACGTAAAGCTCCGGAGAAAATACAGTTGAAATGAAGCTAGAAAAGAGATGGCTTAAGCTCTTCTTCACAGTCCTATCTTTTCACACCCAAACAACAATTCTGAAGAAATATGATAAAGTAAGTAATCTTCCTTTTCTTTCTCCCTAATCCTACTAAATATTTAGTTGCCAGGTTGGTGTTTTATGTCTAGTGAATGCATTGAAATCTTAGTGAAACAGATAAAGAGGTGGCATTAAAAGAAGATAAAAAGTGATAAAAGGAGAGACAAGGGGAACAATCTCCCCACTGAGTAATGGTAGAGCCCAGGATGTGATTCTTTTCAGCTGTACAGCACAAAACAAAATGAAGAGCCAAGAATTGTCACAGGTACAAATACTGATGGCCATTTTTCTGACATATGTATTAAAAAGTTATTCTGCTGTTTAATTAATAGTTATTAATAAGACTTGGAAAAAGAACTAAACATTGCCATCCTCTGCTCATCATAACAGTTATTAAATATGTGAAATTAAATTGTACATTTTTATCCAGAAATATAGCATTATGATCTACAAGGCTTACTCACCAGTAAGTGCATTTAGGTAGGAGTAGAGTTTTATAATGCTATTATATTAGTTTTATAGTCCAGTTCATATTTACCTGGATGACTGTGCTATGCTTTAGATATATTTTAACTTAGTAATCAATTCTAAAGCTTGTATCTACATATATAATAAGTTTCATTGAAAGAGACAGAATTCAGTATCCTTTTTTGACAATATATTTGTTTTTCTGACACAGGTTGTCTGTGAAAACATATGATAAATGAAACTGCTGTGACTGATTTTTTTCTCTGGGGATTTTCCAGAATTCAGGAACTAAGGATTTTACTCATTGTGATGTTTTTCTCGATTTACTTGGCAGCCCTGACTGGGAATGTTCTCCTGATCTTAATCGTAGCTCAAAATCCCCATCTTCATAACCCCATGTATTTCTTCCTGGTTAACTTATCTTTCATAGATGCCTGCTACATTTCAACCACTGTCCCTAAATCCATGGTGAATTCCTTATCAAACAGCCACTTGATTTCTTTCTCTGGATGCATCTTCCAGGTTTTCTTGGTTGTTGTGCTAGCAGGTGCAGAGCTGTCCTTCCTCACAGTCATGGCTTATGACCGCTATGTTGCAATCTGCCAGCCACTACAGTACAGGACAATCATGAACTGGAAAGTCTGCTTTTTGATAACAGTTGCTGCCTGGGTCAGCAATATAACGAATGCAGTTATACAGTCCACCATCACTCTGAATTTAGATTTCTGCCAGTCCAATATAATTGAGCAATTCTTCTGTGATGTCCCTCAGTTATTAAGCATATCTTGTACAGACACAAGGGTATATGAAAGTCTAAATTTTGTCACTGGACTTGGTGTGGGATCATTCTGCTTTTTATTCATGCTAATTTCATATGGATACATCCTCTCTGCTGTTTTCAAGATACACTCCATTCAGGGAAGACACAAGGCTTTCTCAACCTGCACCCCACACCTAACTTTGTTCTGTGTGTTCACTTTCACTACTATGTTTTCTTACATGAGACCGAAGGCCTTATCCTCTCTGCCAGTGGACTTGCTGGCCGCCATTCTGTATACAGTTTTACCACCGCTGATGAATCCTATTATTTATGGCCTGAGAAACAGAGAGATCAAAAAGGGTCTGTGGAATATGTCAATAAGAAGGTTTGGATCTCATGCGGTAACTTCACAGGCCTTTATTTAGGAGGTAATAGCCACACATGCAAGCACAGTTACATTTAAGATACAAGAGCTTTTTGCCCTTACTCAAAATGTATGGATAGATTTACTATTTGGGTGGATTTTGGCCTTTCTGCCTGGTAGATATCGATTAATTTAAAATAATTCAGATGCAAGTGAAATTCAAGTGAAGGTTATAACACAAGTTCTGTTTCTAATATTGTTTCTGAACAATGTGCTGAATTATTGATTTTAATTCTGCCTGCTTATGACTATTTCCACATATGACCGTACAGTAGAATGGCCAATAATTTATTTCTTCTTTTTTAATGTTTTTAATAAATTCCAAGACCAGATTTAGATTGTTAGTCATGATATCATATTTCTTGGATAAGAAGAAGGAAGAAGTATGAATGAGGGAAAAAAAAAAAAAAATGGTGCTAAATGTAGCTATGATGTAGTGGCCAACTGGATCATAGCTGGTACATCAACCAAAACTGATAAGATGCATTTCTTGCCATTGATTCCCTTTAGGATTCTAGTGACAGAGCAGGATTCTCAAAATACTCCTTCCAGGGGCAGTACAAACCTGTTTAAGATTGATTGATTGCCACTTAACTGGACAGATGGACCACATATTAACAGAAGCCCTACCTTGTTGAGACTGATTTTCAGTTAGCAGCTCTTGTAAATGTAAGGAAATAAACACTCTACATTTTCATGAGCATTATTCAATAGGTTTTTGCAGCAATCCCACCCAGAAGTACTGCAGAAATCTGTTAAATTGAGATGACCTGGGATCATGGTAGAATGAAGAATGTGAATACATGCTAAGAATGCTAGGCCAATGGGACTTCATACACATACCAACCTCCAAAGTCAATATTTGTCAGGACTACTGAAGAAGTCTTCTTTTCATTTGAAAAACAGAAGAGCCATCTGAAAAGTACACCAGTTACAGTGATCAATCTTCATAAATAAATTAGTCTAATTGTGTTTGTATGAGCTGCAAACCATTTGTAGCACCTTAAGAAAAATGACACACTATTTGTATGCATATTATTTTGGGTCAATGATTATATAGGCACTGTGTCTGTTTGGAACCCCAAATACTCCTATTGATTACCTGAATTTACTTGTTCATCCAATGATTCCTGTATAAAATATTTAATTTGAAAGGGAAAGCAGTCTGAAAAAAGCTGTGTTCATGCTGTTGCAAAGCCTTCCACCAAGGATGCTTATTTTTTTTACAAAAGAAAATGCTCCTTTTTGCTTTGTTTCTTCCTTTTGTTACTCTACATCCTTGTTCTGTCCATGCTGTGACAGAAGCTTTCTGGATGAGAGATCCGTGAAATGAATTAGGATCTAATACTTACCTAAAAATCATGTGTTGCTTCTTCACTCTTTAAATTAAGGTATTATATTAGCTGACATATTATATTGGTGTTAATTTCATTTTATGAATGATGCTATATTTTAATTGTACACACCCTATTGTTAAATAAAATCCTTTGGTTCATTGTATACAAGTATCTGGGCCTAATGGAGCAGCTGATCTGTATTACCAATCACTAGAGAGATTAGACTGCAGCCAAGAAATTAAAAGATGCTTGCTCCTTGGGAGGAAAGATATGACAAATCTAGATAGCATACTAAAAAGCAGAGAAATCACCCTGCCGACAAAAGTCTGTATAGTCAAAGCTATGGTTTTCCCAGTTGCAATGTATGGTTGTGAAAGTTGGACCATAAGGAAGGCTGAGCACCAAAGAATTAAGGCCTTTGAATTGTGCTTGAGAAGACTCCTGAGAGTCCCTTGGACTGCAAAGAGATCAAACCAGTCATTCTTAAAGGAAAGCAACCCTGACTGCTCTTTAGAAGACCGGATACTGAAGATGAAACTCAAATATTTTGGTCACCTAATGAGAAGGAACTACTCGCTGGAGAAGACGCTGATGCTGGAAACGACTGATGACAAAAAAAAGAAGGGGACAGCAGAGGATGCGATGGCTAGATGGAGTCACTGGAGCAGTGGGTGTAGGCTTGGGTGGACTCTGAAGGATGGTGGAGGACAGGAGAGCCTGGTGGAATGTTGTCCATGGGGTCATGATGGGTAAGGCATGACTTTACGACTAAACACCACCAATCTAAAGAGATTATAGCATCATTGCCTTTCATATGGTCTCTGTTTGGACAGGCAAGATCTAGCCACTGTCTAACTATTCAACCTTAGCCTCACTTAGCATATAGCTGGACTCTTTGTGGGACTGCTTCATTGCATAGCCTTAGCATCCAGTAACTTATTCATGAGAAGGCAGAGTCAGGAATTTCATGATTTGAATGGACAATTCCTTGCTTTGGTTATGTTGTTCTGAAAGTGCATTGCCAGAACATATCGGTTTCTCACCACCATTGTTTAGCTCATCACCCTTGAATAGATTTTAATTTATTTCAGGACATGCTACCCAAATGGAAAAGAAGTTAGGAGAGGCCCCTGGAAATCTAAGATCTAAATTCAGTATAAGGATCAGTTCAAAGTATGGGTGGAAATATTGCTTATATTATCTGTGGAAATCAGCATACTGTATATTAGCTTTTTGCCAGCAGCTACTCCCATTGCCAGAAACTAAGTTTTATGAAAGACATTTCAATCCATTTGACTGGGGGCAGAGGGAAGTGGGGTATACAAACTCTGGCAAGAGGAGGAGACATAGCCCTCTGAAGCAACTCTGGTGAGCTGGATAGATTTGATGAAGGCTGCTAGTCTGATTATCTCCAAACAAAGGAATTCATTTATGTCAGAAATTATAGAATGGCTTGTGAAAGCTGGAATGGATTCTGGCAAAGAGTTAAGCTTCAGGAAAGAAAAGGGGGGAAATACCCTCCCTCACCAAAATGGGCTAGATTGCTGCACAGCATAGACATGCGTTTCATTTCCTTATCTTAACAAGAAGTAAACCAGATAGATTCCTATGAGAGAATGTTATTGATTATACTCTGATATTATTGATATATGCAAGGCATGTGAGATAGCTGCAAGTGAAAAACAAGGACTATGCCATCTTGGATACCATGGCAAACGGGAGCTTGATGGATCACATGAGAAATCTGCTCAGCAGCTAAGTTTCTCCCACTGAGAAATGGAAGGCTCTGGAGGGCATGTCTTTGATTTGCAATCAAATATCAGAGACGGACAACACTAAGAGGCATAGCTCCAGTGCATTTCAGTGAAGAAAAGCAAACTGCAAAGGTGGGTGATCTTATGCCGTTGCTTATTTGAGAGTGGTGAATCAGCCTGCTGGCATGTTTCTAGCCACTGGAGCAAACACTTAGCGAACAACGAGCAAATGGACTGCTAGAAAAATGGAATGGAGCAGATCTGCCATGAGATGTGATTGCATTAAAATGCAATCTTATTTTTCTAACTACAGTTGCTTGCTGTTATTTTTTCTTACTAGTTTATACTGTGAATAAAATAATGTTGAGCAAAGACAATTTGTTGGATTCAGATCTAGTCATACTTACAGTAGAGCCATTTAAATAACTGTGAGTTGAGACACTCCTGATGACCTTAAGTTCCATCAATCTCAATTGGTCTATTCTAATTATGACAAAATCTCGATCCAATATATTTTCACTGTCAAATAAAGGATGCAGGGTGTGATATACTGCTGGCTACTTGCAGTTGGTGTTAAACTTTGTTGTGTCTTGTTACCCAATATTCTGCTTCTCTACCATTTTTTATATACAAGATCACAGGCCAGTTGAAGTTTGCAGGATATAAATGAAAGGGACCTGACTATGAATACAATTGTTAGATAGCTACCCACTGGGTTGTGCCCAACTTTTAAAAATGTGAATATGTGTCTCTTATGTAAAATTAGTGATGCTCTTTCAGGTTCAGAATCCACAATCCCATCCCCCTTTCCTTTTTGCTGAGGTTCTTTGCCTCTAGCTTTTCTGCTTGTTTACTCTAGAAGACCATGAAAAGAAATGAAGAATTGTTTTAACTCCCTGATACAAGACACCTTATCTGATTAAATTCTCTCTGCTGTCATGGTGTTAAAGACACTGATGTGTGTCCAGAAAAAGGTTCAGAGCCTCTTTGCTTTTCTACATTTCATCAGTGCTTGCATTCAATAGTCTTGTGTAGAATCTTTTATTGCAATGCACACATTTTCTTAAGAACTGCATGGGGAGCACTCGAGAGGAGAGGAGAGGAGAGGAGAGGAGAGGACCTTGATGGAACCTTCCTGCTACACACTTTTTGAGAGGTGGAGTCCACATATTTAATTGCATAAGCAAGTGGGAACTCGGCCATCATACTTCAGCACACATGCTGCTGAAATAAGCACAAAGATGACATACTACTGAATTTCATTGACATGCTTATTCCTTTTTCTCCACAGATTCATCTATCCATCCATCCATCCATTCCAAGCAAGAAAATGGTAAACCAAACATATCTCACAGATTTTGTTCTTCTGGGATTTTCTGATAATCGAAAGCTTCAGATTTTACACTTTGTCGTGTTTCTCTTCATTTACCTGGTAGCCCTGATAGGAAACTTGCTTATCATGCAAACTGTCATCCAGCATTCCCATCTTCATAGTCCTATGTACTTCTTCTTGGCTAATCTCTCTTTTGTCGATATTGGCTACATTTCAACCACTGTTCCAAAAACCATGGCCAACTCCTTCCAGGATGATAAACTCATTCCATACTCTGGATGCATCACACAAGTCTTTTTGGTTAGTACCTTTGCAGGGGCTGAGCTGGCTCTGCTCACTGTCATGGCGTATGACCGCTATGTAGCCATCTGCTCTCCTCTACAATATAGTCTGATCATGAGCTGGAATGCCTGTTTCAAAATGGCAGCTGCATCATTCCTCTGCAGCACAATCAATGGAATGGTTCAAGCTGTGAGCACATTCAGTTTGCATTTCTGTTCATCCCATGTAGTTGAACAGTTTTTCTGTGATACCCCTCAGTTATTAAAGATATCTTGCTCTGACACACAGCCCATAATTTTGTACATGTTTGCCTTTGTAATTATTGTAGGCTTTCCTTGTCTTTTGCTCGTATCAATTTCCTATATTTACATATTCTGTACTGTGTTCAAAATTCAGTCAGCTCAGGGAAGACACAAAGCCTTCTCTACCTGCACACCGCACTTGACTATTTTTTCTGTATTTATCACCACTTCCATCTTTTCTTACTTGAGACCGAAGTCTTTGTCCTCACTTTCTCTTGATTTGTTGACTGCTGTTTTGTACACAGTTCTACCACCACTCATGAATCCCATCATTTATAGCCTGAGAAACAGGGAGATTCAAGTTGCTCTGTCAAAAATGGTTAAGAAGAAAATTATGTTGTAGACCGTGGAATGAGTTGCACATTATGAGTTACAATAAGAAGGACATCTGCATTTTTTCAAGAAATGCTGGAAAACAAAGGTGGAGTCTTCTTGTGGCATAAACTACATCAACCTCATTATGGAATATACTTGCAGGTTTCCAAACTCTGTACATGCTGAAAAGGAATTGTTCTATTTTTAACACCATACATACTTTATAGAATGCATGTATTATTTAACTGTATTTCAGCATAAAGTGCTGTTTCACATTACACATGTATTATGTTGCCTATGAAAAATATTGAACACATTTCAATATTAAAAATCATTCTAAGCCTTATTCTAATACAGGTTAAAATGTTTATTGGACATTGAGTGAAACAGTTGATAAGTTTAATGATTTAGCTGGGGCAATGCAAGTGATGCTCATACAGTGACATCGAGGAAAGGATGGTGTTGCATCCTTGCTCAACTCTTCTTCATGCAGTAAGATGGTCCACTGGGCTTTCCTTAATCAAACAACATGAGAAGGCAAACCATGAACAGATGTGTACTTCAAAACTGCTGCTTCCTCCTTTGAATTAGAAATTGCTGCTGTAGGGAGGAGGTGGGAAGTGCTTCAACCATTGTTCCATGCATTAGAGGACTGGCTGTGGGAAAACACACCTACCAACAATAGATTACACATAAGATAGGGATACTATTGATTGGGTGATATCTAAGGATGTTGTCATAGCCTATGTGAATGGAGGATGCACTTCTCCTCATGATAGAGGCTCTGACCTTATGGGTCCTCCCAGATTTGGTGCTGCTTTCAACATCCAGGAATTTAGCACCTCCTGCTGCAACACCAGCTGTGTCCTTTCTTGGACAAGGTGGACAAGCCATGGCCATTCATTTACTAACACACCTCCAGTCTGAACTATTTTAAGACTGCATCTTCAGAAAGCATCTGGAAACTTCGTTTAGTCTAAACTGCTACCAGAAGATAGTTGTCCGGGCCATTACTTTGAGCCTGTACAATCATCATTGGCCACTTGATGGTTTAAGTGCTCAGTTTAAAGAAATGGTTCTTAGATTTAAAGCACTCACCAGACTTTGATTTACATTTATTAAAGAATTCCATAAGTTCCTTCCTGTATTTGCTGATCAACATCAACTATGCTTATCAGACATTCTTTGCTGGCTGCAGTGTGGCAGTGAGCCCTAGATCTGGTTGGGCCTTTTCAGTGGTGGAACATGATCTATGGTAGCCTTCCTCAACCAGGTACCCTCTAAATGTATTTCAATGCATGAACCTTCTACAAGAATCTACATATCTTTAATGCTGATTGGAATCTGATTTTAATACTCACTGGCCAGTAAGAACAATTCTTTTTAAAGCATCTCAAAGAAGTCCACCTAGCTGCTTCTCTATGTTCATTTAGCTGTCACATTTGTGGGTGATAAATAGAACTGACCCCCTAAAAAATTACCATTTCTTTTCCATATGATGCACCTTAGTGAAATTATACTCCATAATTATTCTAACTTTAAACCAAAAGAAGTATGTTGAAAATAATAGGAATATATTTGAACCAGATAGTGTATTAATTTGCACAAGATCAATTGCAAATAATATAGGTTAGGATTTTTTTTTTTTGGTCAATACAGAGATTGGAAAATTTATTTTAATATTACTTCTTGTTATATTTACCTGTATTTATACTTCTGGATTCTGGAATTGCTAGAGAATAAATAAGCATCAGAACAGATTTTAGGTTTTCAAATAATATGCTTTTATTTGTTTCAAGGCTAAACAAATGCATCTATAATTCCTACTAAAATGAATAAGGTTCCTACTGCTGTACTATCTTACTTGTGAGTAAATCCCATTACCCTGAATGAGGCTTTTCCCTGAATAGATAAGCATAGGATTGCTCTTGTAAAAATGCTTAGCTCCAGGAGAATTATCCTATTCATTTATTATCCAGGGCTGAGCAAAATCCCTCTGCCACACTCGGGCTGTACAGAAAAGCACCATTTTCAGCAATATTTTAAGATGGCTCTGTAAATACAGGCAAAGAAATTGCACCATCTATCAGTGGTGATTATTGCTTTTCCCGCTTCAGTTCAGCTCTAATTTATTGATTTTTTATTTTTAATGTTATTTATTTATTTATTTTGCCCAGGAAGCTTAATCCATATTCTGATTTGCCTTAACGAGCATGCAGTATAAATTAGAGCATGCAACAATGTTCTCTAAAACCAAATGAGACGGGCAGTGATGTTTCTTGCCATTATCTTAGCATCAATATGTCTTTAACAAAAGCATGAAATGCAGTAGTCACACTGTGAGAGTGGCCACAAACCATTAGCAAACTGGGCAAAAAGGTTAACCAAGGACTAATTCCAAACTCATTGCTTATATTGATGAGTAGAGCACACAGATTAGAGAAATGCTATCAGTTTCACCCTTCTGTTTGTTCAAATATGCAGGATTGTATCCTTGGTGAATCTCAGTTTAGTATCAGTAAATCTTTTGGAATCCTACAAATATATTCTATAGTGTTTCAGTTTGCTTATTGGTTTGGCAACTATGCGTTAGGTATGTTTTCACTAAAATGCAAACTAAACAAATTGCTACACCATCTCCAAATAGACATATTAGTGACCTTTACAGTGTTCTTTTAAGTAGGCCAGGTCTTCTTAACATGTACCAAATGTTGTTTGTTTGATAGAATGAACAAACAAACAAAATTATAAGATGGAATGCAAAAGTTACAGTAAGGATGTAAATAATTTTCCAATACTGATTGAAGAAATTAGGATATTCAGGCTTCATAGGGGTTTTGTTTATTGAATATAGTTACGTTATCCAAAGAACTGTTACAGTTACTGCCCAACATTAAGTTTGCTAGCCAAAGTTATTTCAGTGTGAATGAGTGGTGTGATTTTAAAGCATTAGATGGAATGGTTCCAAGCTGCTGAGATTTTCTCCCAGTATACAACAGAGTAGGTATATGCCTGATAAAACACATTTGGAAGTAGTGGTTAGAAAGGTAAAGGGGTAGTGGGGATGGCAGAGAACTCTTTAAACGCGCGCACACATGCCCTCACGCACACACAATGAATGTAGCTTATTTTGTAACTGAGTCGGTATGTTGTTTCATAACACTGTATTCTGAATGTATAAAAGGTGAGGTTTACAATAATCACACAATATATCAAAGCACCTTGCAGACTGGATAATATGGATTATGATTGCACTTTAAAAATGCCTGCATTTGGGACTTGCAGATCTATAAGATGCAGAGCAAATTACCTAATCAATGGACAAAGAAACAGAGCCATGATGCTTACAGGAAAAGAAGAGATAAAAGCACACCGAGATAATATTTATTCAAATAGTTGTTGAATTAATATGAACTTAGACTATAATTATACTAATACACAGAATTCACTCTTGGAGAACAGGATTGGAGAAGACATTTGTAGTACATGACCTCAAACCCAATAGCTTTGAAAGAGCATGTCTTATCTCTTTGTTTCTCATGCTGTAGACTACTGGATTCATCAAGGGAGGGACCATAGAATAGATCATGCTGAATGCCAGATCCAGATGTGAAACAGAATTAGAGGTGGGGTTGAGGTAAGCAAAATATGCAGTGAATGAAAACAGAGAGAAAACAATGAGATGGGGAAGGCAAGTTGAGAAGGCTTTTTGCCTTCCCTGCACAGAGGGGATTCTCAGCACTGCAGCAAAGATGTGGACATAAGTCACAACAATGAAAATACAGCAACCTAATGCAATAACTGCACATAGGGAAAGTGCTCCTATTTCAATAAGATACAAGTCAGAGCAGGCAAGTTTCAGCAAGGCTGGGATTTCACAGAAAAACTGATTGACAACATTGGAACAAAATGGGGAAGAAAAGGTCCCTCCAGTGTGTAACACCCCATTGAGGAAGCTAGTGATCCATACAAGGGTAGTCATTCGAATACAGGATTGCTTACTCATCAGCATCTCATATTGCAATGGATTGCAAATGGCAACATACCGATCATAGGCCATCACTGTGAGAAGAGAGAAATCAGATGTCATAAAGAACACGAAAAAGAGAACTTGAGTAACACATCCAAAATAAGAAATGTGCCTGCAGTTCATGAGGGAATTGGCCATGGTTCTGGGGAAAATGACTGAAACTTGTCCCAGATCCAGGATGGCCAAGTTCATCAGAAAGAAGTACATGGGGGTTTTCAGGTGATGGTCAGAGGCTACTGCAGAGATGATGAGAAGATTTCCTACAACTGCTGCCAGGTAAAAAGCAAGGAATCCAAAGAAGCACAGAATCTGCAGTTCATGAACTCTGGAGAACTGCAAGAGAAGGAACTCTGATGGGGAAGATCCATTAATTAGATGTTGCCCCTTAAGAAACATGGTGCCTATGGGAGGAAGTGAAAGGACAATGGTTAGAATGAAGGCTAAATACTGTGACAAGTGTTGTTGCACTGCTTAAATATCAAGCTGAAGCTAGCACAATCCCTGATAATATTTTAGTTGTAGTAAAAGCAGTGGATCTGGGCCAAATTATTTGTGAGAACTAATTGTAAATACTACCTGTATTAATACTATAGGTGCATAGCTATAAATTTCAGGCATAAGGGAAAAACAAATTTCAGAGGTGAACATACATTTCTAAATTATAAAGTAACAGAAACACCCCCCAACCACCATCCTTTTCTTTTGAAGGGTTTCAACTAATCAGAGAACAGACTGAGGAATTTTACCAGGTTCTGCTGGCTAGTCTCATCACGCCATCAAAACCATGTACCTCCTCCTCACTCCCCTGATAAGCAAGTATTGGTCATTTGTTAAAAGACTTTTGGGTAGCAGCCTTCCTTGAGCACATGAGCTCATGACCTGTACATTTGTATGCATGGACAGTCCTGTCTCTTGAAAATCCCATGGCTGGTCCTTAAGACAGGTGGTTCCATGCATTTCTGGAGTAGGCAGGGCTCCCCTTTGTGTTTCTGACAGTCCCTCTTCTCTCTCATTGGACGGGTTTCTGTGAGCCCCCATTAATTCATTACTTCTTGAAATCATAAGTCCCGCCATGCTCTTGGGCCACTTTTACGCCCAAATACCTCTGAATAAAAATGATACAGTGTCCATTTGCACTGGGGGAAAATGTAACAGCAGGAGTGACCCTTTTGCCCAAACCAGTTTTGTCATGATGACATGAAGAATTGTGGATCTGTGTAGGAAATTATGAAAGGGTTCTTCTAATCTGTCACCTGCTTCGTATATTTGTGTGCAACAGGGAAAAAACCCATAATTCAAATAGACAACTAACATTAATAGAAGTTTCCAGATTTATGCCAAGTTCTTCAACATAAAACTAAGTGTAGAAAAGTATGTGTAAAAGAGAAAATATTATACCTATTTTTCAATAAGCAATAGTGGAAATCCTAAGTAGGGTTGGAATATTAAGTATTAATATAACCAGAAATGCTAAGCAGGTTATAAGTTCTTAAGCTTACCCTTTTAACTTTCCAGATGTTTCTCAGTTTCAAATGCAATGTTTCCTTCAATGAAGTCAGAAGACTTTGTATTAGCCCAGCTTTAGTCTCCTACTCCTGCATCTGTGATGGAAGTAATGTTTTCCAATGTACAGAGGAGCTATATTAATCTCATTTGTATTCCTAGGGATTTGCACTCACAAGATTATAACTGCACTGAGCTTCTCTTCCTTCTCATTCCATCTGCATGTCACAGAGTGAGAGTCCCTTGGCTGCATTAGGAAAAATAAAAGGTAAATAAGAATCCCAGGGCAAGGAAAACATTGATGACAAGGACTGATGACAAGGATGACAAGGATGTTGATGACAAGGACGGAAAGACCCCCACATATTGAAAATGGGCTCAAATCCCATGAGTTTCCCCAGAAACTCCAATCAGTATTGAGGGAAAAGCAGTTTGTCAGAGAACTTACATCACAGAACTACTTAGTTTGATTTTAAGTTGAGACCAGAAGCACTTTACTATAAGTACTGTCTGTTTCCTCATTTGATCAAGACCGTTGAAGCAGCATGCTGACTATTTCAAGTGTGTAGCTGTGCATTAATCCCAAAAAGGTCTGCCTTTCCATTTGTTCCATACATCATCGTACAGCTATCTCTTTCAGGGTTGCCCCATGGCCAGATTCCACAGATCGGCAGAGCAGAAGGACTTGAATTTAAGCCATAATATCCTTTGGGAAACTAAATGAACAAAGAGGCTTCCCATATGCCAATCATAATTAATTTAATCCTGTTTACTGTTATTAATCTCTGAACAATCTTATATTTTCTAATTAGTCCAGAGTTAGAAAATGTATTTCTAGCACAGATGTACAATTATGCAATATTTGATAACAGCAGACAAAAACGCACCCCCAAATTCTATGTGAATCACTTTCCTTTTTATCATTAGTATGTATTTTCGCTCCTAAATGCCCTTGAAGATGAACATGCAAGACACAGCATAAAACAAATGCACCTAGGAAATTGCAGTGGCCATTTTCCAAGCAGAGGATTGGATTCTGGCACAGAAGGACCAGAATGCATATTTTGAAACAACAGCAACTGCTCCGATCTGCGGTGCAAAGCTGCCTTACCTTGAATCAGATCATGGTCTATCTAGCTCAGTAATGCCAACACTGACTGGCAGAAACCCTCCAGGATTTCAAGCAGGGATTTTCCCAGCTGTATCTGGAGATGGAAGGACTTGGCTCACCCTTTGTGGCTTACATCAGGTTGTGTACATTTCTGCATATATTTTGGAAACAACTTCCTCTGTGGACATGAGCTTTTTTCTGCCCACCATTTCCACAGTTGTGTACATTTTTCACTGCACATTTCCTACATCATATGGACCTGTGTGTGTTTCCCTCAAAGTGGAGAGCTGTACCACTCATTTTGGAGAGTGAGGATTTTGGAGTAGAACTCTCTATTATTTTGCTGATTTGTTTAGCGGGTTAAATTAAGTACATTTGCATTAAAATGTACAGAACAAATTTTTCATTCCTCCCTAGATATAACATGTTAATCATGTCCTCCCATTCTTCCAAGAAGTCAGGTATAATTGAGGTGACTCCTTGCTATAGTTTGCATCTTTTTCACTTCAGCATATATTTGCAAGCATTTTTACATCTACATTGAAATTTGTACATTTCTTGCTTCTAACAGAAGTGTTAATGCATGCATTTTTTGTGTGCATTTGTACATTCATCTATTTTCAGAAACATGCACTTGCGGACTAAATACAGCATTTTGTAGATTTTCTGTTGTGGGTGAGAACAAAGAAAGGCTCAAGGATGTGAAATACATTGCAGATTTCCAGTATTTGCTTTTGTTTTTAAATCAGATCTGCACAGTTGACATCTTCCAGATGAAGATGTCAGTTAGATGTCCATACAGATCAATTATGTATTTGTACTGCACTTTGTGGACCAAAACCAACTAGGCAAGCAAGCAAGCAAACAAACAAACAAACAAACAAACCCAAAACCTTGTGTTTGGCAGCATGCATACATTTGAAATATATGCATGCATGAGAAATGTGTACTTTTGGAAAATGAGCACAAGTCTGTTTTAATCAGTGGGAGAATAGTGCATTTCCTTTTAAATATGTGTGTACATTTGGGGAAAAATGCACACAGATTGTCATGAGAAAAGAGGAGAGGCGAGGCGAGGCACCTCACAATATCTCATGAACTCCAGTTAGAACATGTGTCAAGATGGGGTAGCCAAGTGAATCTAAGTTTTGCTGATTTTCACATTCCTGCTCTAGGAACCTCAAATACAGAAGCTCAAACTTCTCTTGGGTGCCATATTCTCTTTTACAAACCTAACATTTCCATGCAGGTGAAACTGAAGGTGAGACATAGAAGATCCATCTAGTGGAGCTAACTGAAAAACAGACACAAGCCGAATATTTCCTTCACACAATTAAAATCATCCTACACATGCTCTAAATAGGTCCAGCATTCAAAGGACTGTCAAATTTGGCACAAAGCAGAATCCCTGCTGTATTATTAGAACTGTTCCTTCTGACTTCCTTGGTGAAATGGTCTACATGACAGACCAGCAGTAGTTTAAGGGAGCTTTTGATTAATTTCTCTAAGTCTAGCTGTTGAGACCTAGATGGCTCTAGAGAGAAAGTCATTGAATTTCCAAGGGGAGCAGAGATTACTAAAACTCTACATATGCTTGCATGCTGAACTGCCAATAACATTTTACTTGAAGAGGTAAGCTATTTTAATGCAGGTGCTAATGCCTTAAAGAAAGATATACTATGTATTTCAGGATAAGATCAGTTGGAAAATTTTGGAAAATGGAACTGCATTTAAATGAGTAGGCAACATCATGTCCTTGGCATTGATCTGTGCCACCACTATAAGGAAAGGATTTTTTGGGGGGGAGAGGGGGCTCTTGTTGAATACAGACTCAGTATTGCCAGTGATTTCCTCCACTCTTCTTAATGCTTAATGCTAGGCAAAATTTTTTCATTTAATCATATTTTAAAAAATAAGGCCTGGTCAACATAACAACTACTTGAGATATTAAAGTACATTCTTCTTCCTCAGACTGTAGGAAGGATATGACACTGTAAATTAAATAAAATTATGCCTTTCAAGCAGAACTGGCTTTAGACCAATGTTGAGTTGTGACTTTCAGGGTGGAAACATGCTGCTTCAGAGTTCCTGTTCTCAATACAGTATTGTTACATGTCCTTATTGTCAAAAATCTCTGAGGTGCTGAACCCTGTTTAAGTCCTCCTTATTCTTAAGTCCGTTTAAGAGACTTTCTCCCTCACCAGCTCAGAGGCAGGGCACTGACATTCCTCTGCCCCTCCATTAGTTCTGACACCTGAATCTTCTGCTCCTAAATCCTGAAGCAGAATCACTGACATCACCTCCTGGGGCTGGGCCAGGGGATCTACACCTGTGAGACTACTAAGCTCTTGGTGCACACCCTAGGGAGACCCTGAATCCACCTTCCATTCTCCCATTGGCAGATCAGAACTCTTGTCATCTTCCAACCCCAGTTCTCCTTGCTGGGCTATCTCTGCATTCCCACAGGACTGTTGGTCACCACCCTCACCCAGGATCAATGGTGCTTGAATTGCGGATATTCCCTGACCTTGATCTGATACTGTCATTTGCTGACATTTCAAAGCTGCTTCATGTTCACTGGCTGAACTCCAATTCCCATCATATCTATCCAGACTGTAGCCCTTCTGGCCCCTTTTCCTTGTGTGTGCACACATCATCTAGTTCTTTAGTAATCAGATCCTTTGTCAGGGTGGAAAGGTTTCCAGGTGGCCAATAATAATATTAATAATAGAAATGATAACTACATCTCCTGTACCCCTCCAACCTTCCATGAAATCATGACTAATAACCAGTGCTGGTGGACAAAGCTAGGCTGGATCAACCTCACTTAGCTCACTTACACAGCTCTCAGTAATATACACCAGGTCATTCATGATCATAGATGAATGGGGTTCTATTGTGAACTGTTCTTGTGTTCACCAGAACTGTGACCAGGCCAGAGGGTGAAGCAGCCCATCTAACAGCAGCCTGTGGAAAGGGAAGATGATCAGAATAGGTGTCAATCATCTTAATTCTGTGTCACTATGTGATGTCACTGATGATCTTGTACATCATGCCATATTTTTGCCACCCATAGCAACTGCTATATAAGCACCCTCACCTATTCCACCCTCACTTCCACCAAGAAATATTCTGGATTCTGAATGCTTGTATTTTCAGCAATTTGTAAAAGATTAACACAACAAACTCACATGGAAACAAACACCAGAATCAAAAAGAAATCAACAGAAAGAATAAATGTTGAAGTGAAATATTAGACATGATGTTTGGAGTGAAATCTCAATGAATTCCATTAGTTTCAACCTGGCAGATTTCAATCCATCCCTGCCTGCTGATGCTGAATCAATTCACAATACAAAACTGATCTAATACATGGATGTCCATTTGTCTTTATTGGTAATATTCACACAATTTAGGTCATTGTTGTTATTGCTGTTTTTAGTATTTTTTAGCAGTAGTGAAAGTCCATCTGTCTTGCTCTACTGCCCTGTATAGCATTGTTGCTAAGTATGAAGCGAGCTTCAGTTATTGAGCAGCGTAGAAATGAAATATGCATAAACATAAGCATCATAACCCTAAACAACCACCAGCACCAGCAAACAGAAGAGATTTTAAAAAATATTTTAAATTACTGGCATTTGTGGCCGAATGTGTACCTAACTGTGGTGGACTACATCTCTAATGTTTAAATATATTAAACAGTCTTGCAGCAGAATCCTCAGTGAATCTACTTTCAGGGACAGTAAAACTGGAATTCCTTCCTCTGTTTATATTGAAGAAAGATCACAGAATCATAGAATAGTAGAGTTGGAAGGGGCCATGAAGGCCATCAGGTCCAATCCCTTGCTGTTGCAGGACACAAGTTACATCATCCCACTCAGATGGCTGTCCAGTTCTGCTTTCACTGTCTCTAGTGTGGGAGAGCCCACCACTGATTTAGGCAGCTGGTTCCACTGTTCTATTGATCTGCCGTTGAGGAAGTGTTTCCTGATGTCCAACCTGTATCTGGGCTATTGCAGCTTGAATTGATTATTCCATGTCCTACACTCTGCTATCAGTGAGAAGTTATCTTGACCTTCCTCTTTGTGACAGCCTTTGAAGTAGTTATAGAGGGATATCATGCTCCCCGCCCTGTCTTCTATTCTCAAGGCTGAACATGCCCAGTTCTCTCAGTATCTCCTCACAGGGGAGTGTCTCCAAACCCTGGATAATTTTTGTTACCCTCCTCTGGACCCTTTCTATTTTTCTGCAGCTTTCTTAAATCTTGATGCCCAGAAATGGACACAGTATTCCAGATCTGGTCTAACTAGTAAGGATCATAGGTAACTACTACTGGTAACGACTACTACTTGTGATTTGGAAGTAATATTTCTGTTAATGCATTCTAAAATAGCATTTGCCCTATTGTTGTTAGCTCATATTTAGCCAATTATCCACAATTACGCTGAGATTTTTTTCTTTCTCAGTTCTGTTGAGACATGTATTCCTCAAGATGATGGATTGCACACTCAAATGCAAAGGGGATGGGTCTGGCTATTTGAACACAGCATTCGTGTTCTTTAAGAGGTCCAGTATTCCAGTATTTGTTAAAAACAACTATGAAGGACCACCACCCCTGCCACAAATTGATATATAAAGACAGGTGGCTGGCTACTTTTCTTTCTAATCCATATGTTACTCTTTCAAATGCTATATAAATAGATGCCACAAAACATTTTCCAACACTCTCCAAAGCACTGCTTGGAAGGGGACAGGCCCATAGGTTGGAGTGGTCCTGCCCAGAGACTTGTGGCAGTGCAGATCATGTTGCTGCCCATTAATACATTATATTCTGCTTTTCTAATACATTATATTCCACTTTTCTTTCTTAAGGGAGCCCATTATGATAGATAGATAAGGGTTTCATAATATAACTTGCAGATGCTGAGAATCACATTTGTATTAACATGAAAATGAAGGGTACTCTCAAACCATAGTTCAGATTTTTATCAAGTTTGCAAGAGAATATGAAGAGCAAAAAAAAAAAAAAAAAAGATAACACAGGGCTACACCTTCAAAACAACAAGTATTTAAGTTTCAGTTAAGCTGATGTGCAGAATTCACCTTTGCAAAGCAAAAATTCATATTCCTAAAAGAGAACCTCAAAACAAACACTTTTGACAGAGCACGTTTCATCTCCTTGTTTCTCATGCTGTAGATTATGGGATTCATCATAGGTGGGAGCATGGTATATATCAAAGTAAATGCAAAATCCAGATGTGAAGTAGAATTGGAGGTGGGCTTGAGGTAAGCTAAATATGCAGTGGATGCAAATACAAAGAAAACAGTGAGATGGGGAAGGCAAGTTGAGAAAACTTTTTGCCTCCCCTGCACAGAGGGGATCCTCAGCACTGCAGTAAAGATGTGCATGTAAGTCACAAAAATGAAAATACAGCAGCCTAACCCAATGCTAGCAAAGCAAGAAATGACTCCTATTTCAAACAGGTTCAGGTGGGAGCAGGCAAGCTTAAGTAGATGGGGGATTTCACAGAAAAACTGATTGACAATGTTGGAGCAAAAGGGGGATACAAAGGTGCCTCCAGTGTGCAGCACTCCACAGACAAAGCTGCTGATCCATACAGTAGCAATCATTCGAATGCAGACCTGTTTGTTCATCAAGCTCTGATATTGTAATGGGTAGCAAATTGCAACATACCGATCATAAGCCATGACAGTTAGAAGAAATACATCAGAAGCTACAAAGGAGAGGAAAAAGAGGACTTGAGCCACACACCCAGAGTAAGAAATGAGTCTGCCATTCATGAGGGAATTGGCCATGGCTTTCGGAAAGATGACAGACACTTGACCCACATCCTGCATGGCCAAATTCATCAGAAAGAAGTACATGGGGGTGTTCAGGTGGTGGTCAGAGGCTACTGCAGAGATGATGAGAAGATTCCCTACAACTGCTGTCAGGTAAAAAGCAAGGAATCCCATGAAGTACAGAATCTGCCAATCCCTAATGTTTGAGAATTCCAGGAGTAGAAACTCTGTCACAGAGGATTCATTATTCACATGTTGCTCTTTAAGAAACATGATTCCTGCAGAAGGAGGCAAGAACACATGGTTAGATGAAGAAAGCCAAAGGCAGTATTTGGAGATTGTCTATTAGAGTAGAAGCACTGACTCTTTCCCTGAAGGAGGGCATTTGCTTCACCACCTTTCCTGCCACCCCCATGCTAAAATAAAGTTGTAGGGGTCCTAATATTTTCCATTGTATCTGATCTCCCTGGATAAGTAGTCTTTTGCCCATATGTGCTTCATCCCCTGCTTTCCTCTCCCCCTTGAATCATTCTGCTGTATATTTTTTATTTCTTCCCATAAATCAAAGGTTCTCCTTTCCCCTGTCCATGCAGCCCTTTTTTGAAATAGGAATTTCCTTAAAGGACTTTTGCAGAATTTAGAGCATATGTAAATTAGCAAATCCAAATCTCTGTGTGCCCCCCCCACCCACATCCCTGCAGAGGCCTGATTCCTGGATCTTGTTGGTACCCAATACTGACACTGGGGGAAAATGTTGATTTGAGCACATATACTTTAATTGATTTATCATTTCAATTTTTCATTTGAGGTGGCTAGGAGGACTTAAAGGAAGAAGAAAAACTTCAGAGCTGGAACAGTTTCCAATTCATCTTAGAAAAGGTAAATGACTCCCTTGGTACTTGGGTTACACATTCATTTATTGTTCAGTGCATATATTAACAAGGGCTTTCTATGTCAATTTGGTACCACTGAGACTTTTATTGTACGCTTCAAAGGAGCTATTCATGGTACTCTATGGTAGTGAATCTAGGATGGAGATAGAGTTCAGCACCATGGTTAGCTCCTCTAACGCTCACAAGAGAAGCTTTATTCTATCTATTTATCACTATATTTTTCATCATTATATAAAATATTTACTAAAGTTAGAAAAATGACTTGTGCAACCTTCGCTTGTGAAAATGTCAATGATCTTATCAAATATATTATATTTCTCTTAACATTATTGCCCTTAAAATATATCAGATATCTTACCCGCCAAGCAATGTTCAGATTAAGTTCAAAGATTATTTAAAATGAATTTACAATTGTGACTCTTGATTGCTGGTGGTAGATTCTTATTCATCCCAGCTGGCAATTATGTCTTCAACTGGACTTTTCAGGAAACATTCCAATATTAAGAATGAAAAATCTTATAACAGGTTCACCAGCAAGGAGGGATTTCCAGCAAAGAGGAACTATGCATAGATGAGAAGAGGAAAGGCATATTCTTAACTTATATTATTGGAACAAAGACAGATCCCTGAAATGGTGAGAGGAGTATTGAGCAGATTTTCATGAGGTTCTTTCAATTGCAGGTGCAGTTTCTTCTCTAGTAACATTAAATGATTCACTATGCATCCAGACACATATGCCACTTCCTAAAACTCCCCTTTATTTATAGTGGCAGTAAGAATTCCCCAATGGAGGGAAGGTTTCTAGAGATTTACTCTCACAGGATTCTGACAGAGTTCAACAATGAAGGCCTGCAGAAAGTAGTTAACTTTCTCTCTGAGAAATGAGGTTACTGAACTTACTAAGGTTAAGAAAGTTAGGCTTTTCTTAGACACATAGAAAATTACAGGACATGGAGAGAACAAATTCATTTCCACTTCTTTTTGAAATATATACATTTACAATCATACATTTAACCTTTCCCTTCTTAAAAGTAAAAATAAAAAAATAAAAAAATTAAAGTGTTGCTTCTGGGGTGACTGTATAAGAGCTGGAGCAAGTGTCTGAGGCTATAAAAATGCAACACTCTAAAAAAACCTTTGTCCTGGCTAGGATTTTCCCTGTAGGGGTTCCAGTCAGCATAAGGATGCCTTTCAGCATTAAGGAAGCACAGCTAATATGTGTTTTAATTCTCTCTGAAGTTATGCTCACTGAAAAAAAACTGCATCACAATGGCAGGGCCATTGACTCTCACTGCAGGACCATGGTTTGGCCTACTGGCTAAAACAAAAGGACAGTTCTCCCTCAAAACATTTTTTCTTTATTCACTGGAAGTTTTAGCTTAGAATCATCACTCTAAGATGAGACAAGGTGATCTGCATTGAACCTTACTTTACACCTTTCCTTGGTTTTTCTTTGGAGTCAAATGTCACATAACCCAACTATTTCCATGGAATTACTAGGTTATCTGTGTCAGCCCAAGCTTTTTTCATACACATGAACTTACAGGCGAACGGTGGAAAACTGGAATTTGGGTGCCAGAACACATGGTACCCATTTAAATCCGTATGCTAAATGCAATACCATGAGTAGATTAATAAAAGGTACTCTATCTATGCAGACCTGCCCTTGGTCTGGGTCGGAAGCTGCAACAAGTGGGCATATAAAACCACCTTCCTGAGTTACAACTTTGGTAAATACGCTCAATGGGAGGAGGGAGGGGACCAACCTCACATGTGGGTTGTCCTGTTTGCGCAGCACTGGGTGGGTAAACCGTGGGCGGAAACCTGGTGGGGGGAGCACTCCCTCGACTTTACCATCTCGGCCAAGATGCGGTGCACGGGCCCCGAATATCTGAGGGAACTCTACAGCTTCATTAAGCAGCATAAAGTCCATGCAGAATGGTTTGGTACTAGCCATGGGACCTGCGGAGTATCAAACAAGCAGTGTATAGAGAGCTGCTAGAGGTGGCCTATTTCAGACCGCAGGTCGTCAAGAGAGCGAGGAGGGAGAGCCTCTCGCGATACCTGAGGGAACAGACTTACCCGATAGAATATTTTCAAGACAGGAGGGTTCCGTTCCGGCTGTGGGACATCAGGTGGAGGTTGTATCATCAGGTGTATGACCTGCAAGGGACCAGACCCTGGCTTCCCGAGAGGGCGCAGGCCTGCCCCAGACTGCAGTGTAAGAGCGGGGCTGTCGCGAGCGGGACGGTGCAAAAGGAGACGGTGAGGCACTTTGTCAGCGATTGCCCCACGGCACGCGCCACGTGGAAGGCGGTGTCTGAAGCACTGGACTGGCCAGACCTGGGCTCCCAGGACTGGGAATCAGTCGTGTCTGGCACAGAACCCACTCCTCCATTGAAGGGACCCAGGAGGAGTGTGCCCAGGAAGCGGCGGTGGAGAGAGACCACGGCTCCCAAGACGTACTGGACTGTGCCGTGGTCCACAATTAGGCTGATTAATCTGTACGTTCTGTTGGCGCTGTCCCTCCAATGCCACAGAGAGATAAAGACACAAAAGGTGGCTGACGTGGCCGGCTCAGTCAAATTTGTCCAAGAGAAGATTTTTTGGTTGAGCCGCGAGGAAAAAGGGAGGATGCCGCCCAGTCGGTGGAGGAAATTATGGCCGTGGTTGAGTGGGGCTCATGCCCCGATAACGTAATGTCCGTGAATCACTCATACATGTTGCCCAGACACATGGCATGAACCTATCAGGAGAAGTCTATACAAAGTTCTTTTTGTACATTTGATGTGTAAAGCCTGGGATCTTGTAAATGTGTGTACATTTGGCATTTTGAAAGGATGTAAATAACGGATGGGGTACTTTCTATTTTTGTAATGTTGCAATTTTTGGGCCTTTTTGTACCATTGTAGTATGTTTTTATTTAAATAAAAAATTTCAACCTAAAAAAAAAAAAAATCAACCTAGTCAACCTGGGATCAGTCCACTTTTACATATATATATGACAACTCTGTTGTGTTTTTTTATTTCTACTCATTTATTGTAAGCTGTCCTGAGACATTTGTAAGGGACGGGTTAAAAAGCTTTTAATGAATTAATTAATATCCTCAGAGGAGAGTTTGTTGGTCATTCCAAAATTTTCAAAGTGCCACTGTACAATACTTCAGCAGTGGATTTCTAGATAGCAGCACCCACCATGCAAAAATTTCTCCTTGGAAGAGGCAATTTGTAGTTCAAAAATAAGACATCTTGCAAATGCCTCTTAAAAATGCTTTTTCAACAGTCTTTTCCTGACTTGTAATTAAATCAATGATGCAGCTCCATTTCACTGCTCCTGTACTGGTCTATATCATTGTTTGAGTTGTAATGAGAATTGGTTTTGATTGTATTTTAAATGTGATGTTTATATTAATACTTTAAATTGATGTTAATCTTTATAGGTAAACCTCTGAGGGTTTTTGATATTTAGAACTATAGAAATATTACAGGCAAATACATAATAGCAGCTGCACTTCATACACACTTTCTCTTATACAACATGTTTCTGTGAACTTTCCCTTTGATACCCACTTCCATCTGCATTTCTCCATTTTACTAGCTGAAACATCTGGTGAGGTCAAAGTTCCCACAGTCAAGACAAATCATTGCAGCCCCAGATTCTGGAGGCAACATGACAAATGGGCTGCTTCCCCTCAACCAATCAGGGAGTTTCATCCTGGATGTTCCTTTTACAATGTCTGTGTGCCAAGCAAGAAAGCCCTTAGGGGCTGTGGAACGGGTAGCAGGTGAATCAGGGAAGCCTTCAATAATATTTATAAAATAATGACCATAAAACAAACCCAGAAATGTTTAAAAACAAATCCAGTTGAACAAATGTAACTGAGGAAGCAACATCAATTATTTCTGGATCCTGGGTGGCAGTGGCAGGCAAGCAGTCGAAATAAGCATCAAGGAGGAAATCGCTCTTACAAGAAAATCCCAAAGATGTAAGGTGGTCATACAGAAAGCCCTTTGCCCATAGAGGTGAATTTAGAGGAATTTCAATTGGCATCAAAGCAGAGGATATTACATAGGATTGGGAAGGTGTAAAAGAAGTGTCACACACACACGAACAGCCCTTAAAGCAGCATATTCTAAAAAGTACAGCTCACAGAAAACACTACAAGCAAGTGGTCATATGCAAGTTTATTGGGATTAGAATCAATGCTCACTTTCAAATATCAATAACTGGCAATAAAAGATGGCCTCAAACCCAATCGTTTTGATAAAGCTTGCTTTATCTCTTTGTTTCTTATGCTGTAGATGATTGGATTCATCAAGGGGGGAACCATGGAATATATCAAAGTAAATGTCAAATCCAGAAGTGAAACTGAATTAAAGGAGGGCTTCAGGTAAGCAAAATACCCAGCAGATACATATTCAGAAAAAACAGTGAGATGGGGAAGACAAGTCGAGAGGGCTTTTTGCCTTCCCTGAACAGAAGGAATCCTGAAAACAGCAGTGAAGATGTGCATATAAGTCACAAAAATGAAAATACAGCACACTAAGACAATGATAGCAAAGAAGGAAAGGACTCCTATTTCAAACAGGATCAGATTAGAGCAGGCAAGCTTAAGTAACTGGGGAATTTCACAGAAAAACTGATTGACGATGTTGGAGCAAAAGGGGGGTGCAAAGGTGCCTCCAGTATGCAGTACTCCACAGACAAAGCCACTTATCCACACGGTGGAAGCCATTTGGATGCAGGACTGCTTATTCATCAGCATCTTATAGTGCAGCGGATTGCAAATGGCAATATACTGATCATAAGCCATGACTGTGAGAAGAAAGAAATCAGAAGCTAGAAAGAAGATAAAGAAGAGAACTTGCATCATGCACCCAGAGTAAGAAATGTGTCTGCGGTTCCTGAGGGAATTGTCCATGGCTTTGGGGTAGATGACAGACACTTGACCCACATCCTGTAGGGCCAGGTTCATCAGAAAGAAGTACATGGGGGTGTGTAAGTGGCCATCCAGAGCAACTGCAGAGATGATGAGAAGATTCCCTGCAACTGCTGCCAGGTAAAACACCAGGAATCCAATGAAGTGCAGAATCTGCAGTCCCCAAACCTCTGAGAATTCCAGGAGAAGAAACCCTGACAAAGATGATGCATTAGCCAGATTCTGCTCTTGAAGAAACATGTTCCCTATAGAAAGAAGTAAAGGCGAGCGGTTTAAATGAAGACTTGATATTGCATCAAATTGAACAGTAATGCTGAAATATTAACATTGTGCTGAGATTATTAATTGTGGAAGCAAAAGTACTCAGCCTAAGTATTGAGAAGAAAGTGCCTTGCATTCTTTTGAGAATAGAATATATATTTCAATCAAATTACCACCCCTTCTTATCTTTTGAAATGTTCTTGGGGGAAGGGACAATCTGTCAAAAAGTTGAAAATTATTAACAAACGTATTTCTCCCACTTTTTTCTCTTTTTGAGGACTCACAAGAAGTCCTCCAAATATTCAGTAACTAAATACAGGAGCCATGGGTCTTCAGAAAGAAATGTATGGCCAGATTCATCAGAAAGAAGTACATGGGGCTGGGCAGGTGGTGGTCAGAAGCTACTGCAGGGATGAGGAGGAGGTTTCCCACAACTGCTGCCAGGTTAAACACCAGGAATCCAAAGAAGCACAGAACCTGCAGTTCCCGAAGTTCCAGGAATCTCAAGAAAAGACACTCTGACACAGAAGTTTCATTCACAAGATTGTCCTCCTTAAGATGCATGTTTCCTACCCAAGAAACCAATATGACAGAAGGATAAAAAGTTGATCTGCTGGCATAGCAGCAGTAGTAATAGCGCTAGGTCTCGGGGGAGGAAGGGGTCATCCATATGCTTCATTTTGAAGAAGCTGGAGGGAGAAACATGGGTGGGCAGGGGGGGGAGAAATCAGCTACATCCTTTGGTGAGCTGGCACAAATCAATTTAAATGTCATACTGGGGCTACCTTTTCCTCCAGCTTTTCTAGTAGAGGCTCCTTTTCCACTTGTCTCTTTTGTGTTAAGTAGGTTTAACTGAATGCACATTCATTGGTGCAGTTTGCATGAGCCCAATTTATTAAGGTCACTTTTGCAACCATTGGGATCTTAGCCAAGAATGGGGTTGCTCTGTGTGTTTTCAAATGATTTTTATTGTGTGGAGTAAGAGAGGAGTTGATAGCTGGAGAGAGGAGGGGCAAAAGAGAGAGAGGAGAAAAAGGGAGTGGGAAAGAGAGAAGGGAACACACAGAGAGAGAAAGATGGTGAGGATGGATGGTTTGATGGATTGGGGAGTGAGTGTAGAAAAGGGAAGTGCAGTAGCTGTGCCTCCCCATGGACACTTTGTGACCCATCCCATCTCTCATTGGCCTACAGACCCTTATAGCTTATGCATGACAGAATACAGCCTTCTGGGAGGTAGAATAACCATTTTCCATCTATGGTATAGGACAGTGTAAATTATACAGAAGCAGCACAATTTGAAGTACCTCAAACAACACAGCTAAAACACAGCTAAAAATACTTCAGAAAATTCTCCACAACCCAAGAAAGGACCCGTGTGATCATAACCAGCAGCTGTTTTGAACTGGTCTGAGCTCAACTTATACAGGAGTACCAGGAACCACCCTCGCAAAGCTAAAGTTGCACAGTTTTCTCAGATTGAGATCCCCCCCCCCCCCCGCAATTCACTGTTCCCAGAGACAATATATAAGATTGGAGCTGCATTTTGGAGGACTGCCTTTGGGGAAGAAATGTTGCTACTTGTTTTACTTGCTCAAATTCTTTCAGCTACTACTTAACATTTTGTATTGGAGTTTTATACTGTTACATTGCATTTGTTCTGTTGTTGTTATATATTATAGTATTGCATTCATTGTTGTTAAGTAACCAACAAGCTTCAACTATTGAGCAACATGGAAATGAAATATGCATAAACATTGGCATAAATGACCACCACTAGTGTCAACATATACAGAAGAGAAATTTAAGCATATTTAAGACAATCTCCAATGTTAAATAAATTAAACAGTCTTGCAGAAGAATCCTCAAGGAATCTTCCTTGTGGGAGAATGAAACCAGAATTTCTTCTCCTCTGTTTTATAATGAAGGAAAATGATGGTTTACACACTCAGATACAAAGGGAATGGCCCTGGCTATTTGAAAACAATGATGTCCAGTTTACAATACTTATATATTGTGTTAAAAAAGGACAAGACCCCCTGCAAATTGACTATATGGAAAAGTAACGGGCTGGCTATTTTTCTTTCTAATCCATATGTTACTCTTTCAAACGCTATGCACTGGATGCTACAAACCAAACATTTTCCAATATTTTCCAAAGCACTGCTTGCAGGGGACATGCCCATAGGTTGCAATGGCCCCGCCTAGAGAGTGATGGCATACAAGCCCATGTGGCTGCCATGTGTAGAATTATAAATGATATTCCAGTGTGCCACAGGACCCATATTTGCAGAAGATATGCATAGATGGCCTTTTAGAAAGTGCTTCCCTCCAGTACCCCATTTATGTACAAACTTTATGTTAAAGACATACCAAGCAGTTCGCATGTTTTTATTTTACTATGGTGAAAGTGTGGGGATAAGCTGGGCAGCAACCATTACATAAGCCATGGTGAGGAAGATTATGCCACATTGCCCCCAAAGTAGATGAGTTCCCTATAGAGCAGTCATGTTTGCCTGTATGTAGGCTTACATTCTTATTTCATTTATAACTTGTCATTCTACCAAAAAAGGAAGCCCTCTGTCTCATTTGCCAACAAGAGTTATGTGAATGCAAATAGATCAGTATATGGCAATCAAAGGTGCAGCCATGGAAAATCTGATCTAAAATTAGCTTCACAATAGGCAGGAAGTATTAATGCCCCTTCCCCCACTGCCCCTCACTATGGTTATGATCCATACCAGACTCCCTTAAGAGAAATGAAGAAAAAAAAGACTGCGTGACTACATCTTGGAAATATGCAGTGCTTATGCTTAGCAGAGTGCTTAGCTCTGATTGTGCTTATGCTTACATTTTTGCATGAAAAGAATGGAGAAGACACAACTGGATGAGGACTGCAAGCCCAACATCTTTGACAAAGCATCTTTTATATCTCTGTTTCTCATGCTGTAGATTACTGGATTCATCAAGGGAGGGACCATGAAATATATCATGGCAAATGCCAAATTCAGAGGTGAGTTTGAATTGGAAGTAGGCTTGAGGTAGGCAAAGAACCCACTGAATAAAAAAAGGAATAAAACCATGAGGTGTGGAACACAAGTTGAGAAAGCCTTTTGCCGTCCCTGTGCAGAGGGCATTCTCAGCACTGCACTGAAGATGTGCACATAAGTCACAACTATGAAAATAGAGCACCCTATCCCAACAAAGCAACCAAAGAAAACTAATCCAATTTCAAACAGGTATAGATCAGAACAGGCTAGCTTCAGCAATGCTGGGATTTCACAGAAAAACTGATTAACGACATTGGAGCAAAAGGGAGATGCAAAGGTCCCTCCAGTGTGTAACACCCCATAGAAGAAGCTGAAGATCCAAACAATAGTAATTGTTTGAATGCAGGCTTGCTTGTTCATCACATTCTGATACAGTAATGGACTGCAAATGGCAACATACCGATCATAGGCCATGACTGTCAGGAGAGAGAAATCAGATACTGTAAAGGAAACAAAAAAGAGAACCTGAGCCACACACCCAGAGTAAGAAATGTGTCTGCAGTTCATCAGGGTATTTGTCATGGCTTTGGGGATAATGACAGACACTTGTCCCACATCTTGCATGGCCAAATTCATCAGAAAGAAGTACATGGGGGTGTGCAAGTGGTGGTCAGAGGCTACGGCAGAGATGATGAGAAGGTTTCCCACAACTGCTGCCAGATAAAAAACCAGGAATCCAATAAAGCACATAATCTGCCAATCCCAGATGTCTGAGAATTCCAGCAGTAGAAAGTCTGACACAGAGGATTCATTATTCATATTTTGCTCTTTAAGAAACATGATTCCTGAAGAAGGATGCAAGAACACAGTGGTTAGAGTAAAGAATGCCAAAGACAATATTTAAAGATGGTCCACATGAGTGGAAGCCCTGAAACTTTCACTGCAGGAGGCCATCTACCACTCCATCTTGCCCCACTCCCCACATGATACTTGCTAAAATAAAGTTACAGGGGTCCTGATGGCTTCTGTTGTATCTGATCACCCTGGATAAATAGGCCTTTGCCCTTTCATCCCCTGCTTTCCTCTCCCCCTTGAATCATTCTGCTGTATGTTTTTTATTTCTTCCTGTAAATCAAAGATTCTCTTTCCCCTGTGCATGCAGCCCTTTTTAGAAATAGGAATTCCCTTAAAGGACTTTTGCAGAATTTAGAGCATCTGTAAACTAACATATCCAAATCTCTGTGTGCTTTGCCCCCCCCCCCCCCCGCAGAGATCTTATTCCTGGATCTCGTTGGTACCCAGTACTGGGGAAAAAATGTCAGTTCGAAAGTATATGCTTTAATAGATTTATCATTTTAATTTTCATTTGAGGTGACTAGGAGGACTTAAAGGGAGAAGAAAATTTTCAGAGCTGGATGAGTTTCCAATTCACCTTTGTCTATTTTTCCTTAGAATGTTGCACATGAACAACATTCAGTGCATATTCAGTGCATATATTTACAAGGGCTTCCTAAGTCAATTCGGTACCACTGAGATTTTTATTGTGAGCTTTCTAAGAGTTATTCATAGTACTCCATGGTATTGATCTATGTTGGAGATAGAGTTCAGCACCATGGATAGCTCCTCTAAAGCTCACAAGAGCAGCTTTATTCTACCTAGTTATCACTATATTTGGTCATTATTACATAAAATACTTACTAAACTTAGAAAAATTACTTGTGCCACCTTCACTTGTGAAAATGTCACTGATCTTATAAAATACATTATATTTCTCTATACATCAGCTATCTTACCTGTCAAACAATGTTCAGATGAAGCTCAAAGATTATTTAAAATGAATTTTCAATGGTGACTCTTGATTGCTGATGGTAGATTTTTATTCATCCCTGCTGGCAATCATGTCTTCAACTGGACATTTCAGGAAACATTCCAATATTAACAATGAAAAATCTCACATAACCAGAAACACTTTGACTTATAACAGGTTCACCAGCAAGGAGGGATTTCCAGCAAAGAGGAACTATGCGTAGATAAGAGGAGGAAAGGAATTTTCTTAACTTATATTATTGGAACAAAGACAGATCCCTGAAACGGTGAGAGAAGTATTGAGCAGATTTTCATGAGGTTCTTTCAATTGCAGGTGCAGTTTCTTCTCTAGTAACATTAAATGATTCACTATGCATCCAGACACATATGCCACTTCCTAAAACTCCCCTTTATTTATAGTGGCAGTAAGTATTCCCCAATGGAGGGAAGGTTTCTAGAGATTTACTCTCACAGGATTCTGACAGAGTTCAACAATGAAGGCCTGCAGAAAGTAGTTAACTTTCTCTCTGAGAAATGAGGTTACTGAACTTACTAAGGTTCAGAAAGTTAGGCTTTTCTTAGACACATGGAAAATTACAGGACATGGAGAGAACAAATTCCTTTCCACTTCTTTTTGAAATATATACATTTATGATCATACCTTTAACCTTTCCCTTCTTAAAAGTAAAATAAAATAAAAAATAAAAGTGTTGCTTCTGGGGTGACTGTATAAGAGCTGGAGCAAGCGTCTGAGGCTATAAAAATGCAACATTCTAAAAAAAGCCATTTTTCTGGCCAGGATTTTCCCTGTAGGGTTTCTAATCAGCATAAGAATGCCTTTAAGCTTTACAGAAACACAGCTAGTATGTGTTTTAATTCTTCTGAAAAACAAATCTTCATCAAAATAGCAGGACCATTGACTTCTCTGTATAACCATGGTTTGGCCTACTCACTTAAAAAAGGGACAGATTTCCCTCAAAAACGTTTTACTCTATTTACTGGAGGTTTTACCTTAGAATCATCACTCTAAGATGAGGCCAAGGTGATCTGCCAATTACCCAATCGCCCAATTATTTCTATGAAATTTCCAGGTTGACTGTGTCAGGGCAACCTGGAAATTTTTTCATACACAGAGACTTAAAGGTGAATGGTGGAAAGCTGGAATTTGTTTGGCACAACACATGGTACCCATTTCAATCCATATACTAAATGCAACACCATAATTAGATTAATATGCAGAGCTGCCCTTGGTCTGGGTCAGAGGCTGCAACTAGTGGGCATATAAAACCCTAGACAACCTGGGACCAGTCCACTTTCACATATATATGTCAACTCTGTTGCGTTTTTTTATTTCTACTCATTTATTGTAAGCCGTCCTGAGACATTTGTAAGGGACAGGTTAAAAAAGCTTTTAATTAATTAATATCCTCAGAGGAGAATTTGTTGGTCATTCCAAAATTTTCACAGTGCCACTATATAATATGTGAGCAGTGGATTTCTAGGCAGCAGCACCCACCATGCAAAAATTTCTCCTTGGAAGAGGCAATTTGTAGTTCAAAAATACGACATCTTGCAAATGCCTCCTAAAAATGCTTTTTCACCAGTCTTTTCCTGACTTGTAATTAAGTCAATGATGCAGCTCCATTTCACTGCTCCTGTACTGGTCTATATCATTGTTTGAGTTGTAATGAGAATTGGTTTTGATTGTATGTTAAATATGATTTTAATTTTATTACTTTAAATTGATTTAAATATTTATAGGTAAACCTCTGAGGATTTTCGATACTTAGAACTATAGAAATATTACAGGCAAATACATGAATAACAGTTGCGCTTCATACACTTTCTCTTATACAACATGTTTCTGTGAACTTTCCCTTTGATACAAACTGCCCTCTGAATGTCTGCATTTTGTTGTATACATTGTTAATTTCTGAACTGCATGGCTGTACATTGAGCAAGTTTATGAAGTGCAAAGTTTCTTCTGTCCTTTTCTAAAATGAGCAGCACATGGTAGGATGCTGAATGAAGGAATGCAGCATTCTGTAAGATGAAGAAAAGCCAAAGTTGTACTCCCTTAACTCCCGTGTGAGTTAAGGGTGTGCTTTTCCAATACTCCTATTGCTCTCTTCAAGTCAAAAGAGGTGGCTAAGGAGGTGCTGAGAGCATTTTTGTTCTGTTCTGTTTCTTTGCTTGCTTGCTTGTTATATGTTACTGTACATTTTTTAAAATATATTTTCTGGTGGAAGCTCAAGCTACCAGAGATGATTCTTCCTCCCACTTTCATTTTACCTTCTCAACAACCTTACTATGGTTCATTAACTATTTATCTAAGCTGGATAAGTAAGTTTAGATAAATAGTTAATGAACTACAGTAATATATTTCATGGGTATATGGCGATCTAAAGTGTATTAACTCTATAAACAGTATTGCAGCAATCATGCTAGAAGTTGTGACAAGTAGAAAATAATGTGGGGAAGTGAGAATCTGGGCTTAGAGGAAGCAGTCATACTTTCAAAGGTAAAAGAACAGCTTCCTGCATCACTGTATTGATTTCTCACCCAGCTATAGATAGTGAACCTCTGCCCAAACCATTTCTTTCCTCTGACAAGGATCTTAGCATTGTGAAAGCAACCCTGCGTGCTTGCAGGAGGTGGGACATATTCAACACTTTGGTCTGCACTTTTTTCACAGAATATTATTAGGCTATTCTTACTCTTTGAGAGGTCCTCACTTTACAGGCTGGGACATCTGGTGAGGCCAAAGTTCCCACAGTCAAGACAAATCATTGCAGCCCCAAATTCTGGAGGACAACATGACAAATGGGCCTGTTTCCCCATAACCAATCAGGGAGTTTCATCTTGGATGTTCCTTTTACAATGTCTGTGTGCTAAACAAGAAAGCCCCTTTGGATGGATTGCAGGGGAAGCAGGGAAGCCTTATATAATACTTGCAAAAAATAACCATGAAACAAACCCAGAATGTTTAAAACCAAATCCATGAAGAAGCAGCATCGATTATTTCTGGATCCTGGGTGGCACTGACAGGCACTGGCAGGCAGGCAGTCGAAATAAGCATCAGGGAGGAAATCGCTCTTACTAGAAAATCTCAGAGACCTGGAGTGGACATACATTGCACATAGCGGTAACTTTAGAGGAGTTTCAATTGGCAGCAAAGCAGAGGATAATATTAGGATTAGGGGGGTGTAAAAGAAGTATCACACACACACAAACAGCCCTTAAAGCAACATATCCAAAAAACTACAGTGCACAGAAAACATTACAAGCAAGTGGCCAAATGCAAGTTTATTGTGATTAGAATCAACACTCACTTTCAAAAATCAGTAACTGGCAAGGTGTTCCTAAAAGGGGGCCTCAAACCCAATAGTTTTGATAAAGCTTGCTTTATCGCTTTGTTTCTCATGCTGTAGATGATTGGATTCATCACTGGTGGGAGCATAGAATATATCAAAGTAAATGCCAAATCCAGATGTGAAACTGAATTAGAAGGAGGGCTTCAGGTAAGCAAAGTACCCAGCAGATATATATAAAGAAAAAATAGTGAGATGAGGAAGACAAGTCGAGAGGGCTTTTTGCTTTCCCTGAACAGAAGGAATCCTGAAAACAGCAGTGAAGATATGCATATAAGTCACAAAAATGAAAATACAGCACACTAAGGCAATGATAGCAAAGAAGGAAAGGACTACTATTTCAAACAGGTTCAAGTCAGAGCAGGCAAGCTTAAGTAACTGGGGAATTTCACAGGAAAAACTGATTGACGATGTTGGAGCAAAGGGGGGTGAAAAGGTGCCTCCAGTATGCAGCACTCCACAGACAAACACGCTGACCCACACAGTGGAAGTCATTTGGATGCAGGATTGATCCACAGAAGCATATGGGTCAGGAATAATTTAGCCACAGGTCTTCATCTCTTCTGAATATTCAGTACATTCCTAATATTCCTGGAATGCATTTTCAGAGAAAATATGTCTGGACAGCTTGGGGTTTTCAGAGAGAAAACATGCCCACCACCATTGATGTATAACGTAATTTACATAACTTCTCTTTCATACACACAAGCACCTATAATGCACAGTAATGCAGCAGTAATAGGATAAAATCAATACATGTGAAAATGATCTGGACACTTTATGGATGCATTTGTTGATTTCTGTAATCTCACTTTCAGTTCTGTGTCAGATCACTCACAAACACCAAAGAGAGAAAGAAGAAAACACCAACCAACCAAAAAAGTGTTGTTTCTAGGGTTGCTTTATAAACCTAGGAGAAAGTGTTTGAGGCTATAAAATGCAAAATCCTCCTTTCCCCCTTCTTGTTCTGGCTGGAATTTTCCCTTACTGGACTGCAATCCACATAAGAAGCATGTTGAGCTATAAGGAATCAGTACTGTGTCTTTTAAGTCTTGAGGCCATGCAAAGTAATTAAGTTTACTGCTTATCAATGAGTTGTCTTACAAAACTTTAAAAATTATGACACAGCTTTTCCTCAATGGATTTTCATTTTGTTTGCTGAATGTCCAACAGAGCAAAGCATTTCCTGACAGTTAGGACCCCGAGGGTGTGGAATGGGCTTCCTCGAGAGGTCGTTGAGGCCCCATCGGTGAGGCTGTTCAAAGATAGACTGGACATGCACATGGTGGGCATGTCGTGAGTGGAGCCGGCTGGTGCTGGAGGTCAGACTAGATGGCCTGGGAGGCTCCTTCTGACTTGCTCTGTTTCTGTATTTCTATGTTTTAGCTTAAATCATTCTCTTTGAAATGGGACCAAGAAGACCTGAATTGAACTATGTTTTAATCCATCTGCATGGCTTTTGTTTGGGGTCACAACATCACCTTGCCCAGCCATGTGTCATGGAGTCTGGCAGTAGCACTTCATGATAGCAGCACCCCCCATGTACAAATCTCTCCCTTGTGCAATTTGGGAGGCAAAAATGGGTCATTGCCCTAGTGCCTCCTATCCATGCTCACCCACTCAGGCTTTCCTTGGCTTGTTATTACATTTATTCCATGCTGCTCCATTCTACTGATCCTCTGCTTATCTGGATTGTTATTTTGTGTGAATTTGAAAGGTGATTTTTAATATTAAATGTATAAAGCTATTGGAGTCTTTATACCTTCAAGTATAGAAATGCCACAGTAAATTGCATGCATATCTATTGCATTTCATATACACCTTCTCTTAAACAGTACTTGTGCATGTGTATTTTCCCTTTGAAATGCATTTGTGTCCTCATCACCCACTTAACTGTATATTGTCCTGCACATAACTTAATTCATGAACTTTATTCCTGTATGCATTAATCCACAAATTTCAAGTAAGCGTAGATTACAGCATGTCACACCTTTCCAATTTGTGAGAAGGTTTGTGAAGAGCAAAGTCTCTCAGACCTCTTTCCAAAGCAGGCAACAGGCAATAGATTTCTGAATTAAGGGAAGATAAAGAAGGGAATTAAGTAAAGCCAAAATCAGCTGTACTGTCTTACTTCCCAGTGAGGAAGACACCACTTTCCTATATTCCTACTGAGTTCCTCAATTCAAAAGAGAAGGCAGGCCAGTTGTAATTCAAGGGGGTACCCCAAGCTTTTTACTTCTGTTTTGTTTGTTTGCTTGCTTGCCTGTTTGTTATATTCTGTTGTAGAGGTTTCCACCTGCCATCTTTCCTGGAAAATTATATGAGAAATTATTCTACCTCCTGCTCCAATTTTATTCTCTCAACAACTGGATAAGGATAGATATTAACCAATGTGTATTTCTTTCTGCTGACATGGCTGTTGGCCATGTGGAACCAACTTGGGGTTCTCATCTGGTTCAGAGGAAGGGGATGTAGGGATTATTCTAACTGCTGGATTGCAATTTCTGGACTCCTCTTTCTCTATTTCTGATCATCCCATGTTGAGCTCTTTGCGATGTCTTCAACTTGCTACTAGATGGGATATCAGGTAAGGTCAAAATTCCCTTGGTCAAGCCAAATCTGCACTCCCCAAATTCCCCAAAACCAATCAGGAAGTTTCATCCTGGATATTCCTTCTGCAATGACTAAAGGACTTGCCTATTTTCTTTTCACCTGCTTTTTCAAAATCTCTAATAAAGCAAGGCTCCATGATCACACAAAAAGTTCTACCTGCGTTCAAGTACATGTTGCATAGAAGTCCATTTTACAGGTTGCTAAGTCAACAGAGCAAGGTCTGAACTGAAGACCAAGAGTGAGACCAACATACCAGGATTTGTAGGTGATGCAAATATGTGCCTTGCATCAAATGTCTAATCTATATAAACTTTCATGTCTTTGGTATGCAAGAGCATATTCTGCCTTGCAGAATTCTAGAGATTCAGCTTCCAGTTGTTCTGTGTGAATGCCCTCTTGACTCATGAAGCAACCTTCTCCCTTAGCAAGGCTAATTCCCTTAGCTACAACCATTTCAGCAAGCTGAGAAGATGGAAACAGGGCACTCCACCAGCACTGCTGAAAGAATTATTATTTTCCACTGTTCCCTCCCCCTGTTTTTTCATTGTGTGTCATGGCATTTTTAGACTGTGAGTGTCTCCCCACTGCAGGAACATGTATTAGATGGGAGATGCAAAAATATTTCTAATAAGAATCAATTTAACCATCATTCTCTCAAGAAACTATACAGTTGACACATATTGTTGTTCTCCAAGCACTATATCACTGAGAACTCAACACTAACATTACACAAAGGATGTACTCAGAGCTATGAAGTTAGAGTTTGCTGAACTGTAAGCTCAGGATAACTTGGACAGAGATTCCAAAATAGAGCATTGAGCAAGATCAATCACTGCATAGCCACAATTTAGATTGTAAAATAGTGAATCAATTAAGGTAGGCCAATAAGTGTTTTGCAGATGCTGAGAAACATGTTTGTATTAACATGAGTGTAAAGGGAAAAATCTCATCATTTTTCAGATTTTTATCAAACTTATATTAGAATAAAGAACCATTCTGGGATTATGAGCAGCACAGAAAATGAAAGAACGAACGAATGAATAGCATAAGAGGAGAGAAAAAGTTCAACTTAGAGGCAATATGTTCATAAAAATGAGTAGTTAATTTTTGGTTATAATGATGCACAAAATTCAACTTTGCAAAAGAGAATTCATATTCCGAGAAGAAAACCTCAAACCCAATAACTTTGATAAAGCATGCTTTATTTTTTTGTTTCGCATGCTGTAGATTATGGGATTCATCACTGGCAGGAACATGGAATATATCAAACTAACTGCCAAATCCAGCTGTGAAGCAGAATTAGAGGTGGGTTTGAGGTAGGCAAAGTACGAAGTGAATACAAAGAGAGAGAAAACTATGAGGTGGGGAAGACAAGTAGAGAAGGCTTTTTGCCTCCCTTGCACAGACGGGATCCTCAGCACTGCAGTGAAGATGTGCACGTAAGTCACAAAAATGAAAATACAGCAGCCTAACCCAATGCTAGCAAAGCAAGAAATGACTCCTATTTCAAACAGGTTCAGGTGGGAGCAGGCAAGCTTCAGCAAGGCTGGGATTTCACAGAAAAACTGATTGACAATGTTGGAGCAAAAGGGGGATACAAAGGTGCCTCCAGTGTGCAGTACTCCACAGACAAAGCTGCTGATCCATACAGCGGAAACCATTTGAATGCAGGCTCGTTTGTTCATCAAGCTCTGATATTGTAATGGATAGCAAATGGCAACATACCGATCATACGCCATGACAGTGAGAAGAAAGAAGTCAGAAACTACAAAGAAGAGGTAAAAGAGGGCTTGAGCAACACACCCAGAGTAAGAAATGTGTCTGCAGTTCATGAAGGAATTGGCCATGGCTTTGGGGATGATGACGGACACTTGACCCACATCCTGTATGGCCAGATTCATGAGAAAGAAATACATGGGGCCGCGTAAATGGTGGTCAGAGGCAATTGAAGAAATGATGAGAAGATTCCCTGCATTTGCAGCCAGGTAGTAAGAAAGGAACCCAATGAAGTGCAGAATCTGCCAGTCCCGAATATCTGAAAATTCCAGGAGAAGAAACCCTGACAGAGAGGATGCATTAATCAGTTTTTGCCTTTGAAGAAACATGTTGCCTATAAATGGAAGAAAAGGAGAGTGGTTAAAATGGGGATTTGATATTGCAACAAGTTGAAATGAAATACCTAAATATTAATGTTGTGATGATAGTATTATCCATAGAAGCAAATTTACTCATTCTAAGGATTTGAAAGCAAGCATTTTTCTTTCTTTCAGAATATATATTTTAATCAAATTGCATTGCGAATTTATCATTTGTAAAGTGCTAGGAGAGGAAACAAATGGGCAGAGCTGGCAAAAATAGCAGATTATGGAATTCCCCCAATTTCCTCTTCTTAATGAACCCCTCCACCTTTGCATTCAGAACCCCTCCATCTAACTATTCAATGGCCTTCAGCTTAAGTGGTACAGATGTCAGATATTTGCCATAGTCTGTCATGTGGGATGAGGTATTTTCCTATTCATTTGTCTTGCTGCATTTCTTCCTCATGTGTACATAGTCATAGGAAAATGTTATTTGCTGCACAGAAATTAAAGACAATGGACATACCCAACAGCAGAGGAGTAATTTGTCATTGCCTGAATTCAAGGAAAGAAACTTGGTTAGACAGATAAAGAAATCACTTCATGCATGTGATAGGAGAATGAGTATGACTGCAACGCCAAAGGAGAATAAGGAATAAAGTGGGGAAAATGAACATGGTGTGTTTGGGGGCATGGGGAGAGGGCGAGAGGAAGAGGGGAAGAGAGAACAATATATATTTGTGTATTCTTTTTCATATTTCATAGATTGTTCTGCACATAGTCTGCTTCATGAATAGTCTTACAAATTTCAGGTAAGTCTGAATATCATCACATCCTTCCATATCTGTTTCTTGGTAGGTTTATGGTGTGCAAGTAATTTAAGAGGAATTGAACAAATTTCTTACTCATCCCTGTCCTGAACAAGCAGAGGGAAATGAATGGCTGGATCAGAGGAATATTGAATTATGGGAGATGAAGGAAGCTTTTCAGGATGGCCAGGGTTACCTGAGCTCTCAGAGTTCTCTGATGAGGAAGGTGCACCTCTTTATGATCCTGTGAAGGCACATGGTTCTACCCCACTCCTCAGTTCAACAGGCCTCAGCCTGCCAGATGAGGAACAGTTTTGTTGCTGCATTCTTCTTGTTGCAATTATTTTAGATCGGTCCTGATGAAGCTGAAACTGTAACAGAGGATGCTCCATCTCCTCTCCTTTTATCTTCACAATCCCTTGAAATGGAAGCACATTCTGTGAGATGTATGGCCCGGTGGGGATTGAGACATACTCAGTCTCAACCACTACACTAGAACAGTTTGTAGCAGCAGAAGTCATAAATTTTGTGACATGGACACAGTCATGGGGGAAAAGGATGCTCTGGGGAAGCACTTATTCTTCCAGCAGCTGTAATGAGAAGATCCATGGAAGCAGAAACAAGGGGGAATACCAGCCCCAGTCCCTTGTTTCTGCTTCCATGGATCTTATCATTACAGCAACCTCCATCAGCAACTTTCTGCTCTCTCCTGGTTTGGAGGCATAGGGGAAGCTGTGATTCAACACTCAGTCTCCACTTACCCTACTTAAAACATTCAGCTTTCAGCTGTTTGGGGGGTCCTTGACCAGGCCAGATCAGTGTATCCCAAATTCAACAGGGTAGTCTAGGCAAAGATTGTTCTCATAGAACTATTTTTATTTTTTATTTTTTTAAAAAAATTGCCTGGACAGTCTTACATTTGTGTCTCTTGTGCCATAATATATGACATCCTGAGGCAAAGAGGACTCTGAAATATAGAAACCACCAATTTTTCATTTCCAAATTATTGGGGGGAGCCATATTAGTCACAGTTTTGTTTTGGTTTTTTAATTTTTGTATTTGGTTCCTCATGCCCCCAGTATTTCCATATTTGTATTTCATAGATCGTTAGTAATTTAGCACCGAAAAGTTTCCACTTAGTTATGAATAATGGAGAAAATACATAGGTTTCTATGTAGAAAATTCAGCTAGATTTCATGTATAGGGATTAGTCTGAGAAGCCAGTTCTGGATGTCCAGCTGAGGATTTTTGGAGGGCAAGGGAAGGAAGCTGAAGCACTACCCAGAAACCACATGTCCTGGCAATCCCAGCCTTTCCCTCTCTCCACTTCCTGGATGCCTTCTTTAACCCCATCCAAGGGGAGAAGGCCTGAGAGAGGTTCTGATTTTGGATCTCAGAATCTGACATATGCCATGGTCCTTAGAACCTGTTTGGTGGCCATAGGTCTCTCAGAATTGTTTGGTCTCTCAGAGTTGAGGATTTAATTCACACATGCAGGAGAATCTTTTGTTCCCAGTGTTCTTTTCTTCAGCAGCCCTCACAGGGATCCGTCCATATAGTTGCTCTTATGTGGCCTAGCTCCACCTGTCCACACCATCCCCATAGTGACCTAACACCCTCCCTGCAACATCTCACAGATCTGCATTGCCAAAATGATTTCTGTGCACCATCTGCTTCTACACTTGAAGGATGACAGAAGTCCATGTCTGCAGTGATCAAGTTCATGCAAAGTGATATACATGCAGCCATCTGCCCCTTGATGTCAGAGCTGACATGTCTATGTGGCAAATTCTTTCCTTTGGCTATTCAAAGAGTGCTCATCAGAAGAACCAGCAGCAAACATTTCTGCTCCATGGCAGGGCAAACCACTGTGAAATACCAATCCCTGCACACATTCCTCAGAAGGGTTCGTGGGCCCCCTTTTGTTAACCGTCTCTTGCAAGTGGCAGGAAGGACCCAACTAAAATCATGGAGCATCCAGTCCACACTTTTGAGTACCATATGAGTAGATTTCAGGACATTAGAATGAACATGTTTCAATGCCAGCTGTCTTAAGCCTTGTTGCTGGCAAAGTCCACCAAACCCAAACTTGCAGAAGGCAATTGTACAATGAACTTTCAGAAGTGTTCCACTTCCACTACACCACCGGTACTGGTAGTGTTAGTATAAGTAATGGAAACAATTCAGAATGTAAGAACCTAGAATCAGATGTTGCAAATTAAAACTTGCTCCCACTTATTTTATTGGGTCTGTTGCCTGCCATTCAGTTGGCCATGCACCAAAAGTAAAAAGAAAATGAGGGCATAGGGAGTCCCACAAACATTTTAACTACAATGGAATACAGGGGCATATTGAAAGCTTCCTACATGTGCTAAAGTACTAAATTGTATCTAGACCACTGCCTTTATACTATTAAAATAAAAAGAGAGGGAAATATCAGAACTGCTAGCTAAATACGGTTTGGGATTCTATTTCTCCAGAGCGTTCAGCTTTGCAGAAAAGGACTGGATGAAGTACACATAGAAGAATACCTTAGTCCCAACAGCCTTGACATACTATGTCTTACTTCTTTGTTTCTCATGCTGTAGATTATGGGATTCATCAAGGGGGGGACCATAGTATATATCATTGTAAATACCAAATTCAGATGTGAAGTAGTTGTGGGGTTATAGTATGCAAAATATCCTGTGACTATAAAAACAGAAAAAACAATGAGGTGTGGAAGGCAAGTTGAGAAAGTCTTTTGCCTTCCCTGCATGGAGGGGATTCTCAGCACTGCAGTGAAGATATAGGCATAAGACACAACAATGAAAATAAAGCAGCCTGATGAAAAAAGAGCAGATACAAAGAGAATTCCTATTTCAGTTAAGTACAAATTTGAGCAGGCAAGCTTAAGTAACTGGGGGATTTCACAAAAAAACTGATTGACAATGTTGGAGCAAAAAGGGGGTACAAAAGTTCCTCCAGTGTGCAACATCGCATAGAAAAGGCCGAAGATCCATACAGTAGCAATCATTTGAATACAGGCCTGTTTGTTCATCAAGCTCTGGTATTGTAATGGGTAGCAAATGGCAACATACCGATCATAAGCCATGACTGTGAGAAGAAAGAAATCAGAAGCTATAAAGAAGATAAAAAAGAGGACCTGAGCCACACACCCAGAGAAAGAAATGTGTCTGCTGTTCATGAGGGAATTGGCCATGGCTTTGGGGAAGATGACCGACACTTGTCCTACATCCTGTATGGCCAGGTTCATCAGAAAGAAGTACATGGGGGTGTGCAGGTGCTGGTCAGAGGCAACTGCAGAGATAATGAGAAGGTTTCCCACAACTGCTGTCAGGTAAAACACCAGGAATCCAATGAAGTGCAGAATCTGTAGTTCAAAAACTGTTGAGAATTCCAAGAGTAGAAACCCTGATGCTGTAGATGAATTAAGCTGGTGTTCCTCCTGAAGAACCATGATTCCTACAGAAAGAAGCAAATGTACATTGGTTAGTGTGCGGGTTTCAGTTGTAACCAATGTAAGTGTGGTAATTAAAATATTAATTTCCTGTTGACATCATTGTATTAGTATTATTGGAATTATTGTAGTTGTTTTAGCACTAGTACAATTTGTAGATCTAAATATTTTTGAAATTGTCCCTTCCCCTTCCCTTCCCTTTATCAATTTGTAATGTGTTTTCTGGAATTGGCTGAGATGGCATAGAAGGGAAAACATTTCTGTTCTTCATTGCACCATTGAATATCAATTTAAATTTTAGAACAGAGCTTGTGATTCCAATTCATGACAGGAGATAATTTTATTTCTGACTTTCTGCCTGTCTCTCATAGGGTTTACTGGACACATTGGTGAGCAGCTTGAGCTCCCTGGACTATCTGTGTCAGCCAAAAGGACCTCACACCAGTTCCAAGCTCCTCCAGTGAACGATGGGCCAACATTTATCAGAAAGTGCTCAGGTGGTTTGTTTGCAATGAACTCTTACAAGCATGAAAGATTCCTATCTCTCCTTATTACAGGATATCATTACATTGCACCTGTATATGATGCATGAAAAATTTACATAGGAAAATTCCACAGATGTTAATCAGGTGAGATGGGGAGTTTAGGATTCTAGTGATGGGCTGGACCCTCCTTTGTGGCCACCAGGAACCACCATGCATAGAAAATGTAGGGTTTTCTGTGAACCCCCTTTGCTGAATATGTTTTGCAATTGTTGCAAAGAGCACTGTGTCTCCTAACAATTTCCTGGGTGATTTTGTCCCACAATGTGCAAAGATGCTCTGTTGTCTTCTAGGGACTGTATTGCAGAAAATCTGGTCCCATCTGTGGGCAAAGGCAACAGAAATTTTCTCCAAGCCATTTTGTCCAAGCCATTTTATCAAAGCCAAAATAATTTCAAAGCCAAAAGGGAAGAAAGTGAGATGGGAGGGAGGGAGGGAGGGAGGGAGGGAAGAACACCAGGGGGGAATGCAATCAAATTGTACGTCCACCCTGCACCACAATTTCACTGGATTCCTATATGCAAGTGTGTAGATATTCACCTTCATTCACTTTTCATTCCTCTGATTCTTCACACAGGTACAGAGGCTTGATAAATTCTCCCTCTCCAGCTGCTTGGAAATTATAGACATGTTACTAGTTTACATGGTCAAATGAGTGAACTGTAGTTTCCCGCATTCAACAAGAGAATAGGGTCTTGAAGGAATGACTGCACATATGTTATAAGGGAAATGTGATAAATGGAAAGCTAAAGGAGAGTGGAGAATATGAAAAGGAAAACCACTCCTTCTGCTCAACTTCTGTGCTTGGAACACAAAAGTAGGTGAATGGGAAAGATAAATGTTTCAATAGCATGAGATATAGAAAGGATTATGTTTCAGTAAGAAAAGAAGGAGATGCATATTTTTTCCAGCTTAGAGAGGGGATCGGATAAACTTCTTCATCAGTTAATATAGTTCAGAAAATAGTTACCAGAAATCAGCAAATCACTTGTTATACCTGAAGTTATGAGAAATTTCAACACACATATCAAAAGACTGAATGTACCCCCAACCCCTGCACAAATCACTCCAATTTCTTACCTAAGGAAGCAAGGGATCACTCACCAGATTTCATGTAAGCATGTTGCCCATGGTGCATATCTAAGAAAATTTTAGGAGCCTTCCAGAAAACAACCACTCATCTACTAAGTATGTTGATGTATTCCAGCGTCAACAGCAGAGCCAATTGGCAGCAAACAATGAGAATATGTGGAAGGAAACGTATGATATGGAGGAAGAATGGGGAGGATGGTATGAGTACAGCTCACTTAGAACATTTGAGAAACTGCTAAAATGAAATATTTTGCATAGGCTACTAATTCTTCTTTGTAGTTTTTTCTCAACTTCAAGTGGACCATGTTCCCCAGCATTATTAGAGGCATGTGCTTCTCACTTGATTTCTATGTCCTTTTATATATTTTCTCTGGCATCTAGGATGGCAGAAAGACTTTGCCAAGCTGTTGGTTGGAAATTTACTAATCTCTCTGTTGTGGTCCTAAAGACGCTCTCCCAGGAATTCAGGAGTGCTCAGCATTAGAGGTGTGCAGCAAGTACATTAACTCCCAAGAGTGTCATTTGCTTACTAGCATTAGGTAGGTCTGGGGATTGGGGCACATTATAACAACAGTATTAGATGAAAGCTAATTTCCTTTCCCCTGAAATTTACACTGCATTTCAACATACTGGTTTGTACTGACCACCACAAATTGGGATTGATAAATCTTTTGAGTTTGGTTCTGTTCAGCTCCTCATCATTAAAAAATTGAACTGATATACCCCTTTTTCTGCATCATTTTGCAATTATGGATTTTTACATTATGCACAAACTGTTCCCATTTTTGTGCAAACTTCTTTGAATGTATGCATTCTTATTGAAACATTTCAAAATATATTCATTTTCCTCAAGCAATTCCCCTAATGCTAAACAGTCTTCTGCATGTATTTTGGTAATGCATGCATTGCTTTCTAAATGCAACCTTTGTTTGTTTGTTTTATATTCCCCCTATTATTTACATTATTATGAACATTTGGTTTGAAAACTGTACCACAAATTTTGGGAAGACTTTTTTTCCATGTCAGCACATTTCAGTTTCTGAATAGGTTTGTACATCCAAATATATATACAGTGTACCCCCGTGAAGTTGCAGTTCAGCATTCGCGGCTTCAATCTTTCTTGGGATTTTTCTCCAAACGAGTCCAAGTTGATCTCCTTGTGAGAAAGCCGGCTCCTCGTCATGCAGTGGCTTACTCAGAAGGAGATAATTTCCTCTGAGTTTGGACTCACTGACTCACCACACGTGTGCACCTGCCCCACAGCTTGGCCCAGCCTGGGCCTCCCGCCCACACTGCCATGGCAGCTGGCACTCATCGCCAGCACCAAATTTGAGGTTTTTCACAATTCACAGGTGCTTTAGGAACATGATGTGGGCAAAGTATGGAGTGGTCACGTCAACTCCATCCTGTGTTGCTTTAGCACCTTTATAGCTTGTTTCCTCTATTAGGGAGGGTTTTCAGTCTGAGTGCAGGGAGCTATAGATCTCAAGCATGGGAGTTCTATAGCTCCCTTGGTGCCAACTTTTTAAAAGGAGGTTGTTACTAGAGCACAGTTTTAAAAGCCTAACACTGAGCAGCAGTTCTCAGTAGCCCCAGTGTCCCAAAGAGAATGTCTAATTCTGGCCTTTTCTGAAGACTGCTGTGCTTCAGGATGAACCAGTTTGGCATATCAGGTAGAGTGTTACTGGGACTCAGGATTTTGGGATGCTAGTACCAGCTCTGCCAAAGGGCCCATTGAGTGATTTTGGCTCACTGGTTGTCATCCTACTTATTTCACAAGGTAAGTGCAAGGATACCATGGTAAGGAAGAGGAAGATTACATGAAACATCTTGGGTTCCTTTTATATTTATATTTCCTTTTCCTTGGGTTTGTATTATATTTATACAAATCCAAAAATGTGGATTATAAATATAATAGGTGCATAATCTCACAGGTGCACTGTTGCCTAATATGAGACCATTTGTCAAAAGCTAGGCAACCCCTCCCAAGCAAGACAGTCACTCCAGCATTTCTTGTAAGAGTCTTTATTTTACCCAGGGAATCTAAGCATTCACAAGTCTCTGAGCATACACAAGGAGAGGTGTTGACCCCTTTCTGCTCCCTTTCACCCAAAGCTTTGCTTATGAACCCTTTGGGAAGGTCCCTGGAAGATGAAGCACTTTGAAAACAGCCCTGACTGTGTTCTGCACTCTAAGCCCCAAATTGGTCCAGCCTGTGGTTGTGATGATGCAGGCTGGACCACATCTTCAGGAGGCTAATGTTCTCCATCTAAGAATTGCCCCTGCTCCCATCCTTCGTCTGCCTCATTCCCACAGGAGAGAGGGGGAATGTGCCCCATGGCCATCCTTGAACTACCTTCATCCAGGGCAGGTGAGGACTGGCACTGGGGGGGGGGGGGGGGGGGGGGGGGGGGTGAGCAGGTGCAGGTCTGTCAGTTACAACAACAATTCTGTTACAATTACAACAACAATTACAACAACAATCAGAAAAGCCCAAGGATTAAAATAGCAAAGAAAGTATCAAAATGTTATCCTCCTCTCACTAAACTGACACTCCTTGAATTCTTTGAATGAAAAAGAAATTGTAGCTTCACCTTGAATACCATTTGAGGCAAAATGAGGCGATTCTGTGCTTGCTTCTTAGGGTGCAACCATATCACCTATGGAGGTCTTGGACATTTACTGGGAAAAGAGATTCCACTGCAAAGTTGTGTCTTCCAGGGGCAGAACTGATTGCTTCATTGTAGTACCATTTCTTTTTCTCGGCTATTTTGCTGTGGTGGCATTAAATAAGCATTTAGGCTGCAGATTTCTCTGCTACTTTAAATGTGGTCTGCATATTTCCCCTGAAGGATATGTCGATGTGTACATAGAATCATGTGCATATAGTATAAAATCCCAATTTGCAAAGGGATGAAGGAGAATTCATTACTCCTTCACAGCTACTGGGCAGCAAATGCCAGGGAAATAGCTGCATAACAGTGATAATGGACTGATACTAACTGAAAAGCCAAAAGGAATGAGAAAGGGAGAAAATCTAAAGATATACAAATAATTGCTTGTGGCTGGAAGGCAAAATGAGAAACTAAGACAAAATCTGAGATTCTGGTTGAAAATGTATGACAACACAAAGATCTATGACAACACAAAGATTTCTACCTACATTTGTATGTTTGAATTCTACTTAAAGATTGCTAATTTAACATGGCAAGGTCTGAACTGGAGGGACTGAGACCAACTCATCCAGAATTGTAGGTGGCAAGTACAGCATGTCTGGCATAAAGAGAATGATGCATATACACCTTCACACTTGGAATGCAAGAGCACATTTCACCTTGCAGAATCCAAGGGGATGCAGCTCCCAGCTCTTCTCTGTGAATGCCCTCATGAGCCAGGAAGCAACATTCTCCTTTGCTAGCAACTAATTCAGCAGGTTAAGAAGATGGAAGCAGGGCCACTGCATCCATCTTCCCACTGCACTGGAAAATAAGTATTACAAGCAAAAGTGCTATCAACTGAATGTACATCAAAGATATTCTATCTATCATCATTGTGTAGATGCAGGACGTAGTCAGCATCCTCTGTGAAACAACCTAGTTGATACTTGTGCTGCTTTCAGATGAAGCTTTTTAATGCATTGACCCTCTTTCATTGACAGAATTTTAAAGTGGCCCAGAAATCATTACCATCCAGTGTTTTCCCAGCCTTCTTTTCTTATCACCAAAAATAAATTAAGGAGAGGAACCATTATTTTCCTCCCTTCCCTCACCTTTGGTTCTTCATTGTGTGCAAAACCTTCTAAACTCTCATTGGCAGAAATATTCATTTGGTGGGAGCTACAAAAAATATTTCACTTAATAGTAAATTTAACCATCATGAAACTATGCAGTCAACTCTTAGTGGAGCTCTTCTACCACTACACCTTTGGGAACACAACACTCACAGTACTTTAAAAATGTAGACTGCAGGTATGAAGTAGAATTTACTACAGTGTAAGTGTAGGGTGATTTGGATTGGGATTCTAAATACGGGATTGAGCAAGATGAATTATTCCCTGGCTACAGTTTAAATTGCCAAATAGTAAACCTGTTAAGGTAATAGATAAGGGTTTCACACTCCAAATTGCAAGAAATATATTTGCATTAAAAGGACAATAAAGGTACTCTCAAACTACAGTTTGGATTTTTTTTTTTATCAAACTTAACATAGAATAGGAAGAGAATAAAGCAAGATTCTAGTGGCCTTAAAACAAGTGCTTAAGTTTTAGTTGTTATACTACATAAAATCCTCCTTTGCACAATGAGAAATGAGATGTTATTCTTTGAGAAGGACCTCAAACCCAATATCTTTGACAGAGCTTGTTTTATCACCTTGTTTCTCATACTGTAGATAACAGGATTCATCATAGGTGGGAGCATGGAATATATCAAAGTAAATGCCAAATCCGAATGTGAAGCAGAATTAGGGGTGGGCTTCAGATAAGCAAAATATACAGTGAATGTAAAGAAAGAGAAAACAATGAGATGTGGGAAGCAAGTTGAGAAGGCTTTCTGCCTTCCCTGCACAGAGGGGATCCTCAGCACTGCAGTGAAGATGCGCACGTAAGTCACTACAATGAAAATAAAGCAGCCTGATGAAAATATAGAACTTAGGAAAAGCACCCCTATTTCAATTAGATACAAGTCAGAGCAGGCAAGCTTCAGCAAGGCTGGAATTTCACAGAAAAACTGATCAATGACATTGGAGCAAAAGGGGGTTGCAAAGGTACCTCCAGTGTGTAGTATCCCATAAAAGAAACTGATGACCCATACAGCAGAAACCATTTGGATGCAGGACTGCTTATTCATCAACATCTCATAATGCAATGGATTGCAAATGGCAACATACCGGTCATATGCCATGACTGTGAGAAGAAAGAAATCAGAAGCTATAAAGAAGATAAAAAAGAGAACTTGAGCCACACACCCAGAGAAAGAAATGTGTCTGCTGCCCCTGAGGGAATTGGCCATGGCTTTGGGGAAGATGACGGATACTTGACCCATATCCTGTATGGCCAGGTTCATCAGAAAGAAGTACATGGGGGTGTGCAGGTGGTGGTCAGAGGCAATTGCAGAGATGATGATAAGATTTCCTGCAACTGCTGCCAGGTAAAACACCAGGAATCCAATGAAGCACATAATCTGCCGGTCCCAAATATTTGATAATTCCAGGAGCAGAAACCCTGGTCTAGATGTTGCATTAATCAGATGTTGCTCTTGAAGAAACATATTGCCTATAGAAGGAAGCAAGGGAGAGTGGGTGAAATGTGGACATGATATTGGAACATGTTGAAGTACAACACTTAAATATTACTGTTGAACTGGCATTATTATTTGTGGAAGCAAAAATACTCAGACAAAGTATTGACAAGAAAGTATTGAGAAGAAAGAATTTGCAATGTCCTGGGTGGGAGGGAAAGAGTGGCGGTGGGATGGGGGCATATGCTGTTCTGCTCTGCATTATTATTGCTATAATTAAAAGTGTTGGTAAAATTGCGTTTGAAATTGCATTGCACATTTTTTTAAATGAGAAAGTATCTATAAATCAGCCAGGTTATTATTATTATTATTATTATTATTATTATTATTATTATTATTATTATTTGTTTAGTTGCAAAATCTTGCCCGATCCATCACGACCCCATGGACAACATTCTTCCAAACTCTCCTGTCTTCCACCATTCCTTGGAGTCCACCAAAGCTCACACCCACTGCCCCAGTGACTCCATCCAGTCATCTCAACCTCTGCCAGTCCCTTCTCCTTTTGCCGTCAATCGTTCCCAGCATCAGGGTCTTCCCCAGTGAATTTTTAATACTGAAACAGAAATAGTACAAAGAAATATATGAATACATATTGCACAATTGTACACACTAGTATAGAAGTGTATGTGTACTCTCTGTGTACAAATGTTAGGTAAGAGTGAATATCAACAGATCCCTCCATATCTGCTTCTGAAGTGCAAATATTTAAAGAGGAATGGAACAAATGCCTAATTCACCCTGTCCAAAACAAGCAGCTGAAAATGAATGGCTGGATCCAAGGAATTTCAAGGTGCCAACCATGGCATTTCAGGAGGCTATGCTTACCTGTGGAAATAAGATGAGGAAGGCTTGCTTCCCCTGTGATCCCACCCCACTCCTCAGTTCAACAGAGATGGCCTGCCAGGTGCAAGGTGGGATGAGGAACAGTTTTGTTGCCGTGTTCCTATGTTTTTCTGGTTGTTTCAGATGAGTCCTGGTGAACCTGAAGCTGCAAGAGAGGATGCTCCGTCTCCTTTCCTTTTATCTTCATGATCACTTGAAAAGGAAGCACATTCTGTGAGATGTATGACCCAATAGGGACTGAAACATACTCAGTCTCAACCCTTACATGAGAACAGTTTGCAGCAGTGATCAGAGACATTGTGACATGGACACAGCCATGAGGGAAAAGGAGTCTCTGGGGAAGCACTTATTCTTCCAGCCCCAGCCCCTTGTTTCTGCTATCATGGATCTCAGCATTACAGGAGCCTCCATCAGCAGCCTTTTGCCCTCACCTGCTTTGGAGGCATGGGGGAAGTTGTCACAATGAAGTATCTGCTTCCATGTGTTATACTAGTACTATTTGTAATGTATCCATTTGAAGGGAAGACAGGGATAAAAATGGGAAAGAAAGGAAATGCATCCTTTATTCAGCTGCCAAATATAAATGTCTTATTTCCATGGAACTTTTTAAGGAAGGTCCTGTCATTTCCCCCCTCTTTCATAGGGGCTGTAGCCAGGGATTTTGGGTTATGTTTGCCCCACACTTCTACTGAGGAAAAGGATTACAATGCAAAATCGTGCCTTCCTGAGCCTTTGCTAAAGGTCACAGTGATTACTCCAGGGGGGCAACATGAGAAACATTTTTTTCTCAGTTATTTTGCTGTGGTGGCAGTAAACAAACATGTAGGCTGCAGGTTCTTCTACTACTGAAAAATTGGTCTCATATTCTCTCTGAAATTTCTATTACATTTCTCCTAATGACTTCCTATGGTGGGGCTCTGTAGGAAATTATGCAAAGAGGCTACTTTAATCTCTCTTTGCAAATTGATGTACACATGGAGAAAAGATTCTTCTTCCAAATAAACAATGGATATGAAGGGAATTACTGTAATCTCTGCTAGCTTCATCTGCACAGAGATAATTTTAGAAATCAATGCAACAGAAAATGTTGCTGGGAAAGCACACATACTATTAACATTGATTGTGAGAATAACTGAAGCAATCCTGAAATGATAGCAATACTTTGGAGGAGCTTACTGATTTTTCTTCATCGATTTCTCAGTGTCAGATATTGTTTATCTGCTAGTGCTGGAACATGGCTTATATCTCTTCTGCCAGACACAATGCTTTATAGAAATCCACCTACTCTTGGAACCATCCTGAAAGTGTGAGGTGGTGGGCTTTTCCACACTAGAGACATTGAGAAAGAAACTGGACAGCCATCTGAGTGGGATGGCATAACTTGGTGTCTTGCAAAAGAAGGAGGTTGAACCCAATGGCCTTCTATGATCTTTTGATACAGGGAAGGAAATTTCATAAAATCATTGAGTGTTCCTAGAGACTTGGTGTCACAAGGAACCAGCAGAGTTCAGCAGTGCCAATGTACAGTTGTGGGGGTGGGGGAGGGGGGAATCCTGCCCATTTTTACTACTATGAGTCAGAAGGACTGGCAGTACTTTGGCATATGAGAATAACAGAACATGTAATTGGTTACCGGTCGCCCTCTCATTGGTCTACATTATTCATGTAAATGCATGCAAATAAAGAGTGAGCATTCTTACATGATCAAGGACCATTGATAAGACACCTTCAGTTATTTTTTTCCCTTCACTCTGAAATTGCATACTGAAACCTTCACCCCAGCCAAATACATGTACAACTTGGTCCAACTCTGACAAGTTAGGATCCTTGACAACCCAAAGAAATCTATCTGCATTCGTATGCTGGAAGTCTGCTTAAAGGTTGCTAATTTAACACTGCAAGGTCTGAATTGAAGGGAGCGAGGCCAACACGGCTAATGCATAAAGAGAAGAAAATATATTCCACACTGATGCATGACATCTGTACATATAGCAGAACTGGATTGGCCAGATTCATGGAAAAGGACAATTTGAGGGTCGCCCAAATGTTTTCCAAAGTTCAGTTAGCACACACATTGCTGTCTTCCTGAGAAGTTTTCCTGTCTTCCCAGGCTGTTTAATTCTTGTACAGTTCCGAGTCAGAGGAAATTTGCAAAACACAAGAACAGTAAGAACTGGGCCACAAGTAGGTCTCCAGAAACTTGTTTATTTTGTGTTCATCTGCATTTTACAATCTCTGATAAGTTTGGATCCATGACAACACAAAGAGAACTACCTGCATTCACATGCAAGCATTTCTTTTAAAGGTTGCTAATTTAACAGGGCATGAGCTGAACTGAAGGAAGTGAGTGTGGCATGCCTGGAACTGGAGATGGCAGGTACAATATGTCTAGAATAAAGTGTTTGATGAATATAAACCTTCATGTTTGGAATGCAAAGGCACATTTAGCCTTGCAGAATTTGAGGGGACACAGCTCCCATCTCTTCTCTGTGATAGAGACAGCAGCTATGAAGTTAGAGGTTATTGCAGTGGAAGTGTGGAATGATTTGGGGCAAGATTCTAAATAGGTCATTGAGTGCAATGAATTATCCTGTGGGTACAGTTTAGATTGCCAAAAAGTGGACCCATTAAAGCAGATGGATAAGGGTTTCACAATGTATATTGCAGATGCTGAGAAATACATTTATATTCACAGAAAGGCTACTCTCAAACCATAGATTTTTTGAGAGATTTTTATAAAATTTGCAAGAAAATACGAAGAGCAGAAAAGTTAACCTAGAAGCTATATCTTCATAACAAGTTATAACATAAGTTTTACATAAGATGATGCACAGAATTCCCCTTTGCAAAACAAGAATTTGTTTTCCTAGAAGAAAACCTCAGACCCAATACTTTTGACAGAGCATGTTTCATCTTCTTGTTTCTCATGCTGTAGATGATTGGATTCATCACTGGTGGGAGCATGGAATATATCAAAGTAAATGCCAAATCCAGATCTGAAGTAGAATCAGAGGTGGGCTTGAGATAGGCAAAATACGCAGTTAATACAAATATGCAGAAAACAGTGAGATAGGGAAGGCAAGTTGAGAAAGCTCTTTGCCTCCCCTGCACAGACGGGATCCTCAGCACTGCAGTTAGGATGTGCACATAAGTCACAAAAGTGAAAATAGAGCACCCTAAGGTAATGATAGCAAAGAAGGAAAGGACTCCTATTTCAAACAAGTTCAAGTCAGAGCAGGCAAGCTTAAGTAACTGGGGGACTTCACAGAAAAACTGATTGACAACATTGGAGCAAAAGGAAGTTGAAAAGGAGCGTCCAGTGTGCAGTACTCCACAGACAAAGCTGCTGATCCATACAGTGGAAACAATTTGAATACAGGCTCATTTGTTCATCAAGCTCTGATACTGGACTGGGTAGCAAATGGCAACATACCGATCATACGCCATGAAGGTGAGAAGAAAGAAATTGGAAACAACAAAGAAGAGATAAAATACGGCTTGAACCACACACCCAGAGTAAGAAATGTGTCTGCAGTTCATGAGGGAATTGGTCATGGCCTTGGGGATGATGACCGGCACTTGGCCCACATCCTGTACAGCCAGGTTCATCAGAAAGAAGTACATGGGGGTGTGCAAATGGCCATCCAAAGCAACTGCAGAGATGATGAGAAGATTCCCTGCAACTGCTGCCAGGTAAAATAGCAGGAATTCAATGAAGTGCAGGATATGCAGTTCCTGAAGCATTGAGAATTCGAGGAGTAGAAACCCTGATGCTATAGATGCATTAGCAGGTGTTCTTGCTGAAGAACCATGATGCCTATAGAAAGAAGCAAAGGAGAGTGGTTAAAAGGAACACTTGATATGTTATAGAAATGTTATAATAATAATAATAATAATAATAATAATAATAATATTGCACCAAATTGAACAGTAATACTGAAATAATAATGTTGTGCCGAGATTATTATTCGTGGAAGCAAAAGTGCTCAGAGTAAGTATTGAGAAGAAAGTGTTTTGCTTTCTTTGAGAATATCATATATGTTTCAATCAAATTACCGCTCCTAAGTTACCATGTTCTGGGGTGGGAAGAGAAGAGCTGTCAAAAAGTGTTGAAAATTTGTAACAAAGATACTTCTCCCACTTTCTTTTTATGAGGACTCACAAGAAGCCCTCCAAATACTAAGTAATTACCTAGAGGAACCTGTGGGTGATGTGAAAGAAATTTCATATATCTGCACAGTCTGTCATGCTATGTGATGCATTTTGCTACTCATTTGTCTTGCTGGATTTCTTCTTCATGTGTACTGAGTCTTTGAAAAGTTTTCTTCAGTGCTTTTTTGGAAATTGCAGACAACCCACTTTTATATTTACATGAGACATTCTGTAGGGGATGGGATAGAAAAGATTTTCATAAATAAATAAAATAAATATTTAGTTTCATAATCACAGCAGTAGGTTGTCTTTGCACATATTTGAGCAAAGAAAAAGGGCTGCAAAGATAAAGCAATGACTACATGTATATGATATGTATATGATTTTAATTGCTAATATTATTTCCTTATTTTATTCTTTGGCCAGGGTGACTTATTTTATATTGTTAATTCATTTTATATTTTTAATGTATTATATTTTAATGTTTTGTGAGCCGCCCCAAGGCATTGGCGAATGGGGCAGCATAGAAATTGTCTAAATAAATAAAGGAAGGTGTATAAATGAAAAGGCAAATGAGAGCAAGGAATGACAGATTACCAGTCATGGATATGGGGTGTGTGTGTAGACAGAGAGAGAGATTGGCAGAGATTGGAATGACAGGGAGCAAATAACAGAGGAAAAAAACCCATTTCCAATTCTATATGACATGAGAAAAAATGTTTCTAAATATTCAGGGACATAGAGAGGATATAGCAAGTTATTCTTCAATGTAGTAGCAAAACAATAAAGTAACTGTCAGCGCATTTGGCCAATATTGCATAAAATGCCTCCTGAGGATGGGCAATTCTCTCATGCCAGCCACACCCAGGAGAAACTTTAACTGCCTCATTCAAACGCTTAGTGTACCCTTTGAAAGCATTGCCTTTAAAAATGTCCGAACATCTTTCCTGCAAAGGAATCTCCATATTAACATCATCTTTCATACAAAGTGGGATGGCTCCTCTTGATCCTGACTTGGGTATTTATGGCAATCCTGTCCAGCAACTAGTTAAGGATAAGCATTATCTTGGGCTTGGGGAATCTCTGGAAAGATAGCAGGGAGAAAGCTGAAGAAACTTCACTCACAGGAAAAGTGCCCGGGTTGCCACAGAGAAGTATCTGCTCCTCTGAAGGTCAATTTGGAGAAGATGCAATTAGAGGTTAGACCTCCTGTGAAGGTCTCTTCTGCAGTCTACAAAGAACAGAAAATGAAGTGAAGTGAAGTAAATCTAGCTGTTGCTATCCTTGAGGATACAGATCTAAAGTAGACTTGAGCCACACATCCAAAGTAGCTAATACATCTGTTATTTAATAAAGAATTAATTATAGATCTGGAAACCATGACTGAAAGGTGGCATATGTCCCATGTATGCATAACCTCATTTATCAGAAAGAAATGTAAGAGGTTCTGCAAGGGGTGGACAGATGCAACCAAAGAAATTATGGGAAGAGTTTCTTCTGCCAGGGGAGAAAAAAACAACAACAACAAGAAGTAAGGAATCTAATGAAGGACAGAATCTGATCGTTTGAAATTTATCACGGATGAGGGCCCACTGAGTCATGAATAATAGAGAAAATACATGGGTTCCTTTGTAAAAAAAAAAAAAAAATCAGCTAGATTTCAGGTTCAGGAACTAGTCCTACTGACTGTGGGACTGATTTACCAACCACTGATCAGGGAGGCTGAGAAGTTTCCAGTGCAGAGTGGAGGGTCTGCACAGACAATGGTCACCTCCACACACTTCCAGCCTGCATTTCAGCCAGACTGCAGCCAGTTCCAGATGTCCATCTGAGGCACTTTGGAGGGCAAGGGAAGGAGGCTGGACTACTGTCTAGAAACCACATGTCCTGACAATCCCAGCCTTCCCCCCTCTCCACTACCTGGATGATTCTTTAACCCCATCTGCAAGCCCAAGGAAGGAAGGGGTGAGAGTGCTCAGCTTCTGATTTTGGATCTCAGCATCTGACAAATGCCATGGTCCCTAGAACCTATTTGGTGGCCATAAGAGCACTCTCTAAGTTAAGGATTTCTTTCACACATGGAGGAGACTCTTTTGTCCCCAGTTTTCTTTTCTTTAGCAGCCCTCCCAGAGATCTCTCCATATTGTTGGCCTTATGTGGGCTAGTTGCACCCATCCACACCATCGCCATAGTGACATAACACCCTCCCTGCTTCATCTCATAGATCTCCATTGCCAAAATGATTTCTGTGCACCATCTGCTTCTACACTTGAAGGTTGGCAGAAGTATATGCTGGTAGCAACAAAGTTCATGCAAAGAGATGTACATGCATCCATCTTCCCCTTAATGACAGAGGTGACTTGTCTATATGGCAAATTCTTTTCTTTGGCTAGTCAATGAGTGTTCATCAGAAGAGCCAGCAGCAAACAATTCTTCTCCATGGCAGGGATAACAAGTGTTAGCTACCAGTCCCTACACACGTTCATCAGAAGGGTGCATGAGGTCCCCTTTTAAACTATTTATTTATTTTATTATTTATTTATTAAAACATTTCTATGCCGCCCCTTGCCGAAGCCTCGGGGCGACTCACAACACAAAATAAAATACAATAAAATACAAAAATAGCAATATAAAATAGATAACAATATAAAATAAATAACAATATAAAAACTATCTCTCCATCCTGCAAGTGCCAGGAGGGATCCTTTTGAAATTGCATTTTGAAATTATAGAACATCCATGGAGCATCATTTGGAGGGGAGCAGAAAGTGGGAAGGGAATTATGTTAGAACAAGGTATCAAGATTAAGGATACATTGAGTAAGATGTCCAATTTAATTTTTATACAATATAAAGATCAAGTTGCATAAAAGGAAGAGAAGGACATTTATAAACACAGGAAACAATCCAGAATGGGAAGAGCCTAGAATCAGGTGTTAGGAATTAAACCTTCCTCCCACTTCTCTTATTAGGACTGATGTCCTCCATTCAGTTGGCTAAGCAACAAAAGTAAAGAAAACGAGGGTGTAGGAAACCCCTTCAGCGCTTGCACTACAATGGAATACAGGGGTATAGTTGAAAGTTCCCCATGTGGCATGCTAAAGTTCTAAATTGTACCTAGATGACTGCCTTTATACTATTGAAAGAGAGAGAGAATATCAGAACTGCAAGCAAAAGTAATGCGATTGTATCTATGCTGAGAGTTCACCTTTGCATAACTAGACTGGATGAAGCACATCTAGAAAAGTATCTTACTCCCAACAGCTTTGACACAGTATATTTTATTTCCTTGTTTCTCATGCTGTAGATTATGGGATTCATCAAGGGGGGGACCATGGTATATATCATTGTAAATGCCAAATCCAGATCTGAAGTAGAATTAGATGTGGGCTTATAGTATGCAAAATATCCTGTGAGTATAAATGTGGAGAATACAATGAGGTGGGGAAGGCAAGTTGAGAAAGCTTTCTGCCTTCCCTGCACAGAGGGGATCCTCAGCACTGCAGTGAAGATGTGCACATAAGTCACAATGATGAAAATAAAGCAACCTAATACAATGAGAGCAGATACAAAGAGAATTCCTATTTCAGTTAGGTACAAATTTGAGCAGGCAAGCTTAAGTAACTGGGGGATTTCACAGAAAAACTGATTGACAACGTTGGAGCAAAAAGGGGATGCAAAGGTGCCTCCAGTGTGTAACACCCCATAGCAAAAACTGATGATCCATATGGTGGTAACCAGGTGAATGCAAGATTGCTTGTTCATTAACATATCATAATGTAATGGATTGCAAATGGCAATGTACCGATCATAAGCCATGGCAGTGAGAAGAAAGAAATCAGAAGCTAAAAAGAACACAAAAAGGAGGACTTGGGTGACACACCCAGAGTAAGAAATGTGTCTGCAGTTCATGAGGGCATCTGCCATGGCTTTGGGGAAAATGACTGACACCTGACCCACATCCTGCATGGCCAAGTTCATGAGAAAGAAGTACATGGGTGTGTTCAGGTGGTGGCCAAAGGCAACTGCAGAGATGATAAGAAGGTTTCCTGCAACTGCTGCCAGGTAGAAAACAAGGAATCCAATGAAGTACAGAATTTGCAGTTCCCGAACCTTTGAGAATTCCAGGAGTAGAAACTGTGACAGGGAGGATGCATTAATTAGCTGTTGCTCCTGAATATGCATGGTGCCTATGGAATGAAGAAAAATTATTCTTGTTACAATGAGGATCTGAAAACATAAGAAGATAATCTGCTGATTTAACTATAGTAGTAATAATACCTGATCAAAGTATTTGGGAGAAAGTTTTCATGTATTAATATATCTGTATCTGTTTTGTTGATCAATCTGTGTGTTAGAGGTTTATCCTGTGTTATTTATCAATTTGACTTGGCTAGAGGGAGAAAAACATGAAAGAAAAGGCTACATCCTTCAGTCAGCTGATAAAATTCTATTTAAATTTTCAAATTCAAGTGAGTTTTTATAGGAAGATATTTTACAGGAAGGTTTTTAATAAAACATTTACATGAATGAGCTACCTTTGATGTGGTTTGCATTTCCTGGAACAAGAGAGATTCTAGCCAGTAATCTTGGTCACTTTTGCCCCACAATTCCTCTGTGAAAAGATACTACAGTGTCAATTTGAGCCTTCCTGGGTTGTTGCTAAGACTCAAATTGATTACTCCATTGGGGTAACATGAGAAACATTTTTCCATTTTCCTGTGGTGAAAATAAACAAATATAAATGCTGCAAATTCTTCCACTACTGCACATTTGGCCTGCATATGCCATATGCAGTTTAAATTGCTGTGTACATAGAATTGTACAAATACAGTATTAATTCTTATTATGCCAAAGAATTAATGAGGAAGAATTCACTACTCCTTCCCTGCTCCTGGAGAGAAAATCTAAAGATAGAGAAATAGCTGCATATAGGTAATAAAGGACTGACAAAAGGTGAAAAGCTAAAAGGAATGAGAAAGGTGGGAAGAACTACTGATGACTGGCAAAATTTGAGATTCTATGAGATAGAAAGACAATTCTGGTTTCAAAGTTAAATCCCCCCTCCTCAAACCTCAATTATGTGGTATCTAGTCAATCATTATGGAGAGTCAACTGAAAAACTGCAAATAAATGGTTTCACCTGCATCCAATGAAAGGGTGAATCATTTTATGAAAATATTTAAGGCTTTCTTTCAGTAACTCCCCCCTACACACACACACACACACACACACACACACAATACTCCAATTTCTTACCTGTGGTCTTTTATTCAAAGACACAGCACATTTCCCTTTTAATTAGATTTCAGTGACAGCTCTTGATGGGGACAATGGATCTATATTAAATCTATCAGTCATATTTATTCAGAGTGTATCAATTTCATAACTATGCCTTCCCTTCAGATTTTTGTGTGGGGCACTAGAAAAATAGTCCAGATTCCAGAGCTAAGATAAATAGTTTGATTGATGCCAAATTCATGAACATGGAGAGAATAGGGAAAAGAACTATGTGAAAAGCCTTCCTATGAAAACTTCCTTGAAATCTGGCTAAATCCCTGCAACTGCCACCAGGTAGAAAACAAGGAATCCAATGAAGTACAGAATCCGCAGTTCTTGGATGTCTGAAAATTCCAGCAATAGGATTCCTGATGAAGAAGATTCATTATGTAGGTGTGCCTCCTTAAGAACCATGCTTGCCTATAAAAACAAGCAAAATGCATTGGTTCATATGGAAGTCTAATATCGTAAGAGATGAAAGTGTGGTATTTAGAATATTACATTTGCTTTATTAGCACTATTAATACTATTGATAGTAGCAGTTGTTGTCCTGCTAGTAGAACCCCTGGAACTAAATATTTTTGAAATTGCTTTGTTTTGCTTTGCTTTTTTCAGGATATTATTTTTATTCCATTTTGTAATTTGTCATCTGCAATGGACTGAGAGGGAAGGAATGTGTTTTATTTTTCAGTGCACTGTCCAAAATCCATTTTAATTTTAGGAGGTAGTTTGTAGTTTTAGTTCACAATAGAAGAGGATCTCCCCCATTATTCTTTTTCTGTCTATTCATGAGGGTTCACTGGACACATTGGTCAGCACCATGAGCTACATGGGCTAAATGTGCCCACCACCAAAACCTTACACCAGTTCCAAACTGCTCTGATGAGCAAAGTTTCCCATTTTTCAGAAAACTGTCACTGTTAATGCAGATTTATTTGCAGTAAACTCGTACACAAGATTTAAAAAACACTGATCAAAGTCAATGAAAGCAAGACCAAAAAAAGATCTCAACAGAGGTGAGGTGGGGAGAGGCAGGCAGGGGAAGGGAAGGGACAAAAGTCTCTGCCGTCCTGAATTCAAAGTGGCAATTTCACTTATTATTTTTACTTGTTTTTATACTTCCCAATAACTGAAGTTGTCTGGTTAGTTCTCAACAATTTCACAAAAGTACAAAAAATAAAATGCATATACATATACAAAAAGTATTAATATTTATTTGTATAAGTAGCTATGGGGTTTGTCATCATTTTTATATTCTGTTGATTGGTGAGCACAGTTTCATTAATCTCTCATTTCTCTGCTTTTGTGCTCATGGACAGAAGCTTCAGTAAAATTTCCATCTCCACCTTGTTGGGCATTTAACCATGTAACTAGTTTGCATGACCAAAGAGTGAACTGTAATTCCTTGAATTCAGTAACAGAAAAAGGGTTTGAAGACAAGGAAACAGATGGATAAATTGAAAGTTAAAAGAAAGTGAAGAATAGGAAAGAAATCAGTAGCAAAAGTGGAAAAAACTAGGACATTTGACTCAAAAACAAAGTGGGTGACTGAGAATGTTGCAATTCACAATTCCATATGATATAAAGATTATTCTACTTCAAAGGGAAAATAAAGAGATGTACGGATATGCAGATTTGGGTAGGGAATCCAGTAATTTATTCAGAAAATATTAGGTGCAATATCAAGGAATCTTAACAACAGTAAGATTATGTGTCCATTTCAGAAAACATTCACTAGAAAATAGCAAATCATTTCTTGCATCTTCAGCTATGGGAAGTTTAATAATCCTATTGAAACACCAAACACTTTGCTAAACAACGTTCAAGTCTTACCTGAGAAGGCAAGTTTAGTAAAGCCAAAGTGAATTGAAATCAGCCTTCATTAGTAGCACTTGATGCAATCTAAGGATAACTGTCGGGGATTAGTCAGTTAGTTTGCTGGTTTCATGCAAATACAGAACATTGAACATTTCCATGAAAATTTCATTGGGATTTCAGGAAAGCAGCTCATGTGTAAAGGCTTTGCTGTATCCAGGCCTTCATCAGCAGAGGAAGAACTGCTGCGAACTAACATGTATCCAAAGGAAATTATGATAGGAAGGAGAATAGGCAGGAGGGTAAATTTTTGGCTTATGCTGTGTGGTCATTGGAGGAACCACTGAAATGAAGCCGTGTAGGACCTCTTCTTCACAGATTTCTCTCAGCTTCATATATGCTTGCCCTCCCCAGTGTTGTAGATGAATGTATATTTCTCTAGATATCCTTGTCCTTTTATAAATGTTCTCTTGGATCTAGAATGGAGATGAGGGTTTGTCAAGGTACAGGCTGGGAATTTATTCCTATCTCTTTATTGCCCTCCCAGGAGACCAGCACAGCTTAGTAGTGCAGGTATATGCAAAATGCATCAATTCCTGAGAGTGCCATCGCATCAGCATGATTTGGTAATGCTGGCAGTGTTTGGGTCCAGAGGGTCAACTGTACAGCAAGGATGTCATTTTCCTTTCCTCTACAATTTCAACTGCATTTACCTTCAAGCATTCTTTAGAGAACAGATAAATACAATTGTAAATGTGAACAAGACCACATAATTGTACTGAAATTATATTGCCTCAGTAAGGGTGCAATCACATTACCTGTTGACATATGGAAAGACACTGGATTAATTGAAGTCCTAGCTCTAACATCCCACTCTTTTCCCCTTTGAATGCCTGTCATGTGTTGATGTTAAATGTACGTGTTCAGAGTGTGAGGACCCCCCCCTTTTTTTTTTCTTGTTGGTCTGCTGATCTTACAGGAGTATTACTGGCACAGAGATTTTAGAGAAAAAAAATTGCTTGACGTACCTCCACCCACCCATTCATCCATATGTAATTGCTTCACCGTTTGCAATTTCTCTATTTAAATGAGCTAGAAGGAGAAAAAAACAGAAAGAGAAGTCCGACATCTTTCTATCAGTTCACAAATTTCATTTCCAATTTTACTTTTCTAGCATGGTTTTCTATTTCAGCAGGCTGAGGTGAGGGAGATTAAAGGGAGGACAGGGTCATTCCAGAATTCCTGGTGAACAAGCAAGGATTTGCTCTTCATCTTTTGCCAATTCTTTCTTTGCCACATCTTTTTGGATTGTAAGCCTATTGGGCAGCGACACTCAATTTTACTTGATTAGAGGTACACCACTCATTCTTCTATTTATGGTGAGGAACAGCATAAAATGTTTCAAAGAATGAATAAATGAAAGTAACATTCCATGAAGAAACTCTTACTGGTTTTTTCCCAGAAGTACACCACTAAAAACCAAGCACACAAACTGGTGTAGCAAGCCACTGTGATCTTATTGTTCTCTCCAGTTTAATAGTGGGGTAAATTGAATTGGAACTTAACCCAGGATCAAGTTCATGGATTTCTATTGCAAGACAGTGAAACCATTAATGTAACGAGATTATTTTTGACAGGTGCTAATAGATAGTTATGTACTAACAGAAGCGAAATGCTTAAACTCTCCCTATTCTGCTATTATGGTTCTGCTTTTTGCGGAGGATATAATACAATAAGAAGAAAGCAAAAAGATACAACTGTTCAGTATATTTTTACAAGTATATCTACCTTAAGTTGACTTGTGGCATTACATGAAGATTACCTTTGCAGAACAGGAATTGAGAGGTTATTTCTACGAAAAGACCTGGTGCCCAACAGTTTTGAAAGGGCACGTTTCAGCTCCTTATTTCTCATGCTGTAGATGACTGGATTCAGCAAAGGAGGGACTATGGAATATATCATCGTAAATGCTAAATCCAGAAATGAGGCAGAATTTGAAGTGGGTTTGAGGTAAGCAAAATCTCCAGTAATTATAAAGATGGAGCAAACAATGAGGTGGGGAAGGCATGTTGAGAAAGCCTTTTTCTTTCCTTGTGTAGAGGGGATCTGCAGCACTGCAGTGAAGATGTGCATGTAAGTCACCACAATGAAGATGAAGCAGCATAACCAAACTATAGCACCTAAGAAAAGAACTCCTATTTCAATTATATACAAGTCAGAGCAGACAACCTTCAACAAGGCTGGAATTTCACAGAAAAACTGATTAATGACATTGGAACAAAAGGGGGATGCAAAGGTGCCTCCAGAATGTAACACCCCATAGAGAAAGATGAAGATCCATACAGCAGAAACCATTTGAATGCAGGATTGCTTATTCATCAGCATCTCATATTGTAATGGATTGCAAATGGCAACCAACCGATCATATGCCATGACTGTGAGAAGAAAGAAATCAGAAGCTAGAAAGAAGAGGAAAAAGAGGACTTGAGCTACACACCCAGCGTAAGAGATGTGTCTGCCATTCATGAGGGAATTGGCCATGGCTTTGGGGAAGATGACGGACACTTGACCCACATCCTGCATGGCCAAATTCATCAGAAAGAAGTACATGGGGGTGTGCAGGTGGTGGTCAGAGGCAACCCCAGAGATGATGAGTTTTCCTGCAACTGCTGCCAGGTAGAAAACAAAGAATCCAATGAAGTACAGCATCTGTATTTCCTGTGTGTTTGAGAATTCCAAGAGCAGAAACTCTGAGAAAGAGGATTCATTAAAGAGGTATTTCTTGTTAAGAATCATATTGTCTATCAAAAGAATTCAAACAGAGTGGTTAGAATGCAGTCTTCATATCATAACAAAGTGAATTGCAATAGTCTAAAACACTAATTTTCAGATTATTAATTTCATCATCAGTGTTGTCATCACCATCATCACCATCATCAGTTGCTTTGGTACTGATAGAACTCCTGGACCTAACATTTGAGAAAAACTCTCCTCTGCTCTGCTCCTTTCCCTCTCCCTCTCCTGATACTGTTTTGTAATTTGCCTTTTATAGTGGGCTGAAAGGAAAGGGAGTTGAAACCAGTTTTATTTTTCAGTGCACTGACAAAAATCCATGTAGAATTTAGAGAGGAGCTTGTGATTCTATTTCACAACAGAAGAGAATCTCTCCTGTCATTCTTTCCCTATTTACTTAGGAGGGTTCACTGGACACATTGGTGAGTACCATGAACTATATGGGTTACCTGTTTCCACCACCAGAAGCTCACACCTGCTCCAAACTGCCCTGATCTATACCCTTTGTCAGTAAACTGTCTCTGCTTATATAGATTTATCTGCTGGAACTTTTTCTTAGGATGAGAGACCCTGATTGGACACCATTCAAGACAAATAATTGGAAACCTTCTGTGCAGAGTGCGGAGTTAAAACATGGGAGCCACTTTCACAAGGGGTGGTGATGGCAGCAACTTGGATGCCCTTAAAATGGGAATAGACAGATTCAAACAGTATGAAACTATCAAGAAGTACTCATCATAATGCCCGCGCCCAGGCATTATGCCAGGCTATATTTGCTGGAGAACCTGAGTGGTTGTCCTTTCAGGGTAGTGAGAATCAGCTTCACCTTCTTATGAACAGACTGCAGGACTAGACAGGAAATCAGTCTCATCCAGCATGGTTTGTTTTATATTCTTGCTCTTTCATCCTCACATGAATATCAATAGTACACATCAGCATCAATAGAAAGTGAAGTTACTGTTACCTATGGTAAACACTTGCATGCATGCATACATGCTAAACACAGGTGGCAAAAGGGGCCAGTCTGAGTACAAATCACCTGTTAAGCATAATCAGGAGATGAGGTACAGCTGTCAAAGCCAAACAGGAATCATGGAAGGACAACTGGCCTCTTCAATCTCCAGCTGATTTTTGCAGCTTCACAGGGCTAGTAGAGGCCCAGTAGGGTTTACCTCATGGCAAAAGCCCTTGCCTTGGGTCTTGAACTGTTTGCATGTAAGGCAAAAAAGTTCTTTGGCTAATGGATCCATATTGAAAAATAATTGGATAGGCAAGTATTGCAAGGCCCCCAATCTGGAAGTAGCCCTAACCTTGTGAGCTCCACCAGCCTCTTTGCTCACGTTTGTCCTCTACTTCCACCCATGTTTATCAGCTTACTTAGAAGTTCTCAGCTCACTTCTGTATTTCATGTATTTATGACATGCAGGACTGACTTTTCCTTCAAGGGCCCTCAGGTGTGATATCTACTCCCATCAACCTCTGCCTAATGAATCCAGAATCAGAAAATATACTTCTAACATGAAATTAAAAGAGCAGAGTCTGAGAGCAGCATATTCCTGCATGTAGTAGCACACTTGAAATACGTATAGGTAATTTCTTCCATAGAAAATGTAGGTGGGGAACTGGGCAATTACAGAACACATTAAGTGCATGGCTTTCCCAACTCAGGAATGCAAGCCCAAGTAATATTCCTGAGAGTGTGGTAATACACAGCAGTTATGTTGAATGTGTCTGAGAACAGCCTACAAGAGAGTACAGGAATGCACAGGAGCAATCCTGCAGAGATTTAGGCACACTTAAAGTGACTGATGTCATTGTACCTAATTCCGCAGTAGATTATGACAGTGCAGATTACATGAATTAAAGCAAATAGCCTTTCAACAGCATCCTTGGGGATACTTGGGAATCAGTGAAGTTGGCACACCCAGCCATCTGTTTCATGATCAAGGGATACATATATTTAGATTTGCATTCACATATGTTACCTTCTACAATTTTAAATATTGGTACTGGAACTGGCCCTTTGGACATGCCATAAAAACAAGCATGTTTGTCAATGAACTGATCTCCAAGGATATTAACTGGACAGAATATTTATTTGTACACTTTGTTATTCATGTCAACCTCTTCCTCAGCATAATCTCCACACTGCTACTGCATCTGCACAGTCACATTAATCCATACCAACCAGTTAATATCCCAGCCTTAACAGCATTCCTTCCCACAAGTGGAGTCCATTCCCCCATTAGTTGTCCAATTATCCCTTGGGAGCAAACCAGAAATTCCATTTTCATCATCAGGATAAAATGGGTTCATGTGTCAAGTCTGTTTTCACAGACTTCCTACTTTTCCTGTGTGATTCTTTTGAGAATATTTGCCATGTACAAAGACACTCACAAATACACACACTATACATGTTCTTCAAAATAGCATTTAAGGAGAATCCAGAAATTTCAGCTAGTACAAATCAGAGCTGTGATAATTATGGGCATATTCCATAATTGCCCTTTCTCATCCACAATTTGTTTTCGGGGGAGGCATTCAAACAGCTGGTTTTCACTTGTTTAGCTCTACACAGCTTTTAACTCAATGGGCATTTCACAGCAAGCAATATACATTGTTCAGTGCATGCCATGAAAAGCAAAGTCAAGCTCTTTCCTCAGAGAACTCAACCTACTCACCAGATGGTCACAAGTTTCCCACAGCAAGGCAATTTCCATACTCACTGCTCAGTCCTCCCAATCTCACTCTTGTCACACATTCACCAGAAAGCAAAGTTCCCTTCTGTGCTGCATTCTTCCATAAGGACCTTAGCTATGTCTTTGTGATTGGGTTCTGAAGTGTGTTTGGAGGTGGGTTATCCCTCTTCCATTTCCCTAGTGTACCTCCATCTCTGAAAAGTATTCTAACTACCATTTCTGTAAAGTATCCTAAACATTTTCCCCACAATAATCTCCTTCCTTGCAATCATACACTTTATTCTTGTTTCAGAGAGTAAGTAGGGTGACTTGCATACCTTTCAGCCAATAGGAACAAGCAGGGTGATGCTGTGTGTATTCCTAAGGAGGTGAAGGTAGTAGAGATCAGATACCTAAAGCAACCCCTTCCACTGCTGCTCTTTCCACAGACTCTATGATATTTCCTCACCGCTAACTCCAATGGAGCTCCCAAGTCCAGATGTCACAAGAAACTGCAGTGAAATGTGGAAACCTTTGAACTTTTGTAGTTTCAGGAAACCAAAGATACATGTTGAGCCATTGCAACTGTGCTTGGATAACATGGCAGACCAACAATGCTAACAATTCACCATGGCTTCTGGTGAAGTGCAAATCCAGCCAAAGCTTCATGTCACACTTACTCACATATTTGTCTACCTGAACGTTAAGGTCACCACAGCAGTCTTTTTTCAAATGCCCACTCATCCTGAGCCTTGATGAGTGGCAAGAACATGGAGGGCTTTTTGGTGTTAGCCCCCATTCTCTAGAGTTCCCTCCTAAGGGAATTCCACCTGGCACCTGCAGTACTGTCTTTTCAGTGCCAAACTAAGGCATTCCCTTGGTCCCAGGCAGTTTAAATCTAATCTATACTGAGCTGCATATCATTTCTTGGAAAAATTGTGACCACATTTAGGATAGGGGTAGGGTCTGTTTTGCTTTTTGCCAGTTTATATTTAAAGGAAGGGGGATCCCTGATAAGGCAAGGTCTGTGATAACACAGAGAGACCAGTTGCATTCAAACAAATGTGAGCAGAAGTTCCTTTCAGAGCTTGCTATTCGATTCAGCAAAGTCTGAATTGATGGGACGGAAGTTGGTCCATATAGGTGACAAGTCCCAACTTTCTAATCACTTAAAGGCCTCTTGTATTCAGTATGCAAGAAAACGTTTAGCCTTCCGTTACAGGTGATACAGGTTTTCTGCATTCACAACCTGTGTGAATTTACACATGAAGTCACTTTCTTTCTCACCTGTTCCCAGTAGCAAGATTTTGTCAGCTCAGAGCTAAGGGAGGTGGAAGGGGAGAAAAGTCTTCCTAAAAGAATTATTATTTCCTCTCTTACCCACCAATCCCATATCTCTTGTATGTTGTAAACCGGTGAGGTTTTCTTTTATCTGAGTGTACGTGCCTACTACAGGGAGGGAGGGAGGGAGGGAGGGAGGGAGGGAGGGAGGGAGAGAAAGAGAGAATCTAAAATGGGGTATGGCAAGTTGATTTTAACTGTTTTCCTGCTCAGTTACTCCATGGCTAAAATTTAGATTTCCAAACACTGAACCAATTCATATAAATGGATAACTCACCATTTGGCATTTGGTGAGAAACATATTTCTATTAACGCCATCATGAGCAGAACACATTAAACGCACCATGCTGTCTCACTATACTTCTGATTTCTTATCTCAGTTCTGAGAAAAATATGTATCTTCTTGCTTTGTTTTTATATGTTAAATGTTGTTATTACAGATACACAAAATTCACTTTTGCAGAACAAGACTGGAGAACACTTTACTAGAAGACCAACAAATACCAAATAACCTTGTCAGAGCATGTTTGATGTCCTTGTTCCTCATGCTGTAGATTACTGGATTCATCAAGGGTGGGACCATGGTATATACCAAAGTAAATGCCAAATCCAGATGTGAGGTAGAGTTAGAGGTTGGCCTGAGGTAAGCAAAATATCCTGTGACTATTAGTGTGGAGAAAACAATGAGATGAGGAAGGCAAGTTGAGAAAGTTTTTTGCCTCCCCCGCACAGAAGGGATTCTTAGAACTACAGCAAAGATGTGCACATAACTCACAACAATGAAAATACAACACACTAAGCTAAAGATAACAACTAAGGAAAGGACTCCGGTTTCAAACAGGTTCGATTCAGAGCAAGCAAGCTTAAGTAAATGGGGGATTTCACAAAAAAACTGATTGACCACATTTGAGCAAAAGGGAGCTGCAAAGGTCCCTCCAGTGTGTAACACAGCACTACAAAAACTAAGGATCCATACAGTAGTAATTATTTGAATGCAGGATTGCTTATTCATCAGCTTCTCATATTGCAATGGATTGCCAATGGCAACATACCGATCATACGCCATGACAGTGAGAAGAAAGAAATCAGAAACTATAAAGAAGACATACAAGAGGACCTGAGCCACACACCCAGAGTAAGAAATGTGCCTGCAGTTCATGAGGGAGTTGGCCATGGCTTTGGGGAAGATGATGGACACTTGACCCACATCCAGTATGGCCAGGTTCATGAGAAAGAAGTACATGGGGGTATGCAGGTGGTGGTCAGAGGCAACTGCAGAGATGATGAGAATGTTTCCCACGACTGCTGCCAGGTAAAAGGCAAGGAATCCAATGAAGAGTGGAATTTGCAGCCCTCGAATATTTGAGAATTCCAGGAGAAGAAATTCAGATTGGACTGTTTCATTGTTTAACTCTTGTCCCTGAAGAAACATATGGCCTATCAAATGAAGCAAGGACACAGTGGTTAGAAAGCAGGCTTAATATGTTAATATGTGGGGTTATCATACTTAAAATATTAATTAAAATCTCACAGTATTTATTATTAGAAAGTTAGTACATAGTTGCAGCAGTGAGCATCATACTGACATGTGCAAGCTTAGTAAAAGGTATTAGTAAAAGTATTGGTAAAAAGAACATTAGTAAAATTGGTTTTTTACTAATATACAGATTTATTGTTTCATCCTTTTTAATTCACAAATGGGCATCTTCAGTTGTATGACAAAAAGTCATTTAAATATTATAGGGGGACAATTTTTGCAAGTTCTCTGTTCTCTGGGAAGGTTCACATGAACCCCTCCACATATTCAGTGAGCAGTGAATGGCATTCTTGGAGTTCTGCGCACCTGGCCCACCACAACTACAACCCTTTCCATGTTGGTCTTGGCAGCCTTTCTCAATCTGCCTAGCAGTACACAGGATTTGGTACTTCCTTTTTCCAACTTCAGACTCCACCAGTACAGAGACTTGGTAAAATGCTTCCCACTGCTTGGTCAGAAGTTACAGACCGCCATCTTTCAAACTTGGCTTCCTGGCCAGAGAAACAAACTGAAGTTGTGCGTATTTGTCTACTGAGCAATGTTAGAATGATAGGAAACTAGCTGCATAGCAGTGACAAAGGAATGATTCTAAATGGAAAAGTCAAAGCAACATGAGAAATGAGAATGGAGTGAAGTTCATAGGTTAAATGCAAGTGTGTTTGACATGGAAATCAGTAACTGGAGGACATTTGTATTTATATGTAAGATAAAAGCATCTGGTTCAAATTTACACATACATGCACACACAAACTCAAACATGGGATACAAAAGTTATTCAGTAATGTTATATCAAAACAACAAAAGAACGAATATTAAATTTGTCCAGCATTTTATATAGTGCTTATGAGAGTTCACACTGCCCACCTGAGACCTGAAGCAACTGAATAAACATACCAAAACTCTTGTTCCTTTCAATTTACTCTATCTCCATTTGCTCAAATATCTGAGCAGGAACCTCCAGATGAACATGAAATTGCACTGAAAATGATGTCACTTCTGATGCTGACAGTCACTCTCTTTTGCTCAAGAGATGCCATTCATCCATGCAGGCCAGCAAGTTGTTACCTGAAATTTTCAGAAAATATTTGAGCATCTCACATAATAAAAGATGCACTTACTGTATAGAACAAATTAGCCTCCTCTCCTGAAAATTTGCTGATATGGTCAGGAAAGAAGAAATTACTTGAACACAAGTGGATGACAGATTATCCCTTTCCTCCTCCTGTTCTTTCAAGTGTATATATGTATATGCCTTTTTTCAAGGCATGAATACTGCTTATTTCTAATATTAATCATGATCAACAGCACAAAATTGCATAGGTGCAATTATAATAAAATAATTGCATAGTACTTGGGACTTCCTAGCCCCAGAAGTAGATCTCTCCTGGTGAAACAAAACTTGGAGTAATACAATGTCATGGGATGGAGACAGATGGATATTACTAAATTTGAGTTGTGGTGTAAGGGCAATAAACTTACATGATTATTATATCTCAGATTGTCTATGTTATATGTGGAAGTCTTCTATCAGAGGACAATTATTTCTGCTGATGAGGACTGACTCCCATCATTTTTGCAAAGAGCCCAAGATGTGCCCATCATCCTTCTCCTCTATATTTTATCCTCACAACTCTCTGTGTTAGGTAGAGTCAGTGACTGGTCACAGTGATCCAGGAGGCTTCATGTGTGAGTAGAAACTCCAAGCCAGGTATCCCTGCCTCAGACGAACACTCCAGCCCCACACTAAGATCTTAGCATTATGCCTACATGCATGAACCATCTTTGGTTTCCACCACATGTGGAGGCTTGGGAGAGGGTAGACTCTGTTCACAAATACTCTGAGCTTGTTTACAGGGCAAAGGATTTCCTTTCTTTCACCTTTCCATATTTAGACATGTGGGTTGTCTTCACAATGCCTACCAGAAATGATGTCACATGAGAGCAAAAATACCATTACAAGGCCTGTCATGGAGACAGCCACAGCCTGACCTATTTGTGGAAAGGAAATACAGTGCATTGTTGTGTTGTCCTCTCCATCATTGTACTCTTGCATTATTAAAGAAGATTTCTATATTTTCCTGAGCTACCAACATGACAGTTATGTATGAGAGTTATACATGAAAGGTATGCATGAAAAGTATGCTTAAGGCAACAAAACTGGAAAAGTTGATGGGGGAAAATGTATTCAGGAAAGTTCTTTTCAGCAAGATCTTACTGCCAATTTTCTCTTACATCAACATAAAGCTGTAAGAAGTTGGGTTCTAACTACTCAGTACCCCAGTAATTTCTCATCTGCAATTAATTTTTGGGCCAATTCAGGGTGCTGGTTTTGACTCTACAAAACGTGGTGAGCCAACATCCCAAACCCCACCAGACCCCACATTCTGAGGCTTGTGTATGGCAACAACAGACAGGGCTTCTTTGTTGGTGGTGCCCCAGCTCTGGAATGCTCTCCCAAGAGAAATCCTCTGGACACCCACACTGACATCTACTCAGTTCAAGGATAAGACTTTCCTGTTCTACCAGGCTATTCATATAAATTCCTGAGCTGCATAGCATTTGCTGCTAAAATTGTGGCCACATGTAGACATGGTGGAATTAGTCTGTTTTATAACCCCACACACACACACACACATATGTCCAACTGACAGGCATGAATGGTCCATGAATCACACAGAGAGTTCTATTTCCATTCAGGCAAATTCAGATTGAACTTCCAGAGCTTGCTGATTCCAGAACTTCCAGAGCTTGCTTCCAAAGCAAGGTGTGAAGTGATGAGGGTGAGACTAGTATGCTTGGAAATGTAGGGGCAGTGACAGCAAGCTGGCCCCAACTGTCTGAAGAACTTCACCCTTCATGCCTTCAAAATGCAAGTATGCATTTAGAGTTGTAGAATTATATGCAATGCAGCTCTCACTTGTGCTGTGTGAAGGCACAGCATCTGCCCTTCCTCCTCACACACTTGAAAACTCTCCTTCCAAGCAAACAAGCAAGCAAAATTCAAACCTGGACCTATGCTTCTGAAATGTTCATTCATTCATTCGTTCATTCATTCATTCATTCATTCTAGCTTGGGCCATATCTAAGCTCTTTATCACTTTCATAACAAGTGCACACAGAAAACATGGGGTGACCCTCTAAGAAGGACATTTATCTCAAAGTTAATCAAAGAAACAGGAAAAAGTTTTGGCAGCTACTTTTAAAAAACCATAAAGATGTAAAGGTGACTAGAAGAAGGTGCTCTTCATACATTTACCAAGGTACTCTGTTGTGGTTCATATTTGTTCATACTAATGAAGAAATTTTCCTTTCCCAAACATTATTAAGCATTGACTTAGTCTATCTTGAAGAATATGCATTTTCACATTCACAATCACCATTTACAACTTCAAAGAACTTCAGTGGGGACATACATGGACTGATCATATGCTGATTTATTTGTGGAACAATACAAGGAAAGCTCAATATCTCTGTCTTAAACATGAACTCTAGACTTAAGTCTTTAACTTAAGACACACTGCATGCATAGCTGATATAGAGCCTCCTCTTCCTCCTCCCTCCCTCCATCATCATCATCATCATTTCTCTCTCTCTTTCCCCCCACCTCACTCATTCCCTCACTCTCTGTGTGCACATGTGTATGTGTGTGAATGTAGAAAGAAAGAGTCACACAAAGAACTGGTTCTTTCATAACCAGAATTTGTGGGCTATTTAATGCCTGCATTGCTGAAATTTATTGGAACCAAGTGAGTGTGCTGCTCCAGCATGTCATCCAGAGTTTCACCTCAGGAAGGGCCCTCAGCTGGTCTCCTCTGCCCCACAACTCCACTTGGCCAAAGCAGAAAGCTGTGTTGTGCTGCACAGCAGGTCCATTTCCTCTGTTCAGGACTGTGACTTTGGGAAGTGAGGAGAGGGGATTGTCAAAGGTGGTCCAGTAGATGGGAAGAGGTCCAACTAATGAGAACTGCTGAGAAGCATGGCAGAGAGGCAACAACGGCCTCTGTGCCTGCCAAAGACTGACAAGGTTTAGGATGTACAGAGCTCTCCACCACCTGAGTGTTTAGCTTCTGGAATTGCTCTGTGCAGCATATTATAAAACCAATTAGTGTGATGAACCTGCAAGTTGACCAGACAGAGAAGTGCTTTTGATTGTTATTTTCTCCTCTACCTTTGCCATTTAATTTTTCCTTCTGTGACACTTCTTTGAAGATTGTCAGCCTGCAGGGCAGGGCATCTCTCTTTGATTGGCTTAGGTGTAACCCATTCTTGGTCCATATAATTTATTTATTTTAGTTTATTTTTAGGAAGCAGCATAGAAATACTTCAAATAAATCACTAATAAAGCATTCATTGCACAAAGATACTACAGAGTTTATTCTTAGTGCTAAGAAACAACTGCAAAGCAGGAACAGCATCACACTTTACTCAAGTGAAAGTGTGTGTTGATTTGGATTGGAACTCTAACATAGGATATTGAAGTAACCCTCCCACCCACGCATATGCATAAACACCCTCTTATAGATGCCAATCAGTTATTCTATAGCTATCATCTAGATCACCAAATTTGGTAGGAAATTACAGATGCAAAACTACACTAGCAGGACAGGAAAGGACTCCTCCTATTTTCACACTATGTTTCTGCTTTTTCAAACTTACATTAGAGCAAGAAGACAAAAAAAGACCTACTTACTAGTTTTATCTTTACATCAACATGTACTTGTGTACCATTTATACTACAAAATTCACCTTTGCTGAACAAGGATTGAGAGATTATTCCTAAAAGAAGACCTCAAACCAAATAACTTTGACAGAGCATGTTTTACATCCTTGTTTCGCAGGCTGTAGATTATGGGATTCATCATAGGTGGAAAACTGGAATACAGCAAAGTAAATGCCAAATCCAGATGTGAAGTGAAATTAGAGGTGGGTTTAAGGTAGGCAAAATATCCAGTGAATATAAACATGGAGTAAACAATGAGATGAGGAAGGCAGGTTGAGAAAGCCTTTTGTCGTCCAAGCGCAGAGGGGATCCTCAGGACTGCAGTGAAGATGTGCACGTAAGTTACAACTATGAAAATAAAACAGCATAACCCAATGCTAGCACTTACAAAAAGAACCACTATTTCAGCTAAATGGAAGTCAGAGCAGGCAAGCTTCAGTAAGGCTGGGATTTCACAGAAAAACTGATTGATGTCATTGGAGCAAAAGGGGGTTGCAAAGGTGCCTCCAGTGTGCAACACATCGTAGAAAAAGCTGACATTCCATACAGTAGCAATCATTCGAATGCAAACATGCTTATTCATCAGAATCTCATAGTGCAGTGGATTGCAAATGGCAACATACCGATCATACGCCATGACAGTGAGAAGAAAGAAATCAGAAGCTATAAAGAAGACAAACATGAGGACTTGAGCCACACATCCAGAGTAAGAAATGTGCCTGCAGTTCCTGAGGGAATTGGCCATGGCTTTGGGGAAGATGACAGACACTTGTCCCACATCCTGTATGGCCAGGCTCATTAAGAAGAAGTACATGGGGGTGTGCAGGTGGTGGTCAGAGGCAACTGCAGAGATGATGAGAAGGTTTCCTGCAACTGCTGCCAGGTAGAAAACAAGGAATCCAATGAAGTACAGTATCTGCATTTCCCAAACTTCTGAGAATTTCAGGAGAAGAAACCCAGACAGGGAGGATACATTAGCTAGATGTTGTTCCTTATGAAGCATCTTATCTTGAAAAGCAAGCAAATGTACAGTGTTAGAATGAGGGCTTCATACTGCAAGAATTCATCAAAGTACTGAAAATATTGATTTTAAACTGACAGCATGAGTATGACAAGTATCCCTGGTACTATTAGTTTATTGTTTTAATATCCACAGTAGGCCTGGGCCTCAGTCTTTTCTATTCTTTTTTCATAACCTATTTTTTCTAGATTTTTCATGTGTAATTTAACAGACTGGGGGGAGGGTAAGGAGGAGAAAACAGTCCCTGCCTCCTGCAATTTAACTTCATTGGTTTCTATATTTTGAAATATTCATAATAATCATGTTTAATGTTCTGCCACTTGGTGAGTCAGATTTCATGACAGCTTTGTTTCTCTTGTTTTGTGAACAGGTACAGAGAATTGATTTAGCAAGGAAGGAAGGAAGCCAGCCAGCCAGCCAGCCATACCCCTGCCCTGCATTGGAATTTATTGGCAATCAAATGTTGAGCTTGGTTTCATGCTAAAAAAGTAAACTTTAATTCTGGGCATTCAACATGAAAGCTAAAATGGTAGCAAAATGAATGCCTTTGACTTATAAAGGAGCATTAGGAATAAAAATTAAAGAAAACTAAAGAATATGGAAGGGAAAAGCACTGTAGTTATTCCTTGTGACTGGCACAGAATTGAAGTAACTGACTGAGAAAGATAAAATTTAAAATTTCATGAGATATGCAGTGAAAGACAATTCTAAATATCCAGACTCAGGAAGGAGATACAGTAAAGAATTCAGTAATATCATATCCAAGCTTGTAAGTATTAAACCTTTATTCCATTTCAGAGAATATTTACTAGGCGTCTCCAAATCACTTGGTCCACCTGAGATTTTTTTTTAAATCTTACTGCTGTTCTTAGTGCTTCTTCTCTAAACATTACTCACTTTAAATTCCCCAAAATGTCTTACCTGAGGATTTATCTGCAGATTAAGGAAAAGTTTCATCTAAAATTAGTTTCATCCTGATGCTGATGTGGGATTATCTCTTGCTGAAATGATGCTGCTGCTTTTGGAAACTAGTCAACAGATGCAAGCATTTTGGCCACTGCAAATATGGAATAGCATTTCGGAAAGCATTCCAGAATCCAGAGTGAGGGTATCACAAGAACACATGTATTCTGATTAATGCCATGTTCATAAGCTCAGAGAGACCTGTACCTAACAATGACTATATCTGGAATAAAACATAAGATAGATCAGGAGGGTATTTTCTTAGCTTGCATTTTGAGATCACATGAAACACTGCAGAATTAAATTGTTTCACATAGCTTGTATTCCTCCTCCACTTTCTCTTAGCTTCACACTTAGCTGCACCACTGCACAGATATCCATGACTTTTTATGCTAGCTCTCTTGCAACAATCATGAGAGTGAGGATTTCTCAAGTTGCTGGTTGGGAATGTATTAATATCCTTTTTATCCCTAGAGAGTCACACTCAGGGGAGTCCAACAGAGTTTAGTAGTAGAAGTGCACAAAAAGCACATTAATTCCTGAGAGTGTCATTTTGTAAATATGTTTAGGTAGGATGGGAGTGTTTGGGATGATAAGGATGTTAGGACCTAAAGAACTTCGATTTCCTTTTTTTGTTTTGCTGTGTATTTCTTCATAAGAATTCTTTAGAGAATACCTAGATAGCTACAACTGTAAGAGTGAGCAACACCATGTACTTGTGATGGGATTGAACTACTCAAAGTCAATCCACTGCCTGTGCATTTCTAACAGCAAGTCACAATGTTGCCAATCCTTGTGCAGTGCACCAAGTTGTTTACCATCCACATTTCATTTTCTTTCCTAAGGGTATCACCTTGGCTAAGGGAATGAAAGCATTAAAGGATGTTAAAGGATATGTGTTCCCTTCTTACCTGCTATCCTGTATTACTGGATTTAAGTTTGTAATGCCCAAGTGCATATTACACTGCAAAAGCAACACATTACTTAGCCTTCCTTATCAACAAAAGGCAATGGGCAATCAGATTGCCTAATTAAAGGAACATAGAATTGAGGCAGAAGCAAAAGAAAATCAATGAACAAGGGGAGTATGTCTCTGTTAGTTTTTCTGGACCTGTCACTGACTTTCAATACCATCGACCATGGTATCCTTCTGGATAGGTTGGCTGACTTGGAAGTTGGAGGCACTGCTTTGGAGTAGTTTTGTTCCTACTCGACTGGCCAATTCCAGAAGGTGGTGCTGGGGATTATTGTTGTTGTTACTCACAAAGTTATGTCCGACCCATCGCGACCCCATGGACAACATTCCTCCAGGCCTTCCTGTCCTCCACCATCTCCTGGAGTCCACCCAAGCTCACACCAACTGCTTCAGTGACTCCATCTAGCCATCGCATCCTCTGCTGTCCCCTTCTTTTTTTTTTGTCATCAGTTGTTTCCAGCATCAGCGTCTCATCTTTTCTAGCTGTTCTCTGGAATTCTGCATTCAATTGTTTGTATCTTTCTCTTTCTCTCTTGCCTTTCACTTCCCTTCTTTTCACAGCTATTTGTAAAGCTTCCTCAGACAGCCATTTTGCTTTCTTGCATTTCTTTTTCTTTGGGATGGTTTTAGTTGCTGCCTTTTGTACAATGTTGCGAACCTCCATCCATATTTCTTCAGGCACTCTGTCTATCAGATCTAATTCCTTAAATCTATTTGTCACCTCTACTGTATATTCATCAGGGATATGATTTAGTCATGCCTGAGTGGCCTAGTGCTTTTCCCTACTTTCTTCAACTTAAGCCTAAATTTCAGCTCCTGGTCTAGTTTTTACTGACTGTACAGAGCTTCTCCATCTTTGGCTGCAGAGCACATAGTCAATCTGATTTCTGTATTGACCGTCTGGTGATGTCCATGTGTAGAGTCGTCTCTTGGGTTGTTGGAAAAGAGTGTTTGCTATGACCATTTTTTTCTCTTGACAAAATTCTATCAGACTGTGCCCTGCTTCATTTTGTACTCCAAGACCAAACTTGCCTGTTATTCCGGTTATCTTTTGGCTTCCTACTTTAGCATTCCAATCCCCCATGATAATAAGGACATCATTTTTTGGAGTTAATTCTAGAAGGTGTTGAAGGCCTTCATAGAACTGGTCAACCTCAGCCTCTTCAGCACCAGTGGTTGGGGCATAGACTTGGACTATTGTGATGTTGAATGGTTTGCCTTGGATTCGAACTGAGATCATTCTGTCATTTTGGAGATTGTATGCCAGTACTGCTTTTCCTACTCTTTTATTGACTATGAAGGCTACTTCATTTCTTCTGAGGGATTCTTGCCCGCAGTAGTATACCTGATGGTCATCTGAATTAAATGCACCCATTCCTGTCCATTTTAGTTCACTGATTCCTAATATGTCGATGCTCAGTCTTGTCATCTCTTGTTTGACCACATCCAGCTTGCCTTGATTCATGGATCTTACATTCCAGGTTCCTATGGAGTATAGGTCTTTGCAGCATTGGACTCTCCTTTCACCACCAGATACATCAGCAACTGAGTGTCCTTTTGGCTTTGACCCAGTCGCTTCATTCTTTCTGGCACTACTAGTACTAGCCCTCTGCTCTTCCCCAGTAGCATATTGGACACCTTCTGATCTGAGGGGCTCATCTTCTGGCATCATATCTTTTTGCCTTTTGGTTCTGTCCATGGGGTTTTCATGGGAAAGATACTGGAGTGGGTTGCCATTTCCTTCTCCAGTGGATCATGTTTTGTCAGAGCTGTTTGCTATGACCTGTCTGTCTTGGGTGACCCTGCACGGCATAGCTCATAGCTTCATTGAGCTATGCAAGCCCCTTCACCACGACAAGGCAGTGATCCATGAACGAGGCTGGGGATTATAGCTCTGTGCTAAGCTATGGAGTTCTGCTGGGTTCCTTTTTTTCCAACTTCTAAATGAAACCACTGGGAGAGGTCATCCGGGGGTTTGGACAGAAGTGTCACCAGTACAGCAACGACATCCAGCTCTTTCTCACCTGTTCACCCAATCCAGGTGAGGTGGTGATGGTTCTGAATCAGTGGCTTGATGGTATGATGGTCTGGATAAGGGTCAATAAATTGAGACTTAAGATAAGTTATAGGTCCTGTTGGTGAATGGTTCAGCTGTCCTGGTTAGTATTTGCCTTTTTCTGGATGGGGTTGCACTCTCCCTAAGGGACAGGGTGCATAGTTTGGCAGTGCTTCTTGGCCTGGAGTTATCTCTGTAATTCCAGGTTACTGTCGTGAAGAGGAGCACTTTCCATTAGCTTTGGCTAATCCATCAGCAGTGTCCTTACCTGGATGAGCAGAGTCTAGCAACAGTAATCCACACTCTGGTAACCTCCTTATTGGACTATTGCAACATGCTCTACATGGAGCTACCCTTGAAGTTGGTCTGGATGTTTCACTTGGTACAGAATAGAGCTGCAAGACTAGAACGGGCAGATCATATAACATTGATTCTATATCACCTTCATTGGGTACCACTTGAAGTCCAGGCCCAATTTAAGGTGTTAACTTTGATATACAAAGCCCTAAATAGTTTAGGGCCTGGATATTTGAAGAAACGTCTCCTCCTGCCCAAATTCTAAGATCTTCCACTGAGGTCCATCTTTGGGAGCCCTCTTTGAAGGAGTTCAGAAGAGTGGCTACCTAGAGAAGGGCTTTTCTGTGGTAGCACCTCAGCTTTGGATCCTGCTCCTCAGGGAGATGCACCTGGTGCTCACATTTTATTCTTTTTGGTGACAGGCCAAAACCTTTTAATTGACCCATTATTTTAAGGGTTGATAATTTTATCATATAGTTGAATTATTTTACTGTATATTTTATATATGATAGTTGTATTTTAATGTGCTGTTACTCTCTTTATTGTAAACTGTCTTGAGATCTGCTTGAATAAAGACTGGGATAGAATTTACATAAGTACTTAAAAACATAAAATAATGGAAAGCTAAGATCATATCTTCTCTCTTTCTTTTTCTCTTGTGTTAAGTGTCTCTTCCATGTCCTTCTAAGAGGTCACTGACCAATTGTAATTCCAGGTGTCATGAATGTTTTTAATGATTCCTGTTCCCATTCCTGTCCTGTTATCCATCTTCTTTAGTAGTCTTCATATGAAGCATCCCTAAATTCTGTTGTTTTCCCAGAAAGAAACTGTATCTGGAAATGGATTAGCTCAAGACTATTTAAATGTAATATCCTGCTGAGCTGCAAATGATGTATTGATGAATTTGTGACCAGAAATAGGAATGGAAGGTTTTGTCTATTTTGCTTTTCTGCCCTTTAGATGTTACTGTTTTCTTTATCTCTGATGAGGCAATGATCACATAGAGACTTCAACTTGCCTTCAAACAAAGGTAAGTAGAAGTTCCATTCAAAACTTGATGATTCAACTCAGCAAGGTCTGAACTGATGGAGCTGAATATATAATACCTGGAAATATAGGTTCAAGCCCCAAAAGACAACTCAATTCAATCTGTCATGTCTTCAGTCTGCAAGAAAAATTATAGCCCTACAGGTCATCCAACTTTTGGGGATCCACTGCAGATTTTCCATGACATTAACTTCATGGAGTCACTTTTTCTCTCAGTTCCCTCTAGTAGCAACCATTTTGTCCCCACAAAAATGAGGGAGGTGAAAGGGAGACCAGCTTCCCTGAAAGAACTAATATCCCAGGGGCTTTTTTTAGTGAAGAACAGCATGAAATGACTTTAAATAAATGTTTAATAGTTCATCATTCTGCAAACTGAACAAACAAGCAAACAAACAAAGAAGCTATTCAGTTCATAGGAGTGGTCTCCCTTCACTCGACCACAGCTATGGCTACAGAATATAACCAGGTGGGATGCTAACATAGGACTCTAACATCTGGAGTGGGACTCTAATATGGGATACAGCAAGTTGATTTTGCTCTTTCCTCCTGCATTGGAATAGATCCAGATCAGTTACTACTACTACTATTCAGATTGCCATACAATGACGCAGTTAATATGAATAGATAACTATTTGACAGGTGCTGATTTGACAGATGATTATTAATACCACATTCTAAAATTCTTCATACTATCGCCAGTAAAGTTTTGGAATTTTTTTAAAAATATGCTTCCCAGAATGGGAACAGTGAAAAATATGTACTTCCTGGCTATTTCTTTACATGAACATCTACTTAAATGTTGGCTCTGATTATACACAAAATTCACATTTCTGGAACAACAGTGGAGAATGCATCATTAGAAGAGTGGCAAAAACCAAGTAACTTTGACAGAGCATGTTTTATATCCTTGTTCCTCATGCTGTAGATTATTGGATTCATCAAGGGTGGGACCATGGTATAGATCAGAGTAAAAGCTAAATCCAGATGTGAACCAGAGTTAGAGGTGGGTTTGAGGTAAGCAAAATATGCAGTGAATACAAGTAGAGAGAAAACAATGAGGTGGGGAAGGCAAGTTGAGAAGGCTTTTTGCCTTCCCTGCACAGAGGGGATTCTCAGCACTGCAGCAAAGATGTGGACATAAGTAACAACAATGAAAATACAACATGCTAAGGCAATGAGACCAAACAAGGAAAGGACTCCTGTTTCAAACAGGTTCAGGTCAGAGCAAGAAAGCTTAAGTAACTGGGGGATTTCACAAAAAAACTGATTGACAACATTGGAGCAAAAGGGGGGTGCAAAGGTACCCCCAGTGTGTACCACTCCATAAAAAAAACTAACTACCCATACAGTAGAAACCATCTGAATACAGGATTGCTTATTCAGCAGCTTCTCATATTGCAGTGGGTAGCAAATGGCAACATACCTATCATATGCCATAACGGTGAGAAGAAAGAAATCAGAGTTTGCAAAGAAGACAAATAAGAGGACTTGGACAACACATCCAGAGTAAGAAATGTATCTGCAACTCATAAGAGAATTGGCCATGGCTTTGGGGAAAATGACGGACACTTGTCCCACATCCAGTATGGCCAGGTTCATGAGAAAGAAGTACATGGGGGTGTGTAGGTGGTGGTTAGAGGCAATTGCAGAGATGATGAGAATATTTCCTGCAACTGTTGTAAGATAAAAAGTTAGGAATGCAGTAAAGTGTAGAATTTGCAGCCCTCGAGCATTCGAGAATTCCAAGAGAAGAAATTCAGACAGGTTTGTCTCATTATTTAACCATTCTCCCTGAAGAAACATATGACCTGTAGAAGGAAGCAAGGACACAGTGGTTAGAAACTAGCTAAAATATTAACTTAAAGCTCCCAGTTTGCTTGGAACTTAGCAGCAGCAGCATCCACCACAAAAGTAGTAGTAGATGTAATACACTGAGGTGAAATATTTGCAAATAAATGTGTGTTTGACACTGTAGTATGTAACTGACTGAGAAAGGCATTTCAGTTTCTACGTAAGATAAATTGGATTGCAGTTCAAATATCTGCATACATTCAAACACTAAGCACAGATTCATACCTTACTCAGTATTGCTATGACAAATAACTAATATTATATAATGCTTAAGAGAGATGTACAGATCACATGCCCACCTGTGCCCAGGAGAAATGTGAATAAACTTGTCAAAGCACTTTCCTTCCAAATTACTCCCTCTCCATTTGCTCAAATATCTTACCTGAGCAGAAATCTCCAGATGAACATGAAATTTTAGTTAAAATGATGTAGCAGTGGCCCCTGCTGATGCTGACAATCAATCTCTACTGCCCAAGAGATGGCACTCATCCATACAAGCATTTGAATCTTCATTCTGAATTTTCAGAAAATATCCAACATCTCCCATCACAAGAAATGCTTTCTTTTGGGCCAGGTTCCTCAGCATAAAGTCATTTGCTGTGTGAAATCAATTACCTTCCTCTCCTGTAAATTTGCTGATTTGGTTAGGATAGAAAAAAAGGCAAGTCCCTGAACACATAAGGATGACAGAACATGAAGAAATCTGATCCTTTTCCTCTTCTTGCTTTTGCAAATATGTTTATAAAAGAGCATTCATCTGTGGCAAGAAGAATTCTTATTAATCATAAGCAGCACCACAAGTTAGGCGATTAAAATAATTGCATGGTACTTGGGATTTTCTATCCCCAGAGGTAGATCTCTTCTGATGAAACAAAAGCTGAACAAGTGGACTAATACAATCTCATGGGATATAGAGGGATGGCCATTACTGAATTTGAGTTGTAGGGTAAGAATAAATTACTATTATACATCAGATTGTCTATGTTATATGTGGAATTCCTCTATCTAACCCTGGCAAATATTTTCAAAAAGAAATTAGCAATTTTGGGGGGGGGGGTCTTGTCTGCCAAAAATATATATTAAAAGAAATGCAATTTTCCATCAAGGAGTAGAGTTAGTTGGTACAGAAGTGTGTCACAGGGAGTAGAAGTAGAACCCTGGAGCTGTATGAACACGAGGGTAAAAGTGGAGCTCAGAGGAAACTTTCATTGCTTCACTTTCATTGATAAGGGGGCAGCTCCCCTTGTTGGTCTCTTGATTTTTTCCCCAGGCCCATCCAACTCAAAGGAAGTGCCTGTATAGGAACAACCTTTGGTCTGCACCTCATGTGGAGTCTTGGGAGGAGATGGAGACTGCTTGTATAGCATGTCCTTCATTTGTACGGCAGGGCTCAGATTATGGCACACAGGTCATGTTGCATTTTTGGATGGCTCTCCTAGCTCTGTTTCAGGTGAACCTTGGCTTGACTTCTGTCCACCAACCGCAATCTGATGGATAGATGAAGTGCCTGAATGCTGTATTGGTAGTGAATCTCTGCTTCCCAGCATGACAATTGGGTCTTCTAGTTGGTTTTGGCCAAAATTGCATACAACTATGCTCCTATGGGTCCCCCCCCCCCGCCCTTGGTTTTTTTGTTTGTTTGTTTTTGTCCTCTGCAAGCTGCCCAGAGACTTTTAGCAATGGGACAGCATAGAGAAACTTTAAATAAATAAAATAAATACATAATGCTTCTACCTGCAGACCCCTGTCTTTGCCATTCTTGGATACCATCCTAAGTCCTTCCCCCCTCCCTCCATGCTGGCTTCTTCTGCCAGCAGTGGTGGACTTTTTGCAGGAATTGTACTCTGTACTTGCTCCACTGAGGGAACAGGTGGGACAGGCTTAAGTGGATTACAAGGCAGTGTCAAAAGAACATTGCCAACAGGTCATAGACTTGCATGTTGGGGACTGGGTTTGGTTGTCTACCAAGTATTTGCCCCTTTGCTTTTCCTCTCAGAAATTGATAATGCATCTCAGCAGCCATTTGTGCAACTCACAGCTGTCTGAGATTCGGCTGGTGCCAACTTTGTATCCTTTTAGGCACCAGTTAAAAACTGGTGATTTTTCAAGTTTTTTTGGGTGGGTGAGCTGCTTTGCTTTGTTTGGTTGGTTTAATGATTGTATCGTTTTAATAGGTTATGTTGCTGCTGCTGCTATTTCCAATTTTAATGCCAGAAAAACTTCTAGTATGTCCATTTTTTACTTCGTTTGGCTATATGTTAATTGTTTATTTTGCTTTGATTTGATTGTTACTTATTGACTGATTCTACATTGTGAATATTTTAATGAATTGTATTGCTTTTTGTTTATTATGCTGTGAGCTGTACAGAGAGCCTATGGCTAATGGGATGGCATGTAAATTAAATAATAAATAAATAAATCCTTATTTTGTTGGCTGGCTTAGGCATGTATTGTATGTAATGTATTGCTATTGTAGTGTGATTTTATTATTATATTACATTTTTCTTAATTTTGTAAACCATTCAGAGAGCCAATCTAGCTATGATGGTATTAAAAACCTTGTATAAATATCAAAGTAATAAATCAGAATGTAGGGGAAGGTCAAAAATATCTTAGAACTACTGGAAGACCCTCCTTGCAAACAATGAGATTATAGCCTATACACAGAATTCACCTTTGCAGAACAAGAATTGAGAAGGAATCCCTAGAAGAATATTTCAAACCTAAGAGCTTCAACAGAGCATCCTTTATCCCTTTGTTTCGCATGCTATAGATTATGGGATTCATTAAGGGGGGAACAATGGAATATATCAGAGTAAATGCCAAATCCAGAAGTGAAGCAGAATTAGAGGTAGTTTTGAAGTAAGCAAAAGATCCGGTGACTAAAAATAAGGAATAAACAAGGAGGTGGGGAAGACAAGTTGAAAAAGCTTTTTGCCTTCCGTGCACTGAGGAGATCTTCAGCACGACAGTGAAGATGTGCACGTAAGTCACCACAATGAAAATAAAGCAGCCTAATGCAATGATAGCACTTAAAAAAAGAATTCCTACTTCAATTAGATACAAATTAGAGCAGGTAAGCTTTAACAATGCTCGGATTTCACAGAAAAACTGATGAATGACATTGGAGCAAAAGGGGGTTGCGAAGGTGCCTCCAGTGTGTAACACCCCATAGAAAAAGCTGACAATCCATACAGTAGCAATCATTCGAATGCACACATGATTATTCATCAGCATTTCATAGTGCAGTGGATTACAAATGGCAACATATCGATCATATGCCATGACAGTGAGAAGAAAGAAATCAGAGGACATTAAAAAGATAAAGAAGAGGACTTGAGTCACACATCCATAATAGGAAATGAACCTCTGATTCATGAGGGAATTAGCCATGGATTTGGGGAAAATGACGGACACTTGACCCACATCCTGTATGGCCAGGTTCATCAGAAAGAAGTACATGGGGGTGTGTAACTGGCGGTCAGAAGCAACTGCAGAGATGATGAGAAGATTCCCTGCAACTGCCACCAGGTAGAAAAAGGGGAATCCAATGTAATACAGAATCTGCATTTCCCAAACATCTGAGAATTCCAGGAGGAGGAACCCAGACAATGAGGACACATTAAATAGATGTTGCTCTTGAAGAAGCATATTGCCTATAGAACAAAACAAAATCACAGTGGTTATGATTAGGGATTAATATTGCAACAAATGGAGTTTTGATGCTTAAAATATTAAAGTTACATAATCATATAGCAGTAGAAATCATATTTGATCAAAACACACTCGAGATAGCATTAAGGATATCTCATATTGGTTCAGTACAGCAACTCTTATGCCTGATCAGCCCTCTGATCAGTGCTGATTTGCAATACCACCAATTGTTCACGCTTACAACTTACCTTCCATAAAGCCAGACTGTTCCTCCATTTTTCAAATCAAAATTCAGATTTTGGGGATGGGAATAGTTGGACAAATTTCTGCTTTGACTGAAATTATCATTAACCAGTTTTCCATGCTGTCTACATGGTTAAAGAAGCAAACATAGCCATTAGAAAGGAAAATTTTAGAAAGACAGGGAAATAACTGATTCTTGATAGGAATTATTCAATATGAAATGGCAATGAAAAATAAAGGGATACATGTAAAGAGAGATGAATAAAGATGAACCTGAGAGAAAGAGTATTTTTGACTAATACACAAATGAAGTAACTGAGTGTGAAAGCCTTTCCCCACCAAAAAAAATTCTGTATTATATAAACATCATTTTGGTTCAAATGGAAAAGAACAGTATTGATATATATAGTCAATGTGAACACAAGATACAGTAAATTCTTTAGCATCACAACGATAGAATAACAATGACTAGATTTGCCTATTGTTTCCAGAAATATTTACTTTTTCTATGTACTTTCAAATCATCCCTGACTTATGGAGAAACTATTATGAATGCCTTCCATAGTGTCCTGTCCTTGGCAGCTCTGCTCAGGTCTTGCAAACTCAAGGTTGTGGCTTCCTTTATGAAATCAAGCCATCTCATATTGGGTCTGTCTTCAACCTTCAAATGACTCATCCTGCCTACACCCATATTTAGGCTTCCCTTAAAATTACTCCTATTAATTAATTAATTAATTAATTAATATTTGCAAATCTTTTACCTGAGGAAGAATCTGTAGACTATATTCAAATGTTAAATGTCACTGGTCACCATTGATACTCATGATGACTGTACGTTGCAGGCTACTTGACCAATCATGTTCATCCGAGTTGGCAATTGTATTTTTGTGTCAACATTTTAGGAAAAGTCTGGCATTCAGAAAAACATTGTTTATAAAGTGAAGTTCTTTAATTCATGTCAGGTTCATCAGCAGAGAGAACATAGTTGCTACCAATGTGTGCACCTTCTCCTCCTGCAGATCTATATATGAACATAGCCTTGAATATATGGACTAATATTTTTTGAATATTAGTCCATCATCCCAATTAATTATATTTCAATGCGAAATCACTCACCCTGCCAATAGGAGATTAGAATAATCTTATCAACATTCTTCAGACTTGTGTTAAAATTATCCTTAAAATGAAACATTCTCAAAAGTCTTGTGAAATCCCCAGATTAACATTAAATGACATTTACAATTAAATCACAGTGGAATTTCTTGAAGCTGAAATTGGATCCATGCTGGAGATTAATAATCAGGTTGTATTTATTTATACTGACAATCAGTATAAATAATTTCAGAAAATATCCCACCATCCAGTAAATCAGCTCACAAAACTAGAAGTCCAGTGCTTTATACCATGTTCATTAACATAGAGATCATTACAGGAAAAAGTGACTATACGTCTAAGTGAGTATATGAAAGAACAGAAGGGAGGTTATTCTGATACCTTTCCATCTAAGAACAACAATTCTATGATACTATGAATTAAGAATATCCTGCAATGATAATAAAGGCTTTAAGTGGCTTATAGCTTTGTCCTTGCAGCTTTCACTAACCTGTAGTTGCATTTTCTCCTCCAATGTCAGATGTGTCTATGTTTCTAAATTCATGCTATTTTATAAAACATCTCATGTTCTTGAACTATGCAGATAATAAGAATTTGTCAAGACTGGAAGAAGATTTATTAATACCTGTTTTTTTCCTACAGGTTTAATTCACAGGAGTTCAACCAAGGAATGTATGTAGAATCCACTGCAGGGCTACAAATCCATCACTGGTTTATGACTCAGTCCTACAGATTCCTGTTTCCTTGGCTGTGCTGGTGCCAGTTCACTGTGGTATGAGTGGAGTCAGCTTGCAGACTTGTGTCCCTAAGGCAAGCCAAATATGACCAGACAACAAATGAAAACTTCTAGGACTTTTTCCATAAAATCAGGCAATTTGCGCAGACTGACACCCAAGATGCTCTCTCCAAATTTCATCACTTCTACACCACACACAAAGCTATACTACCCTGGTTCTAGTTGAGGAAATGCATACTATAGCCTACCTGTTGGATAACATTCCCAGTTTTTTAGTGTGAGAAGAGTTAATATACTCCTGCTAGGATAACAAATATTGAAAGTAGTTTGCCTCCTCCTCCAACAACACCAGCAATAATTTTCTCTCAAAGGGACTTTTTCTTCAGTGACACTGACTCTGTATCCATCCAGAGTATCATGTTCTCTTTCTCTGCAATGGTGCTTAGAATTTATCAAGAAGGGAAGATTATAACCCCCAAAGTTTGTTCTCACAGGAGTTCACCAATTCTGAGCAGTAGAGATGTACCAAAATAAATGTAGTCCCTTGCCTATCCTTAAGCTAACATAATTAGGAAAAACTGGCTTTGTCTGACCCCTCTGGGACTGGGGAGCGGGAAATCCCTTTACTCAAAGGTTTATACTGAATATCTCTTGGTAGCAAGTACTGATTTGCTCAAGATGGTGGTGGCAAATCAATAAGTGTTCTTGAAGGATAATTTTGTCTAGACCCTATGCACTCTAGGATCCATCTCAGTTCTAAGAAAGAAATCATTTTGTCCATCCTGGTCTTTGTTGGGATAGGGAATGGAGTAATGTGATTTTTTTTCTTATTTTGCAGCAACTTTTGATCATGCTATGCTCCTGAATTACCCCTGTGAATTGGGGGGTTTCAGGAAACATTTTCTGCTAGTTTTACTCCTATCTACAGAGCAAGTTTCATAGAATTATTTGTAGGAAGCTGTATTTCACCCCCAGAACTCTATTCTTGATCATGCTATGCTCCTGAATTACCCCTGTGAATTGGGGGGTTTCAGGAAACATTTTCTGCTAGTTTTACTCCTATCTACAGAGCAAGTTTCATAGAATTATTTGTAGGAAGCTGTATTTCACCCCCAGAACTCTACTTATTGGAAGACTCAAGGTATCCAGTCCTGATCAATATCTACATGAAGCTGTAAGAAGCAGTCAAGAGGGGATTTGGATGAAAGTATCATCAGTATGGTCAAAACAGAAACTTCTGTATCTTTGTTACATCAGGAGAGGACACAGACAACCTAGTTTGGTAGACTGGGCAAGGGCCAGTTAGCTAAAGCTGAATCCCAATAAGATGGGAGCATTTTGAAGGTATGGGTTCCATGCCATAGAATGGAGCATTAGTAGTGCTGGATCAGGTGAACTATGCATGAAGGAGCAGTTCCACAGTTTGGGGGTATGCTTGGAGGCACTGGTAACATCAGAGGCCAAAATGTTCCCTATGACTCTGAGCACCTACTACAAGCTTAGATTGGTATAACTACTGCACCTGTTCCTGGACAATGATAAGTCCCCATGATCCTCAAACTGGAAAGCATTCTGAGTGGGGCTGACCATAAGGTTTCTTCAGAAAATGAAGCTGGCAATGAATTCAGTAGCTATATTACTGACATGGGTTGCATGACTGCACCCAAAGTAGGCAGAAAAGGACCTGCTGCCATCTGAGGAGTTGGTATTATTATCCAAACACTACACAAGTTTAGACCAGGTTATGTCAGGAAACATCTTCCCCTGCACCAATCTTTCAAGGAGGCCCTATTGGCCATGTCACGGCCTATGGATATTGGGTTGGTGGTGGCCAATGGGATGAGACTCCTTTGCAGTTGTAGTCATTTTGTAAAATGATCTCAACTGTAAGGTACATCAGGTCATAGTGCGGACACATGTAAGGTGCTTATTGAAAATGTATTTGTTTGAATTGGTTTCCCAAAGTTATGATCTGCCTTTTTACCAGCCGCATGATATATATCAGTGTGTGCGCGTGTGTGTGTGTCAGAGAGAGAGAGGGAATGAGAGAGTTTTGTTTATTTTTATTACTTCTTAAACTACTTTGTGAGGGTTTTTACAATGATAATCAGTATGAGAAGTATGTTGATAACAAATGCATTATTCATTGAATTAATTAATGAAATAAAATGCAACTTATCTTGCAAAGAAAGGTTTATAACTGAAGTTGCACATCAGGGATTGAACCTCCATCAACAAAAGGAAATTGTCCCCCCACAACTGTCCTTGATCAATTTCTTACCTCTCTGACATCATCTATGTTAATCTGTCACAAACAATAAGAATCGAAAGTTTCACTATTATTTCTACTTGCTAGATCAAGGAGTATTTGTCCATTGCTCTAGTGCTCTACCAGCCTTTACCAACTTCTTCTCCAAAGAAAACTTCTGGAAGTGAATTCTTTTACATTCTGTTCCTGTTACAACACTGACTAAATGATCCCATGGTAGTGGAGGCGGGGTAGTTTGACAGTGGTGGAACAATCTTATCTAGATCATTGATGGGCATGTGCCAGGTGTTTGGAAGGGAGCAAAAATGAGGCAGATGATGAGGAGGAGGGGGGGGGAGGAACATTTTTATACCACACAATAACAAAAATTACCTGGATAGTTTAATTGCATTCTGCATTAGAAAAAATGACCCCTGATACAAAATTGCCAGAAAAGAATGATTCTTCCAATGAAAGAGCATAATGTGATTTAATGTGTGCCCCCAGAGGTTATGTTCAGCCTAAAAATGGATCCTGAGTTTCAGCTGAGGGCTTTTTAAAATATTAAAATCTTTAAAATCTTGGACCTAGTAGTTTGGAGTCCAAAAGTATCCCAGTGCCTCTGCGTGTGTCTCAAAGGAATGGGATGGTTGTCCATGATGAGGATCCAAGCGCTTATTCTGATTTGCCACAAGATACTTGAGGAGCGAACCTGTTTGTGCCTTCAGCAAATTCAGAGCCCTGCCATCAGAAAGGCAAGGACTACAGAAGTCCTGGTGAAAGTCCAAAAGAAGTTTGTGAAGATGGACCCAATTCTCAAAGGTCAGGCATCTTCCTTCACTATCAAAGTGGCAGACCAAGGGCAACCTTTGGCTAATTCACTCAGGGTCATAGGATGGCAACTTGAACAGAAAATAAACCTTTGCAGAAGAGGAAGGGATAAACTCTGACTAGAAATGTACAATTTACCTTTGCAGAATAGGAAGGGATAAACTAGAAAGGTACTTCAACCCAAACAGTTTTGACACAGCATGTTGTATATCCTTGTTTCTCATGCTATAAATTACTGGATTCATCAAAGGTGGGACTATGGTATATCCCATGGTAAGTGCCAGATCCATAGGAGAGGGAGAATTGGAGGTGGGCACAAGATAAGCAAAGCATCCTGTAAATACAAGTATGGAGAAAACAAAGAGATGGGGGAGGCAAGTTGAAAAGGCTTTTTGCCTTCCCTGCACAGAGGGGATCCTCAGCACTGCAGTGAAGATGTGCACATAAGACACTACAATGAAAATGAAGCAGCCTAACCCAACTATAGCACTTAAGAAAACAACACAAATTTCAATCAGGTACAAGTCAGAACAGGCAAGCTTCAGTAACTGTGGGATCTCACAGAAGAATTGATTGACAATGTTGGAGCGAAAGGGGGGTGCAAAGGTGCCTCCAGCATGTAACATACCATAGAAAAAGCTGCTGCTCCATACACTAGTAACCATTTGAATGCAAGCTTTCTTATTCATCAGCATCCCATATTGTAATGGATTGCAGATGGCAACATACCGATCGTAGGCCATCACTGTGAGAAGAGAGAAATCAGATGCTAAAAAGAAGAGGAATAGAAAGACCTGAGCCACACATCCCCAATAGGAAATACGCCTGGTGTTTAAGAGAGAATTGGTCATAGATTTGGGCATAATGACTGAAAGTTGGCCAACATCCTGTATGGCCAAGTTCATCAGGAAGAAGTACATGGGGGTGTGCAGGTGGTGATCAAAAGCTACTGCAGAGATTATGAGAAGGTTCGCTGTTACAGCTGCCAGGTACAGTAGCAGGAACATGATGAAGTGGAGCATCTGCAGCTCACGAGCGTGTGAAAATTCCATAAGAAGAAACTCTGCCCAAGAAGACTGATTAATTGGACGTTCCTCCACAGGAAGAATCATGCCTGTGGAAGGAAGCAGAGAAGCAGCTGTAAACCTGTAGTCTTCCTTGCAACAAGTTAGAATTTAAGTCTAAGTTTAAGCCTAGATTGGGATGATATTGCAGTATTGCTTTTGGAAGGTGCTGGTGAGATGTAACAAGTAGAGCTTCACTACCTGCAATTTTTACTTTATGTATATATTGGGATGACTATGTAGCAGCTGCAGTATTGTTTTTGGAAGATGCTGGTGATGATATGTGGAGATTCATAACTGTGTTTGGATGACATTGGGACAATTAAAGCTTGGAATCTGAATTAAGCCCAGTATGTCCATTCCCTCCTCACCCATTCCTTGCTTAAGTTTCCAAATGAGTAACTGGGGCCCAAGAGTGTCATTCCAAATGAGTAACCAATTCTCCATTGCTTCATCCATTTCATAACATATTATATTAACAGTGATCAGAATCCAGGATGTTAGCCAAAATAGTCAGGAAGTTGCTTTTTATGTTTTCTTCTGTGGATGCCCTATCTCTCTGCAGGCTCCTCTCCCATTTCCTTCCCTTTTGCAGCACTGATGCCAGTTACATAGTTCTGACAGGAAACTGGGCATGGAGGAGTGACATTTTTCATGCATGCTATGGACAGAAATGCAGGAAATCCAGAATCATGAGGGAAGTCCTCCCCACTCACCGTATTTCCAAGTGGGATTGAGCTCCTATCAGGAGTGCGGTTGATGTCTCATATCCCTGTCCAATGACCAGATGATTGGAGGGAAGAAGTGGGATCGTCTCAGTACACAGAAGCTGGAGATTTAACCATCCCTATCTTTGGGTGGCACTGGGTGATGCAGGTGCCAGCCAAATCCACACAGAACTTACTTTAACAAGGAAGCAAGCCAAGCCAAGAAGAAGACTGGGAACACTTGCAGAATGAAGGTCACAAAACCAAAGGTTGCATGGCACAGAAGGTGGATTGCTTCCTGAGTGTTTGCAGGAACATTTAGTGTACTCACCAGGATGCTCACAGTGTGCTCATTCATGGCAACAAGAATCAGGGCTACAGTCCAGGGATCTGAGTCCAGGGAATCTGACAGATTCCCATCCCCAGGCAGATTCCACACACAACCCTGCACAATCTCATTATACATCTAACATCCTGATCATGCAGGCTGGAAGGCAGATGAGCACCACAGGAACAATTTGGACACATCCAGTACATTAGTCCATCATTCCAGAGAATATTTGCCAGTAATAGGTGACTTCCTCCCAGTGATACTTAGTGCATCAGAACACTTTTGTAATAACCCCATTCCTGAAGTCTCTCCTTTGCATCTGGCATTGCTATCAGCTGTTGTCAGAGGAAAAACGAGTCCAGTTTGGGATTTCCATCTCAAGAAAAATATTTCTGGACATAAAACAAGCAGGGGAAGAGGGAAAGGTACTTTCTATAGCACCTGTGCTTGTTCCAGGTATTGGCACACCACAGACTCCTACCAAGGGCTCCTCTACCCTCCAGTATATCACCAGAAATGCAAGGGGCTTGAGCAGGGCTGGGCAATACACTGACCCTGCTCTGGATGCCCTGTCTCCTGGAGCCCTCTGCAGACCCCCCCCCCATTTACTTCCCCTTTGCACTGCTGAAGCCAGTTCTGTAGTTCTGACAGGAAACTGAGCATGAAGGAGTGACCCTTTTCATGCATGGTTTTTCCAGAATGTAGGGAAACCAGAACCACGAGGAGAGTCCTCCCTGCTCACCCTACTTCCGAGTGAGATTGAGCTCCTATTTGGAGTGTGGCTGATAGCTCATACCCCTGCCCCAGGACCAGATGATTGGAGGGAGAGGAGGGATAGTCTCAGCACAGAGATGCTGGAGATTTAACCTTCCCTATCTCTGGATGACACTGGGTGATGTAGGTGCCTGTCAAATCCACATAAGAGTTAATTTAAAGTAGGGTAGCAATGATTCTGGCTCTCTTCTGTTGATCAGAATTCTTGTGCTCGACCCTGGCTTAGGAAGCAAGCCAAGCCAAGCCAAGAAGAAGTCTGCGAACACTTGCAGAATGAAGGTTGCACAACCAAAGGCTGAAGGTCAGAGAAGATAGTTTGCTTCCGGACGAGTGTTTGCATGGACGTTCAGTGCACTCACCAAGTTGCTCACAGTGTGCTCACTCATGGCAGGGCTGAAGTCCAGGGATCTGAGCCCAGGGTATCTGACTGATTCCCATCTCCAAGCAAATTCCTCACACATCCCTGCTGTGAAGCACAATCTCATAATACATATAACGTCCCAATCATGCAGGCTGGAAGGCAGATAAGCACCACAGGAACAATTTAGAGACATCCAGTACATTAGTCCATCATTCCAGAGAATATCTGCCAGTGATAGGTGACTTCCTCCCACTGATAAGTATTGCATAAGAAGAAATTTGTCTTTCCTCAATATTCTTTCAGATGTTGTACCTGCAAATTAATCGCTACATTTTCTCTAAATTTCATATATTTATATGCAAATACTGAAAATATTCACTATGCAAACAGGCATATAAATTGCCCTGCTCTGCTCTGTTATCCAACATAGAATTGGGGGGTGGGAGGTGGAACTGACCTTCTGCAAGAGAGAAAACAGGGCAGAATCCTACTTCCCTTCTTGAGAACTATTGAGAAAATGATAAGGAAAATTCAGTAACTTACTGCTTTTCCCCTCAGACTTCTCTCCTGTGCACTTTCTTTTCCAGGGAAGAGAGATGACTGGCTGAGTGTGCCCAGACCCTGATGCTATTTGGGTATGGAATATCAGTATGAATTTGTCAAGGCAGGGAGGAGACTGTTTAATAATGCCACCAGGGATTTTCTCTCACATGAATTCTGCAAACTTAAGCAGTTCTGGCATACAGGAAGCAAATTCACTCCTTTTCCTGCCCTTTTGCTAATATGGTTAGGAAAGACCAGAATTGTTTGTGCACACAAGAAGGATGCAAAAGAGAGAGAGTTAATCTCACATGCTATTTCAAATGCATTTATTTACAGATTTTGAAACTATACAAGTTTTTTATTTCCAATTTCTTTCCCTTCACATTGCCTTTGCACATGTGAAGGGTGCATTCTTTAAGTAAATGAGGAAAAGGAAGAAAATATGAGAGCTATGTGTGTATGTGCCTTACTGATTTGATAATTTTACCTCTAATCTCATGCCAGAAAATATCAGAAAAAAATTTGCTGAGGTATAAAAGCTCCACTAGGATGTAATTTTATCATACCAATGTCACTTTCACTTCATTTCTTTCTTTTCACATTCCTTGAGTGAAAAGATCTCAACTGGTTGATGATTTGGGTGGAGGTGGGGATTTTTCATCACGGCTACTTATTAATTTTGACTCAATAAGTTATTCTCCACATTTAGGCTCAGGGAATGTTTTTGCACTACCTGGGGCATGGATGGGGGTCAGTGGCAGAATGGTGTACCTATTCCCCATTACTGGCTTTGGTTTTTGGTTTGGGATCTTTTTTGGCTTGTTTTTGGGTTTGTCTTTGTCTTTGTTTGCTTTCTTTTTGTTTGTTTTGTTCAGTGGATTAGTCCCATGTATTCTATGAATCTGAAGATAGCATGCAATTGAAACTGCATGTCAGTGCATGCAGTTTCAGTTTCAGTGCAGAGAGCATGGGACTGGGACTCAGACGATCTGGGTTCTAGTCCCCGCTCGGCCATGGAGCCAGCTGGGTGACTTTGGGCCAGTCACAGACTCTCAGCCCAACCTACCTCACAGGTTGTTGTTGTGGGATAAGATGGAGGAGGAGAATGATGTAAGCTGCCTTGAGCCCTTTGTAGGAAAAAGGCAGGATATAAATCGATAAATAAATAAATAGACTAATATTCCATGTTACAGGTTCCCAATTGACAGCCAATTCCATCCACAGACAATGATAGACTGTATATCAAAACCAGTGCTTAGATATACCCTAATGGTGTTCGGGGTTTGAATTGCCCAGTTCTTTCATAAATGATAACAGGGTGCAGTCTCTCATCAAAGAAATTGCTCAAATGCACCCAGAAGTAGCAAAACATGTGGGCCAGAAAGTCATAGTCAGAAAATGCTCACTGGCAAGCATCCTGCACTGCACACAGGTGGAAACCTTGTCAGAATAACGGCATAGTTAGCCCGCCAATCTGTTTAGCAGATGCCAGAAATGGAAGGGAACCTATGCATTGGTTGAAGTACTTCCATCAATCTCATTTAAAGAGTGGGAAAGGAAACCTCCAGCTTCTTTAGATTCCAGCAGTAGGCAACCTGCAGTTCCAGAGGTGGAAACTTCATGTGTCACTCAGAAGCCCAATTCTGTACGTGCCCGTGAGCACAGCAGCCAAGTTCAGGATGGACATGCTTTGGGCTGCCACTGTAATTGTGCCTCATCAGTCATCCCCAAGAAGGCTAAGACAGACTTGGGAGCAGGCCTCTGTGGAATGTTCAAAGAGACTAACAGAGTTTCCTCCCTAAAGCCACAAGACAGATATTTACTCATAAGAATGCAATTTTGGTGTAGTTCTTGTTCATTTCACATAGGCTTCCATGAAATTTTACATAAGCTTTCAGAAAGCCAGTGTGGTGTAGTGGTTAAAAGCATGGGACTGGGACTCAGACAATCTGGGTTCTAGTCCCCGCTCAGCCATGGAGCCAACTGGGTGACTTTGGGCCAGTCACAGATTCTCAGCCCAACCTACCTCATAGGATTGTTGTTGTGGGGATAAGATGGAGGAGGAGAATGATATAAGCTGCCTTGAGCACTTTGTAGGAAAAAGGCAGGATATAAAGCACAATATAAATAAATAAATGGTTCCTCTCTCAGTTCTGTGGCCCGTTCTGCAATGGCAGTAGTATGACGGAGATCAAAATTACAATGAGAGCAAGGAAGAGACATACTTACTACTTCCAAAAGTTTGTATGTCCTGCATAACCATTTGCCTTATCTGTGTTGGTAGATAAATGATAAGACTTGTTTTCCTAAAGGGAGCACAAATTAAATAAACAACATAATGGAGAGCTATTTTGCCCTAATCTCAGCCCTTACATGTAGATCCCAAGTTTGCACATGTTTGCATTCTCTCTCTCTCTCTCTCTCTCTCCAGCCCCCAGTTTTCCCCCCCTCATTTTGCAGTATGGGAAACTAGTGATATACTAAACAGAATTTTCTTTGCTTGTTTTGCTTTGCTTTTTCCAGGATTCCAAAAGTAACAATAAGTCCTGGTTGTGTGCAGGGGACAGGTGTGTATACATAAGAAAACAGTACTGTTCAAAAGAAGAACTACTTCAATTTAAAACTCAATCGTTTTGACAATGCAAGCTTTATCTCTTTGTTCCTCAAGCTGTAGATTATGGGATTCATCAGGGGTGGGACCATCATATACACCATAGTAAAGGCAAACTCCAGACCTGAAGCAGAATTAGAAGGGGGCTTGATATAAGCAAAATATCCTGTGATTATAAATATGGAGAAAACAATGAGGTGGGGAAGGCATGTTGAGAAAGCTTTCTTCTTTCCCTGCACAGAGGGGATTTTCATCACTGCACTGAAGATGTGGACATAAGTCACAACAATGAAAATAAAGCAGCCAAATCCAATAAAAGTGCTGAGGATAATAAAACCAATTTCAAGCAAGTACAGGTCAGAGCAGGCAAGCCTAAGTAATGCTGGGATTTCACAGAAAAACTGATCGATGACGTTGGAGCAAAGGGGTGCTGCAAAGGTACCTGTGGTATGCAGCACTCCATAGACAAATCCAGTGATCCATACAGCAGTAACCATTTGAATGCAGGCCTGCTTGTTCATCAGCTTCTCATATTGTAATGGACTGCAAATGGCAACATACCGATCGTACGCCATGACGGTGATGAGAGAGAAATCACACGCTGCAAAGAAGACAAGCAGAAGCACTTGAGCCACACACCCAGAGTAGGAAATGTGCCTGCGGTTCATGAGGGAATTGGCCATTGCTTTGGGGAAAACAACGGACACTTGTCCCACATCCTGGATGGCCAAATTCATCACAAAGAAGTACATGGGGGTGTATAAGTGCTGGTCAGAGGCAACCGCACAGACGATGAGAAGATTCCCTGTAACTGTTGCCAGGTAAAACACCAGGAATCCGATGAAGTGCAGAATCTGCAGCTCACGAACTGTTGAGAATTCCAAAAGGAGAAATCCTGATGGTGAGGATGCATTAAATAGATCCTGGTGTTTAAGTGTCATGGTGCCTATAGAAAGAAGCAAAAAGACAGCGGTATGAATGTGGGTTTAAATAATATCAACTGTAGCTGTTGCACTTAAAATAGTAATTTTATGCTGAACGTTTTATCATTAGTAGTAGTAGTAATAGTAGAAGTGTTGTGCCTAGATACAGGTAAGAAGGTTTTCATTTTTTTTCCTTTTCCTTTTTAATAGTATCATTTTGTGCCGTTTAATCATGCATAATTTGTGATTTGAAATTTTCTTGGGAGTAGACAGGTAAAAGTAGTTTTATTCCTTAGTGCACTGGCAATACTTATTTTAAATATTAGAAGAGAACTTACATTTCCAATAGAAAATATAATTACTCTCCTCTTCTATTTATTTAAGAACACACACTGGACAAATTCAGAGGGGCAGGATCTATATCGAGTAACCCTGCCTACCACTGGAAAAATACCCTATCTTTGAACCTCCCCTGATAAATGACTGGATATTTGTGTGAAAGTTACCTCCGCACATGCGGATGTACTTTGGATTGAACCCTACATGCGCTAAGAGGCACTCATGGGGCTGCATCTCTCCTACAAGATCAGTGCAGGACAAACTCTTTCTTATCGAAATCCAAGGGGTGTTAATCAAGAGAGATGGGCACCACACATCCTGGTGGTGGGCAGGGAAACCCTTTGTGGCCATCAGAACCACTCTGTGTAGCCATTGGAGAGGTTGGAGTGAACTCCTTTTTGATAAATATCTTCTTGGAATGGTTGAAGATGGCAGAAGGGCTTCAAATACATTCTGGGGAGATTTTTGCCCCACAAGGTGCGAGAATGTTTTCTCCTTCCAGTGACAGTATGTGGACAAAACGGATACCTCCAATGGGGTAAGATATCAGACATTTTTCTCACCTATGTTTTCATGGTGAACAATTACAAGAGAGAGAGAGAGAGAGAGAGAGAGAGAGAGAGAGAGAGAGAGAGAAAGAAAGAAAGAAAGAAAGAAAGAAAGAAAGAAAGAAAGAAAGAAAGAGGGCCTCTTCTGGACTTCTACACAGGCATATAGGCTTGAGCAAAATTTCCTTCATTAATATGCTGGAAATCATAGGCATGTAATCTGGTTGCATGATCAAATAAATAAATTCTAGTTTCCTATATTCAACAAGAGAAAGAGTTTATGGAGACAGGGAAATGGATGTACATAGGCGATATGGGACTCTTGTGGTTCACACATTAAAGGACAGTAAAGGATCTAAAAGGTAAAGGCACTGAAGTATAATTATCACCTGTGACAGGAACAGAAAAGAAGCAATGGAGTGAGAAAGACAAACTCTTAAATTCCATCTGAGATAAATACTATCCTGGTTCAAAAGATACTATAAATTTTCAGACTCAGACTGGGGATACACTAAGTTATTCAGTACTGTGAAATCAAAACATCTGAATAATAATAGTATTCATCCATCATTTCAGAGAACATTTAGCAAAACACTCATCCACCCTGCAGCCATGAGAAATTTTATCAGTCTTATCAATACTCATAATGCTTCCCAAAAAAATGTTCTTTTAAATAAGGCAGATGTCTTACCATTAATCAACAACTGCAGATTAAAGCCTAATTTAACATCTGGTTTTAATGGCAGCTGTCGATGCTGGCTGTGGTTGTCTGTTGGAGATCAGTCACCAGATTGACCATTGCATGTTTGCATGAACATTTCAGGAAACCATTCCAGCATCTGAAGAAACAGCTCATGTGGACAAAATGATTAGGTTCATCAGCAGAGAAAGGAATACAACAAACAATGACTATCTATGGAGGAAAAAATGGGTTAGGAATAAAGGGAGGCTAGGTAGGTATCTTCATAGGTTACATTGTGAGAAAATTGGAGCAAGGACTGAATTAGAACATGTTCCATAGTCTACTAGCTTCTTACCCTACTCTCCTTCTCCTCCTCCTCCGTCTTAATATACCCTTCCTCAGCTTTCTCTCAAATTAAAATGTACCTTCTCATCCAGAGCTGTTAGAAGAATCTGTATTGGTGCGGATAACCACACCCCTCTATATATGTCCTCAGGCAATTATCATCCCAGAAAGAATTCATCAAGATTGTGGCTGGGAATTCATTAATACCACTTCGGTGTACTTGGAGATTTGCTATCATGGGAAACCAACACTGCTTAGCAAGTGAGGCATTCAAGTGAGGCATTCAAAAAGTACATTAATTAAGCTTGCCCATTTACTAATATGATTACACAACAATGGAACTGCTTTGACAAATAAGAATGACAGAAATTGAAGAAAGCTGATTGCCTTCCTTGTGCATTATGATGCACTTACACACATTCTTTTGCGCACCCAAACCTATAGTTACAATAGTAAGAGTGAGCAACAGCTTGTGTTATTATGGAGCTACATTTTGCCTGTGCTATGTAACTGTAGGTCAGAATGTCCCCTATGTGCATTCTGTTTATTTGTTGGATTTTTATGCCACTGCATTAGCCAATATGGGTCCCTGGGTGGAAGGGAGCTGTTTTCAATAGACACCTCATTCCCCTTTGCCAAAGGACCCACCCACGGCTATGAGACAGAAGATATTGCAGCAAGTTAAAATGTAAATGCCTACCACTTTGAGGCCAGCCATTGTGCTTCAATTCCTTGGTGTTAACATCTGACAATTTCAAATTTCCCCTTAACTTAAGATTACACTAAAACCTTCGCCAAGAACTGTTTTCTCACAGAAACCAAATATTGGGTTAAAGTAGAGAGTCCAATGAGCAAGTCCACTCAGCACTTAGAGTTCAGGGCTGCTATGAAACTGCCTTGGGATTGCAGGGGCCAGTCAGGCAGGGAAGCACTGATCTTCAAGCCTGGGCTGCTCAGTGCCCCATATGCACACATTCCTGACAGGCAGAAGCCCACCTGGCATCTGAGTAGCCAAGATTTGCTAGTCAGGTTAGCTGTGTGTTGGGTGGAGGCATTTGCATGTCAGTTCACATGCATAGGAGTTCAACTGCTTGGTACAGTGATTCCTCCTACCTCCGACACATAGCTTGGTTTGTAGCTATATAAAATGCACACCCGCATAAATTGAGTTGGGTTCATTACACTTTCCTTGAAAATGGTGAAGATATATAATTATCCTTCCCTGCTTTCACTGTAATGTCATCCTAACTCTGAGAACTGATGAGACTAACACAAGCGAACACAGTGAAATTTAGGCTGCATGCACATTTCAACTACTTGCGTACTATGCATGCTATGGGACTCTTGGTTTGTGATGGGGGTAATGCAAACTGGGACCTGGAAAAACTCATGGGTTTTAGGGGGAGAAGTGGGCTTATTTTATTTATTTATTTTATTAAAACATTTTTATGCCGCCCCATTCGCCTTGGAGGAAGTGCTTCTGTTTCAGGGCTAAAGCAGAAGCTGCTCTCACTCCGATTCAAACTGCTCAAACTGTATGCATTTTGGCTGGGACACCATCATAGCAGCATAGAAAAGTAAGCTTCATTTCACCCCTGGCCTGGAGGATTTAGAAGAGGTATTCTCTGCTACCCCCAAGCTACTCCTAGGCAGAGAAAACTGTTCTGCTCTTGGCATCCCAGAATCTGGCCTGTGGAATCTCCTTCTTTTACCTTTTAGATGTCATGTGTGTTCAGACCAAGGTTGCCTCATCCAAGCCAGATCATTGTTACTCCAAGTGCTGCATGGTAGACCAGGAGAGCGGAAAAAAACAATTTTCTCCGCATGGAATCAGGGACTCCCACCCTCAATATTTACACGGCAACAGATGCACTGTCATGACAGATTTGAAAAAAAAGGAAAAAGGGGGTGGTGGGGCTCCTTTCATTTTATTTCATTTTATAAGAAAGAATATTCAAATTACAAGGTCACAGCTTAAAAAAAGGGAAAACAATGGTGGTGGAGAATCTTTTATTTCGTTTTTATAAGAAAGACTCTTCAAATTGTTCTACAGCATATGACAAAACAATAAAAATGGCATCCAAGAGATGACGTGGATCAACTCAGTTAATAAACCCATCTCAATCATAAGCAACAACTGGACCAGCATAAGAAATGGAACAAGAATAAGGACATTAAAAACCAGAGGCCTGCTGGAAAAAGAATGTTCTGCACCCAGTCCAAAAAGACAGATCGAAGGTTGGGGAATAAAGGTATGTTGGGAAAATGTTTCAGGTCACAAAAATGCTACAGAAGAAAGCCTGGTCCTTGCTCAACTGGATGTGGACATCATGCAGTATGAATCAGAACCAGCTCAGAAGGTCATGAATGACAGGGTGAAATGAGGACCTTGCTCCCTCCCTCCTTCTCCATCCCAGAAGTGAGAGATCCAGAGAACCCTGTGACCACTGGCACATCCTCCCAGGGATCATAGGATTTCAGCCTGGTTATGTTTATATGCAAAATTCATCTTTGCAGAACAAGAACAGAGAAGTTGGGTCTAAAGCAGTGCCTCAAGCACAACTGCTTGGCCAGAGCATGTTTCATCTCCTTGTTTCTCATGCTGTAGATTACTGGGTTCATCAATGGGGGGACCATGGAATATATCATTGTAAATGCTAAATCCAGAAATGAAGCAGAGTCTGAGGTGGGCTTGAGGTAAGCAAAATATACACTGAATGCATATAGGGAGAAAACTCCGAGGTGTGGGAGGCAGGTTGAGAAAGCCTTTTGGCGTCCCTGCACTGAGGGGATTCTCAGCACTGCAGTGAAGATGTACACATAGGTCACAACTATGAAAATAAAGCAGCCTAACCCAATGCTGGAACTTGCAAGGAGAACCCATACTTCAGCTAAATGGAAGTCAGAGCAGGCAAGCTTCAGCAAGGCTGGGATTTCGCAGAAAAACTGATTGATGTCATTGGAGCAAAAGGGGGTTGCAAAGGTGCCTCCAGTGTGCAGCACCCCATAGAAGAAGCTGCTGACCCATACAGCAGAAACCATTTGGATGCAGGACTGCTTATTCATCAGCATCTCATAGTGCAGTGGATCACAAATGGCCACATACCGATCATACGCCATGACAGTGAGCAGAAACAAATCAGAGGACATTAAAAAGATGAAAAAGAGGACTTGAGCCACACACCCAGCATAGGAAATGTATCGGCAGTTCATGAGGGAATTGGCCATGGCTTTGGGGAAAACAATGGACACTTGTCCCACATCCTGCATGGCCAAGTTCATGAGAAAGAAGTACATGGGGGTGTGCAGATGGTGGTCAAATGCAATTGCAGAGATGATGAGAAGGTTTCCTGCAATGGCTGCCAGATAAAAGACAAGGAATCCAATGAAAAATAGAATCTGTAGTTCCTGAACTTCTGAGAATTCCAGGAGGAAAAATCCAGACAAGGAGGAATCATTGACTAGTTCTTGTTCCTTATGAAGCATCTTACCTTCAAAAGCAAGCAAATGTACTGTGTTAGGAGAAAGAGGGCTTCATATTGTATGAATTTCAGCAGAATACTTTAAATATTGTTTGTAAACTGACAGTACAAGTATGATTAGTATCCCTAGTACTATTTGTTTATTGTTCTGATATTAGTACTATTTGTTTATTGTTCAGCCTGAATCTTTCTCTTCTTTTTTGACAATCTGATCATTGTAGTTTACTTATGTTGAATTTGTGAGGCTGGAGGGGTAAGGAAAAAACAGTTCTATTTCTGTTTTATTTTTCAGTGATCTTGCAAATATTAATTTAAACTTTAGAAGGTACCTTACCATTCACAGAATCAGAGGCATTTTCCACAACCTAATTCTCCCTCCCTCCCTCCCTCCCTCCCTCCCTCCCTCACTCTTTCATTCTGTCTTTAGGAGGTTTCACTACACACATGAGGGAGTGTCATGAACTCTGTGGGCTTGCTCTGCCCACCACAAGAACCACAAGTGTGCTCCAACCTCTCCAGCTGGACTTTGCCAGATAGTGGTCTCTGGACATGTAGAAGTATTTGCACTGGGCTCTGACACATGACATAAAACTTTGATTGGGCCAGTGACCTCCATGAGTATTAGGTCCTCATATGTGCCTTATGCATAATGCATGGCAAATGTTTCCTTATGTGTGTCCATGACACGCTGTTTAGTATTTCTTGTGATAGGCAAGAAACTCTCTGACAAGCCTTCTGCATGCTCCTTGGAAGGTTGTGGCTAAACTCCCACTAGTTTGCAATGTTTGCAAGTAAAAGTAGAGCTGGTACCATAGCCCTGGGGATCCCCATACACATCTATGTTGATAGATGCTTTCCTATGAAGTTGTCCTTTTAGGAACACTTGTTGGGAAAACTAATGCCACCAGCACAGCATCAGAACAAACAATTTCTTCCCAGCCATGTTTTCCATTGTAGCAAAAAGTATTCAAGAATGGGAAGAATGGGAAAAATGTCTGTACACTGTAAAGTCAGGCCCCCTTGCTGGATATGTAGCAATATGTCGATTTGTATATGTGGCAATGTTTATATTCATCATTTTTACATTAGGCTAGTTGGTGAGGAGGATTTTATGACAACTGTGTTTCTCTGGTTTTGTGCAGAGGCACAGAAGTTTGATAAAAACCTGGTTACATGGTCAAAGATATAAAATGTGGTTCCATTCATTCGGCATGCGAGAAAAATTACAATGATAGGGAAATGGCTGTCTGTAGGTCATGAGGGAACAATTATAAATTACAATGATGGTAGAGACATTTTCCCCATTTTACCCCTTCTTAAATACATTTTTTTACTGTGGAAAATATGGCTGGGATGAAATTACACACACACACAGAAGTTTTTTCAAGTGCATTGTGGCCATTCTAGGGATTGGCACACCACACACTTCTCTTGCATTCCTCTTGTATTTCTTTATGCATGCAATGGGCCTGAGCAGAACTGGCAACCTACTGTCCTTGGAGGCTGATTTCTCAGTCAGCTGTGGATCATCTCCCAGATCCCTACTACACATCCCCCCACCATCAATAAGTTGCCTTCCCCTCACACCATCAATATGGCTGCAATCATTGGCAAAAAAAACCCCCCCAACAACATTTATCCTTAAGACCAACAAGCTGATCCTAGGTAAGGATCACCATGCTTGTCCAAGTCCACCAATAAACATTTTCTTGCCATCTGGATTTCTCCATAAAGTTAATGTGCTTGTGAAAAGAAATCTGGCTGCAATTGTCATGAAAATATATGTCATACGTACCTCTCTAGATACCACAGCTAAAGAGTTGTAGTATCTATTTTAGCACAGTAAGAGCCCAGTGCAATCCTTTGGAGAAAAGAAGCCAAGCGTGTGGATGCCAGAAGTGACTGGGCAGTAGAATCTAATCTACATGGAAAAGACCAAATTCAAACACAAGTGATGATAGATCTGATGGCAAAAGAAAGATCAGGAAGCTGAACTCACTGTCTTTGAGCAAACATTGCATTCTCTTCAGTGAAATTTGTCATGGAGTCCAGCTCCAATAAACACTCACAAAAGAAGAACATCAACCTTCTGAAAACATTTGTCAAGTACACATAAAAGAAAACCACATAAAATATACACATAAAATGTATACACAGAAGCTTGCCAACTTTCTGTCAAGAGGCAAGGCAGATTTTACGATTCCTTTGGTTCAACTGATTTCAACTGATCAGGCATAGATGCATGGCAAATTAATTAATAAATATCAAGCTTTCCTGGGAATAACAAGCATGCAACTTCTTTCCACAGATAAGGGAGAAGAGCTTTGGGCATTCACAGAGTACATGTTGTGAAACAAAAGATCCCAAATTTGATTGACAACAATGCCATGTAGGGCATGGAATGATCGCTATCTGAATCCTGGGGAAATGCTCCCTGTCAGTGGGACTGGGCCAGAGGGACTAACAGCCTGACTGATTGTGAGGCAGCATCCCAAGTCAGTATGTTGGCTATATAAGGCAGACAGAAGGGCTGACGGTAGACACATCATTTGCATTCTGTTGTGGAAGGGGTAGTTATAAAGGCCAAAAGAAAGGGAGGTTTGGTGAATGTGGAGTGGGCACTTCTAAAAGCCACACAAAGTGGCTAAGAATTCTAATTTGATGTAGTGATTGGCCAGATAGAATTTGAAATAGGAATCATGGATATCATTCAGATACTTCAGATATTTTAGGCTATTGTTTGAAAGAATATTTGCTATTAATATGTGAATCCTCCCCTCCCTTACAATTATCTGATTAACTCACCCCCATTTCTTTACCATCCTTCAGATGTCATGTCTGAAAAAGTCTGAAAAACCTAAATAAGATTTCCATCTGACTGCTGTTCTGTGAAGGAAATTATGCAACTGATTGCCTAAATTTATGTTGCAATTCACAACTTTGTGTGCAAATAGCAAACATTTTTCAGAATCCAAGTAGACCACTCATGTAAAGTGAGTTGAACTAGGTTCACCAACATAGACTCAGAGGAAGGAGTCTAGAAGAATGAAGGATGTATTCCTAGTTTGTATTGTGAAAGCTATAGGGAAATGTCTGACATAAAAAGAAAATTTTTATGAAGCTTACTGTTTTTTCTTCATAGATTTCTCCCAGTTTCAGATGCACTTTCTTTGCCAGTGGATGTTAAATGAATGTGTATATATCTAGAAATACATGCCATTTAATTAAGTCTCATCCCCTGGGATTATGAAAGCAGTCAATGCTGGAAGTGGATTTGCTCTTCTAGAGATTTGCTGTCCTGGGATTCCGTCAACAGAGGTGTGCAGAAATGGCATTAATCTGGCCTGTCTTTTTGCTCAGATGATAAAGAAGCTTGGCACTTTTGAAGCAAAATGGAGACAGTCAGTGTCTCCTCTCTGCTTATTTGTACCATTCCTTTAGAGCGTGACTAGTGCCAATTTTAATAGTGAGCAACACCATATAATGCCTAGGTAAAGACAAAGAAAACTATCTGCAATGCCTCTGAGATGAGTTGGTAGCTGGGCAACCTGAAGAGTTTTATCTGAGTCTTGTATGACTTTGTTGTCCTTATTCCCTTTCCTTGAGTAGTTTGACTTGTTCCAACCACCCAGGGGTTTTGAAGTGTAAGTTCCAATTTTTAAGAAAGTCAGTCAAGCCACTAGGGGTACAATATTGATAATTAGTCTTCTTATTATTATTTTCTGATGACAACAGGGAAATAAAATTGGAGGCAGTGCTGGCATTAGACTGACTAAATCAGTCTCTACTAAGGGCAGGGGTGCTACTGAGTAGTTATTCCTCTGCACCCAAAGTAACAAGGCAGAATAAAAAAGAAGAACTCAGCCCTTTTGGAGCTTGAGTACACCATACCTTTTGGTATAAAATCTACCCCATGGCACACTGAGTATACCTTCTGGCATATGATTCACTGTGTGGCTCATTTTCTGTTCTCACATATATAAGGATCATCCTTTATTCCATACTTGTGCCAAATGATCAGTACCCCAGCATTGCAGTCAAGGAGGTGATAGGAACTGAGAAGTTGGATTGGCTCGTTAATTTAATTTGGAAATTGTACATGGCGTGATTGCTGCCTTCCCTGCTGACTCTTCCCCATTTGTTTCCTATCTCCCTGCCCAAAATAAAGTCCATTTTTCTATTTGGAAATGTGGCACTGTTGCTAAGCCAGGGATTGCTCCATGTTCTCCCACCTCCTTGAAAGGCTGGATAGTTAGAAAGCCTTCTCTTTGGTTCAAGCCTTCTAGACGGCTTTTGTTAAGATCAGTGTTTCTGGGCCTGAAGGAGAATCGACCAAAATATATTCCATATTTTCTAGATCTGGACTAAAGTGTGAAGGCTTGACAAGAGTGCTCAGAAATTTCCCAAGAGGCTGCACAGACTATACCATCTCAGCAGCTTCTTCCTGTGTGGTGGCAGCCTAGCAGAATCTCTTTTTCCTGCAAGTCCACCTGGAGAAAAAGCCTGTTATTCAAAAAGGATAACCCTCTCATTGGCTAAAGTACTGGAAACACTGGGAGATGGGTGCAGAATGCATGTTGTACTATGCAAAACAAAGACTGCACGTGTCTGTTTGTCTCTGAAGTGAAAGGTGCAGAGATCTTGCACAGCAGGAAGAGTGACATCCCATAGTTGTAGCCAAACAGCACAAAGGCATGTGTCATGAGTGTGCATTTGAATGAGATTCCAAGGCGCGCACCAGAGATGGAGGGCTTTGGTAGGAATGGTGGCTCAGACTCGTAGGAGGGGGAGTGAATGGTTGAACCAGCCGTGGCTCAGAGTTCTTACTCCGATATTGGAGTTGTCGAGACTAGTGAGGCCCTGGCTGCCCAAAATATCCTGGTGAGCCAGCCTGAGCCAGCTCTGGATCAAAGACTTCAAGGGCAACCACAGAGCCCACCCTCCCTCCTGATTGTGGGAAAGAAACCAGCAGAGAACTGGCTGGAGAGGGGTTCTTGGGAGAAGAACTTGACAGCCTAGGACACATGGACACAAGAGCCCATCAACATATCCGTCAGCTAGATCAATTAAAGGCTCAATGGGAAGAACGTAAGTATGCTCGCTTCCATACTATACCCCCCCTCCAGAGACTGGCCTGAAGGGTTTATAAGCAAAGGTTTGGGTGAGGGGGGCAGAGTGAGGGGTCAACTATCCACCTGGAGTGCATGTTTTGGGACTTGTGAATATATTGTTTCTGTAATGGAATAAAGACTCTTTTAATAATTGCTGAAGTGCAGCTCATTTGGCGGGGGGGGGGGGACGGACACCTAGCTCACTACAGCATGCCATTTGTTAACATATCTTTCCCCTTCTGCAAATGAAAATACAACCTTCTGACAAGGAAATGGAGTATTCTTGCAGTCGCCAGGCCACCTGGGAACATGTCCCTAATGCTCCAGTACCATTTCTTCCCTCTAACCCCTTGGAACTCGGCTGCTATATATTGCAGGAAAAGAGATCTGTGAAAGTAAAGCAGATGAAGTGGTTCGTCTCCGCCACACAGGTCCATCCTTTGTGTTCTTACTTCCTGATGCCCTTTGCAGAAAAGATGTGAGAAGAGGTAAGTAAATCTTTCAAACAGCTTCTACTCTGCTCCTAGTTGGTTCAGTTCTTAGCAAATATAAATGCTTGTCCTAAAGCAGTCTAACATGCTACTGGTTATCAGAAGGTAGTGAAATGAAGGAACAGCAAACCAAGGTGCAGCTGCTGATGTCCTAATTTCATTAAGAACTATGGAAGCCATGTGTATTTCTCAAAGATGCATTTATACCGCTTCCATGAAATATCCATCAAACTGTATGAATAGATTCCAGCATCACAGAAGCAGATCTGATTGCAATGCATAACTTTTTTTTTCCTTGTCCCATGCCTGACACACCCCTGCAGTCTTCCTAATATGAACAGAGATCCCTCAGTCCTCCAGAACAGAAATTTGGAGAGCTGCATAGGAGGGATCAATTCCAAAGACAGATGCTATGCCAGCAGAGGACACCTCTCAAGACTCAGCCACATAGATTGTGTTACTGTATCAGTTCTTATATTTAATTGGTTGCTTTCTTGGATTTTTCTTGTGAATGCAGTTCACCATGATAAGGCAAGGTGATTCATAATTTTGTCTAAAGCTTAGAGTGAATCACTAGGACTCATTCATCATTATGTATAAATTAAAGCTGCACAGGAGAGGTCAGGTCAATTGGAAGAAATCATAGTTCCTATGGTGCATTAGCAAATATACCTTTTTCTTTTACATTTTGAAGGTATAAAGAAAAAGCAAAGATTCTGTAAGTTAAATATATGCTAAAATATGCACATGGAAATCTCTGAAATCCCCCTTTTTTATCAATGTTTTTGCCTTTTTCTTCCTCTTTTTCCAAATACAGACATGGTAAACCAAACATCTGTGAAGGAATTCCTCCTTCGGGGCTTTTCTGACATTCGAGAGCTGCAGCTTCTACATTTTTTTGTGTTTCTCTCCCTTTATTGTGCAACTTTGGTGGGAAATTTCCTCATCATTGTGACTGTGGTCTGCATTCACCATCTTCATACCCCCATGTACTTTTTCCTGGCCATCCTGTCTGCCATCGATGTCTGCTACATTTCCACCACTGTGCCCAAATCCATGGTGTGCTCATTGATGGCTGACAACCTGATTACATTCCCCGGTTGTGTGGCCCAGGTGTTCTTGGTTGTGGCACTGGGAGGGGCCGAGCTGTCCTTCCTCACTGTCATGGCTTATGACCGCTACGTGGCCATCTGTCACCCTCTGCAGTACAGGCTCATCATGAACTGGAAAGCCTGCCTTCAAATGGCAGCAGCCTCCTGGCTCTGCAGCTTGATCAATGCTGCAGTGCACACAGTGAACACGTTTAGGCTGCATTTCTGCTGGTCTAATGTCATTGAACAATATTTCTGTGATATTCCTCACCTGCTAAGAATCTCTTGCAGTAATACAGAGGCCAATGAGAAGTTTATGGTAGCCATTGTGTTATGCGTGGGGTCATTTTGCTTTGTGTTTGTGCTGGTTTCCTATAGTTACATCTTCTCTGCAGTGTTCAAGATTCAATCAGCTCAGGGAAGGTACAAAGCCTTCTCAACTTGCATCCCACATCTTTCTGTTTTCTCTTTGTTTATATGCACTATTATATTTTCTTACATGAGATCAAAGGCTTTGTCCTTGCCATCTCTGGATTTACTGGCTGCCCTTTTGTACGCAGTTTTGCCACCACTCATGAATCCCATAATTTATAGCCTGAGAAACAGAGAGATCCAAAGGGCTGTGTGGAAAATGACACAGAGAAGATGTGATTGTCAACTGTCATCCTCCAAATCCTGTTCTCAGCAATTTTAATAAAAGAGTGTCCGGTGGAATGTGATCTTATGATTACTCTTTTGCTCTATGCACAATATTCATTACTCACCTTTCTCCCTAAGCACCAATTTCAATGTAGGTTAATAATAGTATAATAACCAGTCAATTATTTTTAAGAGCAGTATTTATTTCTTCATTGCAACTCAAGAGTCAAACACTATTTATCCAGTCTCCTATTCCCAACTCAATGGAATTAGTAAATGTAAAATAATTATTAGTTAATATTTCGCTGGGTAAACTGCATGTTTCATTCACAAGGAAATGGGTATATGTACCAATAAGAAAGCCACATGACAATTTAAATGCCTCGTTAATCATCTGTTTCTTTTGTATTAGCGTATTTTTAGAGCTGAGATCTGCTTTTGGAACAATAATGTAACATTTAGGAATAGAGCCATAAGTTAGTTGGTGGCTGAGAGGGCAAAAACCTCCACACCATTCTGGGAGTGTCTGCACTTCCACCTCTCCAGCCATGCAAAACTCAGGACCAGAGTTATCTGCTGAAGCACTATACTTCTGGAAGCAAACCCAGAGCTTGTCCATGGAGGCATCTTTTGAGCTATTCCATTACTTTTTCCTATTCTCTCCTCCAGGGTAGATTCCTCATCAAGACCAAGAGTTAAAGCAGATATTATTTTGAAGTTATAGCTAACAGCTGTCTCAAGTGTTCCATATTTGTTTTTACTCTAATGTAATGGTAGACTCTCATTCTGGATCACTTGCATAGGAGGCTGTAATCCTTCTCCTGCGATTGTGATCCTGATATGGATTGTAGCAGGGTGCATGCCTGCGACTCTAAAACAGTGAACCATGCATGTCAGGCATGTAAGCCTTTGTTCTTAGCAAATGCCCTTTGCCATTGCACTGATCTAATGCAGAGAATGGTGTGACAAAACCTTCTTTCTGATAATCTTTCCTGAAAGTGGAGTCCACTGATCACTTTGTCAAAGCAGGGCTCTTTCTTCTAGTCTCAGTAGGAAGACACAAACCACCTTCTCCTTAAGAATCACCCCCCTCCTTGGCAGTAAGCCAGAAATGGCATTGAGCATTGACTGCTGAAGTTTCTCTGCATGGAGGGCTTCATCTGCTGCCATGGAGGCATCGTCTTTCAATTTCATTCAGAAATAAAAATGAATCCTTTACATGAGGCATTTCCCATGACCTTGTCCTTTGCTGCCTTTCTTTATAATGCATAATACAACTGCAAGGTTTGACTTTGGCAAAGCACGACTACAGAGGATTTCAAATGTTCAAGAGACCATGGTTCAGATTACTGGGCATTTAAACCTTAATAGCAGGTGTTCCTCTGTGTAAGAAACCCCATGAAATAGGCTAGAAGTCAGGAGAAGTCCTGAAGCACAACACTGTGAAAAGGATTTGAGAATTTCTGTGAGTGAGGGGTCAGGAGCTTATACTAAATGCCTTATGTGAAGAAGCCACAACTATATGCAACTATACTAGAATGAGACTGGGTTTTTTTGATCTTGCAGGAGAGCTGAATGCCCTACATGATATGGCCAGCCATATCACTCCAATGCCTTGGTCTTAGGCAATTTCAGATCTCTCCTTGTCTCAGCATTGCAGAAAAGTCCTCACCAAGAAATAGTTTCTTGCCGAAGCCAAATTTAAGGATGAAGTAGAGAATCCAATGAGTGTGTCCACTCAGCACTTGAAGCTCAGGCTTCCTATAATGCTATCCATAATTTTAAGTGACCAAGCAGGCTGCAACTAGAGAAGTGCTTAGGTTGCTTAGGTTGAGGTGCAATTATCATCCCCAAAATCCATCTCTCTTCTTTCCATTGGAATTCTTCTCATGGGTGGCCCTCACTTATGAAGTGAGCTATGAGAATGTCTGTGAATGGTTGCACAACTCTGGCTGTGCAACCAGAAAACATTTTGTGCAGTTTGTGCAGCACAATGGCCATCAGTCATGTACATGGAGCTGAGGCCATGGAAGCCAATGGATTCCCTCCGCTAAACAGATTCTTCATATGCCTCCAATTCTGCTGCTCAGTGCCCCATATGCCCAGATTTCGGACAGGCAGAAACCCACTCCCCGCTCTGAGTAGCCAAGATTTTGCTCATTACACTTTCCTTGAAAATGGTGAAGATATATAATTATCCTTCCCTGCTTTCACTGTAATCTCATCCTAACTCTGAGAACTGATGAGACTAACACAAGCGAACACAGTGAAATTTAGGCTGCATGCATATTTCAACTTCTTGCGTACTATGCATGCTATGAGACTCTTGGTTTGTGACGGGGGTAATGCAAACTGGGACCTGGAAAAACTCATGGGTTTTAGGGGGAGAAGTGGGCTTGGAGGAAGTGCTTACATTTCAGGGCTAAAGCAGAAGCTGCTCTCATTCTGATTCCAGCTGTTCCCCCTCCCCTGTCCCAACCAGCCCAGAGGGAACCCCTGCCCTGTGCATGCATTTTGACTGGGACACCATCATAGCAGCATGGAAAAGCAAGCTTCATTTCACCCCTGGCCTGGAAGCTTTAAAGGAGAGTGGGTATTCTCTGCTACACACAAGCTACTCTTAGAGAAAACTATTCTTCTCATCTGGGCTTTTCAAATCCTGTGGAAGCTCCTCCCTTTACCTTTTGGATGTCACACTGTTCTGACTAAGGTTGCCTTGGTGAAGTCAAATCATCATTATGCTGAGAGTATCATGATAGACTAGGAGGGGAAAAAAGATTTTTCCTACATCTAATCAGGGACTGTCACTCTCAATATTTACTACTACATTGCACACAGTGTTGTGATTTAAGGCACCACAGAAATGAAAAAAAGGAAAGAGGGGGCAGCTTTAATTTCAGTTTTATAAGAAAGGCTCTTCAAATTGTTTAAGTTCTACAGCATTTCACAGAAAAATAGAAGCAAAATCCAAGAGAAGTCATGAATCAACTCAGTAAATAAACCCATCACAATCATGAGCAGCCCCAGGACCGGCATGAGAAATGAATACGAACAAGGGGCATGAAAAAGCAGAGGCCTGCTGGAAAAAGAATGTTCTTCACCTAGTCCAAAAAGACAGAATGGAGGTTGGTGAATAAAGGCATGTTGGGAAAACATTCCAGACCACAGAACTATTACAGAAAAAAGGGGTATTCTCTGTTACCCACAAGCTGCACTTAGGCACAGAAAGCTATTCTTCTGTTCTGGGCATCCCCCCAAAGCCTGTGGAATCTCCTCCCTTTACCTGTTGTATGTCACAGCTGTTCTGACCAGGGATTTCTTGGCCAAGCCAAATCATCATTACCCTTAGAGTTTCATGATAGATTAGGAGGGGGGAAAGATTTTTCCCACATCGGATCGTGGACTGCCACTCTCAATATTTACACCACACAGCACAAAATGTCATGATTTAAGGCACCATGGTCTGAATCAGAATGAGCTCAGAAGGTCATGAAAGACAGGGTGAAATGAGGACCTTGCTCCCTCCATCCAGCCCCATCCCAGAAGTGAGAGATCCAAAAAAACCCTATGGCCACTGGCACATCCTCCCAGGGATCATAGGATTTCAGCCTGGTTATGTTTATATGCAAAATTCATCTTTGCAGAACAAGAACAGAGAAGTTGGGTCTAAAGCAGTGCCTCAAGCACAACTGCTTGGCCAGAGCATGTTTCATCTCCTTGTTTCTCATGCTGTAGATTACTGGGTTCATCAATGGGGGGACCATGGAATATATCATGGTAAATGCTAAATCCAGAAATGAAGCAGAGTCTGAGGTGGGCTTGAGGTAAGCAAAATATACACTGAATGCATATAAGGAGAAAACGCCGAGGTGTGGGAGGCAGGTTGAGAAAGCCTTTTGGCGTCCCTGCACTGAGGGGATTCTCAGCACTGCGGTGAAGATGTACACATAGGTCACAACTATGAAAATAAAGCAGCCTAACCCAATGCTGGAACTTGCAAGGAGAACCCATACTTCAGCTAAATGGAAGTCAGAGCAGGCAAGCTTCAGCAAGGCTGGGATTTCGCAGAAAAACTGATTGATGTCATTGGAGCAAAAGGGGGTTGCAAAGGTGCCTCCAGTGTGCAGCACCCCATAGAAGAAGCTGCTGACCCATACAGCAGAAACCATTTGGATGCAGGACTGCTTATTCATCAGCATCTCATAGTGCAGTGGATCACAAATGGCCACATACCGATCATACGCCATGACAGTGAGCAGAAACAAATCAGAGGACATTAAAAAGATGAAAAAGAGGACTTGAACCACACACCTAGCATAGGAAATGTATTGGCAGTTCATGAGGGAATTGGCCATGGCTTTGGGGAAAACAATGGACACTTGTCCCACATCCTGCATGGCCAAGTTCATGAGAAAGAAGTACATGGGGGTGTGCAGCTGATGGTCCATAGCTACTGCAGAGATGATGAGAAGGTTTCCAGCAACAGCTGTCACATAAAAGATGAGGAATCCAATGAAGAATAGGACCTGTACTTCCCAAACTTCTGAGAATTCTAGGAGGAGAAACCCAGACAAGGAGGATTCATTGACTTGGTCTTGTTCCTTATGAAGCATCTTACCTTCAAAAGCAAGCAAATGTACCGTGTTAGAAGGGCTTCATAGTGTATGACTTTCAGCAGAGTACAGTAAATATTGATTTCATGCTGACAGTACAAGTATGATTAATATCCATAGTACTACTTGTTTCTGATATTGATAGCAGTCCCCAGCCTGAATCTTTTCTCTTCTTTTTTGATAGTCTAAGTTTTGTGGCTTACTTATGTTGAATTTCTGGGGCTAGAGGGATAAGGAAAAAACAGTTCTATTTCTGTTTTATTTTTCAGTAATCTTGCAAATATTAATTTAAACTTTAGGAGAAAACTTACCACGATAAAGTCAGATCTCCACTCCAGCGTATGTAGCAATATGTTATATATGTAGCAACATGTTGATTTGCGTATGTGACAAAATTCATATTCATCATTTTTACATTCTGCCCGTTGGTGAGGAGGATGCTATGACATCTACACAGAAAAGACCAAAATCAGTTGCAAGTGATCCGATAGATCTAATGGCACAAAGTAAGATAGGGAAGCTGAACTCACCTATCTGATTAGCTCACTTCCCTTCTTTAACATCCCTCAGATGTCATGTCTGAAAAAGCCTAACAATTCTAACCAGGTGACCAGCCAGGTAGAATTTGAAATAGGAATCTTGGGTATCATTCAGATACATCTGATATATTATGCCATTACTTCATAGAATATTTGCTATTGATATGTGAATCCTCCCCTCCCTTAAAATTATCTGATAAACTCACTTTTCCCCCTTTCTTTAACATCCCTCAGAAGCCATTTTTGAAAAAGCCTAACAGCCCTAACCAAGATTTCCATCTGACCGCTGCTCTGTGTAGGAAACCATGCAACTGATTGCCTCAGTCTGTGTTGCAATTCACAACATTATGTGCAAACGGCAAATATTTTCCAGAATCCAGATAGACCACTCCCATAAAGTGAGTTGAACTAGGTTCATCAACATAGACTCAGATGAAGGAGTGCCTGCCCGCCAAAAAAATACTAGAATAAGCAAGAGTGTAATCCTTGTTTGCATTGTGAACACTTCAGGGAAATGTCTGAAATAAAAAGATTTTATTTTAAGGTTTTAAGAAATTTACTGTTTTCTACTTGACAGATTTGTCCCAGTTTCAGATGCATTTTCTTCTGCAGTGAATGTGACATAGCTGTGTATATATCCAGAAATCCATGCCATTTAATTAATTCTCATCCCCTGGGATTATGAAAACAGTCAATGCTGGAAGTGAACTCGCTTTCCCAGAGAGTTGCTGCCCTGGGATTCCATTAACAAAGGTGCACCGAAATGGCACTAATCTGGTCTGACTTTTGGCTGAGATGATAAAGAAGCCTGGCACCGTTGAAGTAAAATGGAGACAGTCAGTGCCTTCTCTCTGCTTATTTGAACCATTCCTTTAGAGCATGACTAGTGCTGATTTTAATAGTGAGCAGCACCATATAATACCTAAGTAAAGGTAAAGAAAACAATCTTACAGATCTGCAGTTCCCCTAAGAAGATGAGTTGGTAGCTGAGCAACCTGAAGAGATTTAACTGTGTCTTGTATGACTTTGTTGTCCGTATTCCCTTGGATTTGGATTTTTTGATCTTGCAGGACAGCTGAAGATCCTACACAATATGGAGGAAGTTTGGGCCAGTCTTCGTGCTTCAGTTCCTTGGTGTTAATACCTGGCAATTTCTGGTCTCTCCTTGCCTCAGGATTACAGAAAAGTCCTCACCAAGAAATAGTTTCTTGCTGAAGCCAAATTTAAGGATGAAGTAGAGAATCTAGTGAGTCTGTCCATGCAGCACTTGAAGCTCAGGCCTCCTATAATGCTATCCTTAGTTTTAAGTGGCCAAGCAGGTTGCAAATAGTAAAGTGCCCCTTGCTTAGGTTGAGGTGCAATTATCGTCCCCAAAATCCATTCCTTCTCTCCATTGGAATTCTTCTCATGCGCAGCCCTCACTTAGGAAGTGAGCTATGAGGATGTCTGCAAATGGTTGCAGGACTCTGGCTGAGCAACCAGAAAACATTTTCTGCAGCTTGTGCAGCATGAGGGCCATAAGCCAGGTGCATGGAGCTGAGCCCATGGAAGCCAATGCATTCCCACTGCCGAAATGGATTCCTCATACACACTCAGAGCCCCCCATGCACACATTCTTGACAGGCGGAAAGACCCCCCCCCCCACACACACACACACACAAACCTGCCTCCTGAGTACCCAGGATTTTCCCAGTCAGGTGTGGGAGGGGGAGGCATTTTGCATGTTGGTGCCATTCACATGAAGAGCGATTGACAGGGAAAATAGTTGTCCCTCCCTTCCCAACACACCCATAGGAGTTCAGCTGCTTGGTACTGTGATTTGTCCTGTCAGTGCCTCCCACATGTCAGTAAAACTGGATTAGCGGGACCTGGAGAATGAACATTTGGTTTCACACAGAAGATACTACACTTACTCTCAGCCATTTATTGGCAGAACACACGGGTGCCCCTATCTGTTGGGTAGTCAATATAATGAACTGACTACAAATTGTCCAGAGCATAAACAGAATTGTTGTTTTTATGGTGGTTTATGTACAAAGTTTTCAGGGCAGTGAAGATATGTACTGTATTTTTCGCTCTATAAGACGCACCTGACCATAAGACACACCTAGTTTTTAGAGGAGGAGAACAAGAAAAAATATATTCTGAATCAAATGGGCACATAATCACAGGCACATCCCCCATCACTTCCCCATGGGCTGCACATCTGACAGACTTACTGCACACACATATTCGCTCTATAAGAAGCACAGACATCTCCCCTTACTTTTGAGTGGGGGGGGGAAGTGCGTCTTATAGAGCAAAAAATACGGTATATGAGGACATTTACAGAAAGTAATGAGAGTACCAATAGAACAATATAAAGGTGACATCAGAAAGAAGCTGCAAATGTTACAGTAATATAAAATGTTTGAGTGGCCCATGACCAGACAAACCATAGAGTCATATGGGTTATAACAGATCCATGGTGCAGGGACTAACTTTTGGAGGAAGGCAATTGCATATGCACAAAGAGAATCAATTCAGTCTCACATAATCTGAGAACTCGCAGGAAATAGTGTTTCACTTTCTTCCTCTGCACAATAGCAGAGGGATATCTCTATTTGCCCAATCTGCTAACTCAAGGCAGAGTTCCTGAGCAACCTTCCTGAGCAAATTCTTTCTTACTGAAACTTTGCAACATGTTGCCTCCAGTGCATGTATGAGTTGCTCTGCAAGGGAATGGATGAATAGTGGAGTCCCCCCTGCACACACAGCCCCCCCCCCCCCGGCGCTGCCTGCTTTCCCAGGCATATGGAGCTAGGCAGAAAAGTTTGAGTGGAGAGGAGTAGGGGCACTGCTGGCATATTTTATATTAAAAGACACTCAAAAAGAAATCTTTTATTTGAGATTTTACTCATAGTTATGTTTGCTATATATAAAATGCACACCAACACAAATTGAACAGGGTTCATTACACTTGCCATGAAAACAGTGAAGATATACAGTTGCTCTTCCCTTCTATCATTTTAATCTCATCGTAACTCTGAGAACTAAGGAGGCTAATGCAAGCTAATACAGTGAAATTTCAGTTCTTGAAAGCACACTATGACTCTCTCAGACTGCAATGGGGGTAATGTAAACTGGAACCTAGAAAAAATCATGAGCTAAAAGGGGAGAAGGGGGCTTGGAGTGCTTCTGTTTCATGACTTTCAGGAAGTTGATCTTATTCCAGTTCAAACAGCACTCCCAGACCCACCCAGCCGAGAGGGAACCCCAGCCTTATACATGCATTTCGGCTGGGACACCATTGTACCATCATTCAAAAGCAAGGTTCATTTCACATTTGGCCTCAAGGCTTAAAAGGAGAGAAGGGGTAGTCTCTGCTACCCCCAAGCTGCTCTTAGGCACAGAAAGCTATTCTTCTGCTCTGTGCTTTCCCCAAAAGCCCATAGAATCTCCTCCCTTTACCTTCTAGAAGTCCAATAAGGAACTGCCACTCTCAATATTTTCACTGCAGAGCAGTGAATGCAGTGCAGTGTCGTGACTTACAAGGCCACAACTATGAAAAAAAGGAAAAAAGGTGCGGGGGAATCTTTTGTTCTGTTCTTATAAGAAAGGCTCTTCAAACTGTTAAGTTCTACAGCATTTCATGGAACAATAAAAGTAGCTTCCAGGGAAGACATGAAGACTCAATAAATAAACCCTTCTCAATCACAAGCAGCAACTGGACCAGCACAAAAAATGGAACAAGAACAAGGACATCAAAAACCAGAGGCATGCTGGGAAAAGAACATTCTTCACCTGGTCCAGAAAGACAGATCAGAGGTTGGTGAATAAAGGCATGTTGGGAAAATGTTCCAGACCAAAGAACTGTTACTGAAAAAAGCCCTGCCCTTGCTGGATGTGGACAGCATGCAGTTTGAATCAGAACCAGTTTGGAAGGTCATGAATGAAAGGGTGAAATAAGGGCCTTGCTCCCTTCCTCCCTCCCCATCCCAGAAGGAAGAGATCCAAAGCACCCTATGGCCACTGGCACATCCTCCGTAAAGTCTCAGCCTGGTTACGTTTATACCCAGAATTCATCTTTGCAGAACAATAACCGAGAAGTTGTGTCTAAAACAGTGTCTCAAGGCCAGCAGAGTATCTCAAGCCCAACAGCATTGACAGAGCATGTTTCATCTCCTTGTTTCTCATACTGTAGATTATTGGATTCATCAATGGAGGGACCATGGAATACATCATTGTAAATGCCAAATTAAGATGTGAATGAGAATTGGAGGTGGGCTTCAGATAAGTAAAATATACAGTAACTAAGAATGTACAGAAAACAGCGAGGTGTGGAAAGCAGGTTGAGAAAGCCTTTTGGCGTCCCTGCACTGAGGGGATCCTCAGCACTGCAGTGAAGATGTGCACATAGGTCACAACTATGAAAATAAAACAACCTAACCCAATGCTACCACTTGCAAAAAGAGCCCCTATTTCAACTAAATGGAAGTCAGAGCAGGCAAGCTTCAGCAAGGCTGGGATTTCACAGAAAAACTGATCAACGACATTGGAGCAAAAGGGCGATGCAAAGGTGCCTCCAGTGTGTAACACCCCATAGAAAAAACTGATGACCCATGTAGTGGAAACCATTTGGATGCAACATTGCTTATTCATCAACATCTCATATTGTAATGGATTGCAAATGGCAACATACCGATCATATGCCATGACTGTGAGAATAAAGAAATCTGAAGCTACAAAGAAGAGAAAGAAGAGGACTTGGGCAACACACCCAGGATAAGAAATGTGCCTGAGGCTCATGAGGGAATTGGCCATGGCTTTGGGAAAAACAACGGACACTTGTCCCACATCTTGTATGGCCAAGTTCATAAGAAAGAAATACATGGGGGTGTGCAGGTGAGGGTCAGAGACTACTGCAGAGATGATGAGAAGGTTCCCTGCAACTGCAGCCAGATAGAAAACAAGGAATCCAATGAAATGCAGAATCTGTAGTTCCCGAACATCTGAGAGTTCCAGGAGAAGAAAGCCAGACAGGGAGGATTCATTGACTCGGTCTTGCTCCTTATGAAGCATCTTACCTTCAAAAGCAAGCAAATGTATTGTGTTAGAAGAATAAGGGCTTCACAGTGTATGAAATTCAACAGAGTACTGCAAATATTGATTTCATGATGACAGTACAAGTATGAATATTATCCCTCTGTACCATAAAGTCAAGTCCTCACTCCTATGATGTATATGTGCATATGTAGCAGTATGTTATATATGTAGCAATATGTTGATTTGTATGTGTAGCAATATTCATATTCATCATTTTTACATTCTGCCCCTTGGTGAGGAGGATTTTATGATACTTTTGTTTCTCTGGTTTTGTGCATGGCACAGAAGCTTGGTAAATAAATCCTTTTTACTCCTTTGTTCTAAATTATTGACTAGAGAAAAAATATTTACATTTTTCCAGGTTCAGGGAGGGGATACAGTTACAAGCTATCAAAGCAGCTTAATAACAAGTAGAATATTAATCAAGCTTAGAGAATATTTACTAGACAATATTCTAATGTTTCCCTAAAAATTACTCCCGTTAAATTTCTTCAAATGTCTCATCTGGCAAGACAGCTGGTGATTAGGACAGTTTCATTGAAAATCAACATTCATCTTGAGATGCATGGTTGAGATAAGGCAACAGATGGAAGGCAAGTATTTTGGCAATTGCATATATTTCCAAACATTTCAGAAAGCCTTCCAACATTCTGGGGGTGAGGGGTCACATGCACAAATGTACAGAGATTCATGCCAGGTTCAGCAGCACTGATAGAACTGCAGTATCTAAGTACTTACATGTGGAAGAATTGGAAGCAGAATTAGGGGCATGCCTGAGGTAAGCAAAAATATCCAGTGATTATAAATATGGAGCAAACCTTGAGATGGGAAAGGCAATTTGAGAAAGCTTTTGTTTATCCCTGCCCAGGGGCGATCCTCAGCAAAAATGTGCACAAAAGTCACAACAGTGAAAATACAGCACCTTAGAATGCAATCATGCAACCTAATAAAACTTCTGCAAGTTTTAAACCGGTACAAATCAGAGCAGGCAAGCTTCAGTAATGCTGGTATTTCACAGAAAAACTGATCACTGGAGCAAAAGAGGGAGGCAAAGGTGCCTCCAGTGTGTAACACCCAATAGAAAAAGCTGATGACCATACAGTAGTCATCATTCGAAAGCAAACATGCTTATTTATCAACAAAGGGGAGGCTTCCAACATTTTACATTCAAAAGAAAAAACTGATGATCAATGCTATAGCAATAATTTGAATGCAGTAATTTACTAATTTGAATTAGTTGTGTAGTAGCCAATTTTTCATATTGCAAGGGGCTGAAAAAAACGACATCCTGATCCTATGTCATAACTGTCAGAAGCGAGCAATCAAAAGCTGTAAAAGACACAAAAAAGAGAACCTGACCAAAATAAGAAATGTTTCTGCAGTTCATCAAGGTTCATGAAAGGTTCATGAAAAAATAGCAAACACATGTCCCACATTCTGCAGAAATGATGAGAAGATTCCGTGCAACTACTGCCAGGTTAAAACAAAAACAGAAACAGGGCTGGGAATCATCACTGCCTGCATCCTGGGGAACTGCTACCCATCAGTGGGACTGGGCCAGAGGGACCAACAGCCTGACTGATTGTGAGGCAGCATCCCAAATCACTATGTTGGCTGTATGAGGCAGAGAGAAGGGGTGACAGTACGTGCAGCAGATGCACACTGTTGATGGAGAGATGGTTATGAAGGCTGAGAGATGGGGGAAGTTTGGAGATTGTGAAGTGGGCACTTCTAAAAGCCACACAGATGTGGATAAGAATCACCTAATTTGCTGTAGTGACTGGCCAGGTAGAATTTGAAATAGGAATCTTGGGTATCATTCAGATACATCTGATATATTATGCCATTACTTCATAGAATATTTGCTATTGATACGTGAATCCTCCCCTCCCTTTTACCTGATAAACTCACTTTCCCCCCTTTCTTTTACATCCCTCAGAAGCCATTTTTGAAAAAGCCTAACAGCCCTAACCAAGATTTCCATCTGACCGCTGCTCTGTGTAGGAAACCATGCAACTGATTGCCTCAGTCTGTGCTGCAATTCACAACATTATGTGCAAACAGCAAACATTTTTCAGAATTCAAGAAGATCGCACATGTAAAGTGAACTGGACTAGCTTCATCAATATAGAATCAGAGGAAGGAATGGCCACCCACAAAAGAAAAAGTAGAATGAAGGGTGTATTCCTAGTTTTAAGGTTTTAAGAAACTTACTGTTTCTTATTTTTCATATATTTCTCCCAGTTTCAGATGCATTTTCTTCTGCAGTACATGTTACATGACTGTGTATATATCCCTAAATCCATGCCATTTAATTAATTCTCATCCCCTGGTATTATGAAAGCAGTCAATGCTGGAAGTGAACTCATTTTCCCAGAGAGTTGCTGCCCTGGGATTCCATCAATGGATGAGTACAGAAATGGCATTAATTATCTGGCCTGTCTTTTGGTTGAAATGATAAAGAAATGTTGAAGTAAAATGGAGACAGTCAGTGCCTTCTTTCTGCTTATTTGAACCATTCCTTTACAGCATGACTAGTGCCAATTTTAATAGTGAGCAACACCATATAATACCTAGGTAAAGGCAAAGAAAACTATCTTACAAATCTGCAATGCCCCCGAGAAGATGAATTGGTTCTTCCCCATTTGTTTCCTCCTTGCCTGCCTTAAATAAACTTCATTTTTTTATTTGGAAATGCAGCTGTGTTGTTTAGCCAGGAATTGCTCCATGTTCTCCCACCAGCATGAAAGTTTGAGTAGATAGAAAGCCACCTCTTTGGTTCAAGGCTTCTAGAAGGTGTTTAAGATCAGTCTTTCTGGGTCTGGAGGAATGACCAAGGTACATTCCATCCTTTCTAGATCTGGACTAAAGGGAGGGCCTTGACAAGAGGGATCTGAAATTCCCCAAGCAGAGGCTCAGACTAGACCATCTCAAGAGCTTCTTCCTGCCAAGTGGCAGCCCAGCAGAATCTTTTTTCCTGGAAGTCCACCTGGAGAAAAAGTAAGCCTCCATTACTCAAGAAGGAGGGAACTACCCACCACTCTTTTGCTGGCCAAAAGAGTGGAAGTTCACATTGACAGATGGGTGCAGAATACATGTTATACTATGCAAAACAATGACTGCAGGTGTCTGTCTGTCTCTGAAGTGAAAGAGATCTTGCAAAGAAGAGCCACATTTCATAGTTGTACGCAATGAGCAAAAAGGCATGACCTTTATTAAAATCTCCTTCTCCTAATGAACACTCAAATTTCTCACAAGGATCTGGAGTATTCTTGCTGTGGCAAGGCCACCTGGGAATATGACTCTAATACTCAAGTAAGGTTTCCTCCCTCAAACCCCTTGGGTCTCTGCTGCTATATATATATTGTAGAAGAAGAGATCCGTGAAAATGGATGAAATGGTGAATCCCCTTTACATTGGTCTGTCCTTTGTGTTCTTACTTCCGGATGCCCTCTGCAGAAAAGATGTAAAAAGAGGTAAGTTGATCTTTTAAATTTAGCTGCTGCTCTACTCCTAGCTCTTCAGTCATAGCAAATATAAATGCTTGTCCAAAAGCAGTCTAACCAACCAAGGTACTGATTATCAAGAGAAAAGAGGGAACAGTGAGCCAAGGAGCACCTACTGGTGTCCTAATTTCATTCAGGGCTATGGAAACCATGTGGATTTCTCAAAGATGCATTTATATCCCTTCCAAGGGATATCCATTAAACTGCATGAATTGCTTCCAACATCACAGAAACAGATCTGGTTGCACAGAATAATTTTTTCTTCCTGTCCCTTCCTGACACACCCCTGCACTCTACCAAATGTAAGCAGAGATCTTTCAATCCTCCAGGACAGGATTTTGGAGAGTTGCATGGGAGAGATCAATTACGAAGACAGATGCTATGCAATTGGAGAGCACTAGATTGTGTTAGTGAATCAGTTCTTATATTTAATTGGTTGCTTTCCTGGATATTTCTTTTGATTGTAGTTCAGTGTGATAAGGCAAGGTGATTCATTATTTTGTCTAAAGATTAGGCTGAATCATAAGCAATCATTCATCATTAGGTAAAAAATTAAAGCTGGGTAGGAAAGGTCAGGTCAATTGGAAGTTTGCCTGGTATTTAAGCAAAGAAACCTTTGTCTTACACATTCTGGACATATAAGCAGAAAAGAAGGATTGATTTTTAGAATGCTACATTTCTTAACAATGTTTTTGCCTTTTTCTTCCATTTTTTCCAAATACAGAAATGGAAAACCAAACATCTGTGAAAGAATTCCTCCTTCGGGGCTTTTCTGATGTTCGAGAGCTGCAACTATTACATTTTTTCGTCTTTCTCTCCCTTTATTGTGCAACTTTGGTGGGAAACTTCCTCATCATTGTGACTGTGGTCTGCATTCACCATCTTCATACCCCCATGTACTTTTTTCTGGCCATCCTGTCTGCCATCGATGTCTGCTACATTTCCACCACTGTGCCCAAATCCATGGTGTGCTCGTTGATGGCTGACAACCTGATTTCATTCCCCGGCTGTGTGGCCCAGGTGTTCTTGGTTGTAGCACTGGCAGGTGCTGAGCTGTCCTTCCTCACCGTCATGGCTTATGACCGCTATGTGGCCATCTGCCATCCTCTGCAGTACAGGCTCATCATGAACTGGAAAGCCTGCCTTCAAATGGCAGTGGCCTCTTGGCTCTGCAGCTTGATCAATGCTGCAGCACACACAGTGAACACGTTCAGGCTGCATTTCTGCTGGTCTAATGTCATTGAACAATATTTCTGTGATATTCCGCATCTCCTAAGAATCTCTTGCAGTAATACAGAGGCCAATGAGAAGTTTGCTGTTGCCACTGTGTTTTGTGTGGGATCATTTTGCTTTGTGTTTGTGCTGGTTTCCTATAGTTTCATCTTCTCTGCAGTTTTCAAGATTCAATCAGCTCAGGGAAGGTACAAAGCCTTCTCAACTTGCATCCCACATCTTTCTGTCTTCTCTTTG